AAGATCACATTTTGTTGATATTAACAGGTATGTCAGTTCCAGTGTTCTCTTTAAATACGTCACATGACTTTTAGAAACATTTAAAACGTCCCTGTTCCATCGCAGGAATGCGCTGGATAAGATTGGCCAAGATCTGACATTTCCAAGAGAAACCTAAAAATGCAATGAGAAGTTTCAGAGAGATCTTTTTTCGGAAAGACGTAAAGAGCAAGCGAGAGATAGAAAGACTTGCGTAAAGTGTGATTGAGGTTTCGGAGGTGCTTTAGCGCAGAAATGAAAGAAGACAATCAGTCAAAGGGAAAAAAATAGAAATTTGTATAAAAGTGCTTTAAAGGGCTTATCGGCCATATGATAATCATCATTCAATTTGATCGGCTGGCAGATAAAATGTCAAGAAGGCAGCTTCTCGTAATTGCGCCTCCCAGCTCAGCCCGACTGAGCCATTTAAGGTACTCAGCACATGTGAGTCGCCTCGTACTTCTGTCTTTGTGAGGACCCATTTGAATCATTAACCTTGAGAATAAAACCATTGGAAGTCACCCCATTTCGGCGTTTGTCAGAACAAGAAACATACTTAGTTTCTTGGATTCAGGCACTGAGATAGAAAAGCATTTAATTATGTGATGGAGAGGGTTACAGACAGGTAAATACATTAGATTACGTCCTTTTAATCTGCGGTTGACATTAGGATCTCAGAACTGGTTCTTCAGGAGGGCCATTTGGATGGCCAGGTGGCCACTTCCCCTCGATCACCAAAAGAAAATTGGGCATCTAATCCACCAACTATGAAAAACAGAGGAATGCGGTGCCAAGCAGCAGAGCCAAGGGGAGACATTAGGACTGGAAGTGTACAACCGATCATTAAAGTGACAGTCTGGTACCAGAATGCTGGCAACACATCCTTTTGGGACTCTGTTGATCCGGTAAGTCCTAATGGATGTCAATGTCTGAGACCCCGGCGTGTCCCTGGGGCTGCTTTTTGAGCACACTGTAGTTCAGCCACATTTCTCATTCACCAACAGTTCTGAAGAACACATTTGTTTTTAATTCTTGCTTTTTTATGAAAGATGTGGTCTCCACGGGTGTTTTGTGACTCGCCAACGAACAAATCCTTCAAACTTACACAGTTTTCGAGAGAGTTCGGTGTATGGGGCCCAGTAATGTTATGAGTTAGACCCCTGTTAATGACCCAAGGTTATCTGGAAAAGAACTGTGCTAAGGCTAGATGATCAGTTACACAAGTCAGCACTAAGTGCTGGTGATGTTGTGTGTTTAATAGTAATTGGTGACACAATATAAGTTTAGTTGTTGATCAGTTTAAAGGTTTACTTTAATTTAACTCAATCTTTTTTAGTCAAAATGTCTCAATCATAATGATTATTTATGTGGAAAGAAAGTGAAAGTGAAATAAAACGTTCCTTCTCCTCTCACAAAAAAATTATCAATAAAAATTTAGTCTTTGACTTATACTTGACTGTACATGTAATTTTCTTGAGCGACAGCTTTCAAATGAAAAGCAGCAGGTTTCTAATCCTAAGAATCGCTTTTGGTCTCTTTACCCTTTGAGAACACACAAAAAGGATTGTGAATATAGTGAATTTCACAAAAAGTAAGAAGAGATAGATTTGCTATGAAGTAATGTGGAGTTTAATTCAGTCATTTGACAAAGACACACTGACATGATGGTAGAAAAGACAAAAGAGATTCTTCACTATTGCCACCTCCCATAATTTTTGTGAAGAACTTTTAACCTTTACAAAAGCTCAGTGCTTTAACAAAGTCTGTGACAGTTTATTTCAAGCAGTTGGAGAAGAAAGTGTCACAAATGGCACTGCAATAAGTGTGTGTGTGTTTGTTTGTTTGCCGGAGTGTGTGTTTGGCTTCCAGAGAAGAGAGGCGCAGGTGGTGGGCTGCAGGCATTGTAAGCCTTTGGAGACTCTTTTTGAACCACCAGAGACAGAGAGAGGAACATTTCTATCTCTGCTTTTTCTGTTTTTCCATCTTTTTATTTTTCTTTTCTGCTCATCATACTCTTCTTTACTTTGAGTTCTTGTTTTCGCCAACATCTGCTGGACCTCCAGTGCTCTCATAAACTATTGCATGCCTCTGTCTCCATCTAGTGCCAGCCTTTCTGAAAGGCAGTTTTCATTCATTTACAAATAATATTTTAGATTTAAATTATTGTTACCATAAAAAAGAAATTTTTTCATTAAGATTCAAATAAATCAGGAACAGATTTTTCATGGGGCAGGATCTTAATCTGCCAAGTGGCGAAATCTTTGCACTAGTAATAATTTCAATGAAGATGAAAGGATCATAACCTCCCCTCAATAATCCAGAGGTTAAAACCCGGATTTACCGATTAAAGATTTTCAGGTCATGTTGAACCTTGTTTCGCTTGGAGACACAGTAAAAAAGGGTGAAAATAAATAAATAAATATATTCTAAAGATGTTAAACTGACTTTATCTTAAAAGTTTGAAAATGTAAAAAGGATTCGCAGTAACTATTAAACAGTCACTGGCTGCTTATTCTCGTCCCTGCTCTTTTTCTCATTCTAATTCACACAAAAACGGCTGGAATGACAAATAAAAATCTTTAAAAGCATTTTGTGAGGGTGTAGCTGATGGTACTACAAAGTTCAGATGATGGAAACACAACTTTGACTGCAAAATTAAAACTTCCATTTGATCCATGCAGAACTTAAAAGGCATTTTTACCCCAAATAATTCAACCATATAGCCTACAGCAAATTAATGGAATTACTGTGGTTGAGCTAATTAACTTAGCCTTAGTTGTTTGAAGTTTTTATATTTATCAGCAGTTCCATTGTTATCTTCTTTGGCTTCCTGACCACAAACTGTAACTGGGAGCACATAATTCCCCTCAGAGTAGTTTGTTTTAGTTAATAACTTATTTTAGTGTTCTCACTCCTAACTACCCACATGCTGTCATTTGGCCAAAGGTGTCTGTGTCTCCTGATTATTGGGATTCCTTTAGAGTTTCAAGGTTTCTGGTTCAGGCAGTGTAGTAGTTTCTGTATGCATCACTGTGACAAATATTCTTTTTGCCATGTTTAATTTTCTATTCTAAGACTTCATTTAAATGTTTTAGAGCAATGTTTTGTGGGTTAGAGATACATTTTGAATGAGGGAAAAGGTCATATAGCAGAATGAAGAAAAATCCAAATAACAGCTTGGGGTGGAAATAAAACTATAAACAGTTTGTGGCTTGAAGCCAAATGTTGATCCCCTTTTCCCCCATGAATACATCCTACTTCTTTGTCAATAGCTGACGCCTCAGCACAATGTACAATGTTTTCCTGTCACTGCTCACCATGACGGGAGGACACGCATCACTTACCCCTACAGAAGGATGACCGGGAACTTATGGCCATTTTTGATGTTTTATGACCTGATGAAAATGTGTAAACTTTAGACAGTTTTGTTAAAGAATCACAATAAATGAAGTCGGAAAATCTTAAGGCTTTGCACAGTGCCAGGATAATTTGTTTCATTATCATGCCACTACGTCTTTCTGCTTGTAAACAAGAGTGGAATCATATCTTACAGAATGGTGAAATTCTAATACTTCTCTGTTTGGAAGAAAATATTTATTTTATAGATGTTTTCATCCTTTAAGGAAGCTTTAAACTAAAAAAAGAGGCTAAACTGCAGCTACAATGAAAGAGAGGCTAAAAGAAGGATAGATTATGCCTCCAGGATTCTTCTTCAAATGCTTTTCTTTGTTTCCTCTTTCAGACTTCCCTTTCTATACTACGCTCCCCTTGTTTTTTTCAACATGTTCTCTCTCAGTTCCGCCAGTTGGTGTTTTTCTTCTTAAACCCTCCTTTGCTTTCGTTTCCCTTTTTTTCCTTTGCTTTCTGATTTCCTGTCTCAATTTTCTCCCTCTTCAAATCCTCTGCCTGCTTTGGGTCATCCAGCTGTGATGCCCTTCAGATCCACTTCAGATCCAGAGCGGAAAACTTTCTCCTCTTTCGATATCAGAGTCTGTGTGTGTGTGTCACCTGAATGCCTCAGGAGTCTCCAATTCACTCAAGGATGTGTGTATTTTTGTGTTTCTGTGCCAGGTGCTTGCCCAGGGGTAATGCCAAATGGCATGAACATTCTTTACGCACTGAATGTATGTAACTATGCCCCTCCCTCCAGCCATAAAACTAATTGCCTCTGACCTGTGAACCAGTTTCTGTTGCCTCCAAACAAAGCAACGTCCACTCATGAGTGACTCTCTATCTTATTTAATTAGCTAAAATTCCCCTAGACTTTCAACTATGCAACGTGGACTGTTGGTCTGTCGCTCAACCCAGAGTAAAATAGCTGCAATATCCAATGCTGGTGATGCTGGGAAGATTTGAACACACGTGTGTAAACGTATTAGGGCTCAGTATAAATCAAGGGTCAAGTTGGATGTTTATTCTTACAAACAATGCTGCAAAGTGCACACTTATGGTTGCTGATTTTGTTTATGATTTCTTTTGAGCTGCCTTTTCTTCATTGTGTTTGTTGGGAAGGACATTTAATGGCGAAATGCAGGAGACATGCACTCACATTTTAGCACCACCATGCAATCCACTTAATTTAGAGGAAGAAGACAACTAACAAAACAGTCACACAGATCCGAAAGATACTACTGGTTAATGTTTCTTTCCGAATCATTCGGAATGAGCAATTTGTCTATCTAATCTAATCAAAATGACTACTTTAACCTAAGGCAAATTTACTAGAAATGTATGTCAACAGAAATACAGCAAGGGCCTTCTTTAAATGTCCATAGATAAGAAAGGATTTTTTCTAATTATTGTTGACACGCAAGTATCATAGCAATGAATAGATAACAAAATAAGCATTTTTTAAAAATCGTTAAGATGTATTCCCCTTCATTAAAATATTAAAGAAGAGCCACATCAATTGAGACAAATTGATATTCAGAAGCAGGGACACATCCAACTGGTGATTTCCGACATTTCCGACCGCATCCAAACGCAGCACGAGTGTGGTGGGAGAGGCTGGTTTGTTGATCCAGTCGGAGCTTGGGCTACGCTGTTGTTACCTCCAGCGGAATAGCTAGCCCTCTGTCAGAGTTTAAGCAGTTCGGCTGACAGTATGTCAATAATGTAGCTTTCGTTTTACGCATTGTCAGCGTTCTGGCGAGAACATGCCCACTCGCACACGGATTCGGTGTTACCGTGCCAATTCACAACCAAGCCCGGTTACATTAGCACGAGCTTGAGTTAGAAGAGTGACAAGATAAACAGTCGAAGTTGCTCCGGAGTGAGATGGCTAATGCTAGGCTGGTCAGAGGTAGCTTATGTAGCAGATATGCGTGCTAGTCGGCCGACTAAGACATGGAAAAATGAACGTTTCCACAAGGAGCAATAATAAACGGCACTTTATCCGGTCTCTTATTCGGGAGGCAGCCATTTAAACGGGAGGCAGCAGCGGCTGAAACGGTGTTTGGTCCTGGCTGCTCCGCTGGCCCTGGAAGCTAGCAGAAGGCTATCTAGCCGCACGCCTAGCTCATTCACCATAGTAAGTATTTACTTTTTATTGTTGTTATTGTTATTATTAATGTGTGTTCGGCAAAAAATGACCCAGTTTACTCTCGAAAGTGTACAGCATAAAACCACGAAACTTGGTACGGTTCCCACGATGCGGTTGCGTGTCCAATTCACACATTTTCTCGTGTTTCTTGTAAGTAGGTGGGTGTGTGGGATTGCTAGCACTAAGTTATTATCCATGGCAGCCACAGCTAAACATAGTGCTAAGATCACGGCCTTGATCTATTCGCTCTGAAGCTACGTTTTTCCATATTTGACTTGATGTCCTTGATGGGAACCATTCATTGGGGAGCATGTCGCTTGTCATGGCAACCGCTAATTGAGTTTTTAAGCCCTGCATCTTAACCGATGGCGTCTAGAAAGTTCTAATTTTATGGGAGAGGCATCCATATGCTTTACCTCGGGAAAAGTTCAAGTGTTGTCATGTCAAAGCACTGTTGTCCAATCTAAAATCCCAGTAAAGGAAATGTATAAATCTTTTAGCAGCACTCTACTGTTAAAGCCTGAGAGCATCGTCCAGTCCCTCTGACAGATATGCTTTGGTAAAAATCCAATATTAAATTAGTCATAATGATGTTCTCTGTCACCGTTAGGACTCATATATGAAAGTTCTCTGAGCTGGGCAGATATTTAGACTACACAGCTACACATTAGAGCTGTGAGTAGTAAGAATCCATGTGTTTGGAGACCACGAGTTTAAACCGCATCTTGTGCAAAATCTTCATTCTGAAAGTAACATCTTACTCAGTAGGAGGATGAAGGTTGGAGCCAACAGACGCGTAAATCTTTTGCTGAATTCCCAACGATGCCGCTTTATTGTCAAATTTTGCGAAATGGCTAAACGCGTAAGAAATAGTGAATCAGTTTGTTTTTATTTATGAGAAAGTGGCATTGAGCTGATACGTTCTCTCTGACAAAAAACCTTAATACAGCATCATCAGATCCAAAAGAGACAGAAATGTTTAAGTTTGCTCTGTTTTTCGTCAAAGCCTGGTCCTTCATCCGACATCAGCAAAATATGTTTTTCTCGTATGAATACTTGGTCAAGAACATTAAAATGTCTCTTCCCTGATCAGTCTCCCAAATGGTAACTTCTCTGTCACCACTTACTACATTGAGTCCTTTCATAAATAAAAAAAAAAGGAAAAAACTTCATGTCATTTATTTTAAATGCGGCAAAACGAAATCTGTGAAGCTTTGGTGCCTATTATGTGCCAGTTTTATTTCTAAATATGGTGTCACACATAAAGTGAAGTCGTACAATGTCATGAGATGTTTCGTTGGGGTTTGGTCCTCAGCCTTCAATGAAGGCATATTATGAAGCTTTTCTAGCCAGTTCCTGAATGATCGGAGCAGAATGGGCTATGCTTGACGATAGGAGGCCATGTTTCACAGCTCGTAGGTTCAGTTTCCACTGTGGACGTTTCTATACATGCTGTGCTGTTGACAACACACCAACGGTCATCCAGGGTCGATCCTTTACGTGTCACACTGAGACATGCTGACTCTGCTCTCCATCCAGACAGACGCGCCTTACACCATTCTTTGCAGGGCAGGTCCAGGTCAGAAAATGTCCCAAATTTTAAGCGCTTGTGTGAGGAGCACCTCCATACAAAGTCTGTCCTCTCCCCTTTCCAGTCCTGGAAATACCTTGTGATCATATGTGGCTCAAATGAAGATGCTAACTATCCTAGTTACATAAGAACAATTAGCCCAATAATGATATAGCATGTTTAATTATTTATAGAAGAAAAGCACCCAGAAAATATTTGTTTCTGTTTCTGTTTTGTTTTTGTTCTTTCAGCTCGCTGTCTGATGCAATACCAGCATTTTACGTTGTTTACGTTTAAGTTTATTCTGCTGTGTGTTATGTCATCTACCTCTGTTTCTGGAGGCTAGGGATGCAGCAAAGGTCCGAGTAGCTGCCGTCCTGAAGAGATAGAATTATTCAGTTTCGCCTCTGATAAGTGTGTAAAATTACAAACCAGTTCAGGTAAAATCAATAAATAAAGTGAAACAGTAAATAACCACGCAGAAACATTTGAAACCACACCAAATGATACAGCCGAGGGTGGAAAAAGTCTGTATATTTAATTTAAAAAAGAACCACTGATTATGTTTCATAACTGTCACTCATAGAATTAGATTTACAGATTTTATAACCTTTTCCCAGACAATGCTTCCTCTGTGCTGCCGCTTTACGCAAGACTTTCCCTTATACCATCCCCACTATGTCAGCTAGAGATGAGGACGAAATACAGCTGTCATTCATACTGACCTCTTGCTTTTATCTCGACCTCCATGTGGCTGATGGCCTCCCTGCCGGCCATGGACACTGTGACGGACTCGTGCCCCGCGGTGCACCAGAATGGGACCGCCCATCGGGAATGTCCAGACACAAGACCAGCGGCCGCCGTTTTGAGGCTTCATTTATATCCCAGCGGCCAGGGAGCAGCTGACTCCGGCTTGCTGGGCTACCCACCTGGGGATTACGTGGCGGAGGAGCTGTGCATCGACGCAGCGAGGAAGTGCAGTGAGTGCAAACCTACACGCAGCAGCCCCGTTTGTCCAGTCCTTTTCCAGCTTTTCAGCATATCTACCAGGACATGGTGCTTGGTTGTTCTGTGTGTACATGTGTTTTAAGTGGAACGAATTGGGTTTTTATTTACTGAGGTGTGCCTTATTCATCATGTATTTATTTACCAATGCAAATGGGACACAGCTAATCCACAGCAGGCCAGTGTGGGAGCGAGCGTCTAGACTCACCTGCATGCAGCGTGTTTAATGGCAAACTACAACACAGCTTAGAACATCTTTATTGATCCTTTTTTCACCCGTGCGGGTACTACAAACAAATAGTTGTCTTCAGCACGCCCAGAGTGAGCTGTCCATTGTAGCGTGGGCCCATCGGAGCACCGCCCTGTGGCGTTTTTCCTCCCTGGCTTTAAGTCACTTCAGTAAAGCTCAGGTCTGCCTGCCGAATATAATGTGGGTTCTCATTTCTCTGAACACTGCAGGTATATCCCCCTTGTACTGCAACCTTTTTGGTCTCTTCCGAGAGCGAGACCGCTTGTGGTTTTCCCCCAACCACATATTCCAGCTGGATGACTCGGCCTCAGAAGATGTGTATTTCAGAATACGGTAGCATACATTATTTATTTCCACTCGCCCATCTTTAACATTTGGCTCTCCAGATTCAAGTTTGAATATCATTGTGATGTTGTTTTCTGTGGTTCTTAATACCACAGGTATTACTTCCCAGGGTGGTACAGTAGTGGAGCGTCCAGGGCTTATCGATATGGAGTCAAGAAAGGGTCGGAGAGCCCCGTCCTGGATGACTATGTCATGTCCTACCTGTTCTGTCAGGTAAGCATCTCCAAATAACACCCTTTGTTACTTTACCTGGCATGAAAAGGACTTTCTATGTGTTACTTTCACCATCAGAATAACCAGAAGTTCATGTCCCGAAGTGCCATGTCAGCAGTTAGATTTAGTTCAGTTTACAAGCTGCTGGTGTTGAGCACCGCTCAGCCGCTCAGATATTGATACAAAACAAGCTATGACAGTTATGAAATGTTTTCCTTTTCTTCATCGGTAATTCGGGCAGACACGTGCTGCTGGCACCGAGTCGGTCTCGTGGCAGATAGGGAGCTCAGGCCCTGATAACCCTGGAAATGTTACTGCTTATGCAGAAGTGCACCTCGCTGTGCCCAAAAGCTGAACGTGTGTGCTAAGTTGCACCTCCTCTCCTTTGTCTGCTCTCAAAGACTTCCCCTTTGCTGCCCGTCTCCAAAAAATGTCAACAGTTCCTGTCTTTGTCTTTGACGCTCAAACCCACACACGCAGACAGGAGGGGGTGCTCTGAGTGTGCGCAGGAGGCAGGATAATTGTCAAGACAAAGGCGGGGGTTAGATGCCTAGATTCACACACACAGATGGAGAGGTCTGTAGCTTTTGCAGTCTGCGCAAATTGCTAAATACTGCGGGTGATGACTTTGTGTCGTCTGCTTTTCATGTGTTTCATGTCCGCAGAAGCATTACAAAAAGCAGCCCAATACGTTACAGACTAGACAGGCCTGCAGACCTGCCCTAACTAATGACCAAAGGCCCAAAGTATGCTTTACTTTTGTGTGGAATTATATTTAGCTAATGTCAGATTTTCTCCTCATTTTCTTCAATTTGTGATAGTGAAACTAACGCTGGTAGTAATTAACAAAAGATTATGTGGAATTAGGCCTGTGGAAACCAACTCTGGCTGGCGAAAAGCCTAAAAGCAATTGATCTTTAGCATTTTCCGTCTCACGTCTATATTTGTTCTTGTGATTCTGGTCAAAGTACACCAGTGATGTTTAAAGGTTTTTTTTTTTGGTTTTTTTTTATCAAACAGCAGCTCAGTATAGGAATAGAGAGGAAAGATGGCTGTTTTTTGCTAGATGAATAACAGGACCTGTGGTTGACTCCTCTAAGTGTGAAAGAACAACAACACCACTCCAAAATGAAAAATATCAGATTGAACAATTTGCTAATAGCAATATTTTTAGCTCATGCTGCTTCACTAACCAAAGTCAGCGTAAGACTGGAGCTGAACTCTTGATGAACTGAGGGATTATGTGTATTTATGCCTGTGGAAATCTGCCCTGTAAGCTTGGGAAAATCCTAAAAGCGAGAAGGGGAGGGAGTCATTCAAGGCCATTGTGTTTGCAGCCATCAGCCCAGTCGTCCACGCTTGCTTCCATTCACTTGAGCAGATGTTGTTCTTGCATGTTCAAGGGGTCATGGGAATTCCTTACAGTCTAGTCCGGTGCATTTAAAATTTATTCAGCAAAATTAAAGGCCCCACTCATTTCCATACTAACACTCAAATTTGTGATCATTCTTATATTTATGTTTATGCATTTAGCAGATGCTTTTGTCCAAAGCGGCTTAAGTAGACACAATGTTAGTTATCAACAATCTGAGTATAAGCTCTCTAGAGGAAAATCCCTTGTCAGAGTCAGTGGTGACAGCGAAGAGATAGAGGGAAGTACAAAAAGCATACTTATAAAAAATGTCTCTTGTTTTTTTTAATCGTTAGGGTATGCAGAGCATACAAAAAAGTTGTGTAAAAAAAAAAAAAAACATTTTTAAAGGACTTGAAGCAACTTAGTGTGGGTATTTTCCATGCCTGCTGATGCTCACACCCCCTACATGATTAAACCAAAGCCACAAAAAAAACACAAACAATAAATGAATAGTGAGTGAAAAAAAAAGATGTAACCCCGTAGTTTTGGTCTGTTTAGTGTGTAAACAGACTCATCAAAGTCAAAACAAGAGTTGCAAATCTGACGTCAGAGAGACGTCAGGTGCGAGAGGAAGGAAGGTCATTCATTGCTTAGCTGTTGTGAACAGCCGTCCTGCATCATAACTTCTTGACTGACCTGCGGGAGAAAGTGACAACAAAGTCCATCCAGCAACAGCCAGCAAGCACTCATGAGGTCACAAAGAGTTTAAGTAGGTGACCAGGATGTGGGTTTACATGAGCATGCGTTAATAAGATGATTTGAAAAGCCTTGTACTGCTTCACCCGTCACGTTCAGGAAGCTTCCCTGCTTTGTAGTAACCATAACCAAGCCACGCCAAACACAGAGAAGGGTTTTGAGACTGAAAAATGGGAAAATACCAGCATAGGTACAACGGTGTTATGCAGTCATCGGACTGCCTTCATTTCACAGGTATTAATAGGTATTCTGTCTGAGTATATTCAAACGGGAATGAACAGAAACATCACTCTCAGAGTTGTTTACACCACCATATATTCACAACATGTCGCTGGCATTTCTGTGTGCAGTGGAGGAATGACTTTTTGAATAGCTTGGTGAAGATTTCCAACTCACATGAGACACAAGAAGAGTGCCTTGGTATGGCGGTGCTGGACATGACGAGAACAGCCAAGGAGAGGCAGATGTCCCCTCTGGATATCTACCACACTATAAGGTACCTAAACCGTAAGCCCCGGAAAATGATCTAGAATTAAAATCAAAAGTCTAATTATTGGCAACTGTTGCTTTAGATTCAGTGCTTATTATAGATAACACCTTATTTCGTCTCTGTTTTTGCTCAGCCTGTATAAAGAATTGTCATGTTACTTTTTCTGCACTTTTGAGACGTCTAACATCACGCTGATACAAATGTCTGATATATCTCTTTTAGTTACAAGTCCTTCTTGCCAAAAGACATGAGAGCTCAGATCCAGGAGTGCAATTTTTTGACGCGAAAGCGAATCCGCTTCCGTTTCAAGCGCTTCATCCAGCAGTTCAGCCAGTGTCGGACCACGGTCCGCGACCTTAAGCTCAAGTATCTCATCAGCATCGAGGCGCTGGAGAAAGCCTTCTTCACAGAGACCTTCCAGGTCAGAGAGCCATCCATCGGACAGCTCCTCATCCTGGTGGCGGCCGACACTGGAATTCAGTGGTGTCGAGAGAAGTTGAAAGATTCTGACCAAGTTTGTACCTGGCATTGAAATATTATTGAATTGTTATCTATACAATACACTGTCAACATTACTTTTTATTAAATGACAACAATGTCGGACCAAAAAACCCTCTCAATGAGGCCTTTTGACTGACTTACTCCCCCAAGCATGTCCAAAGTCATAGTTTAGAACACATTGTGTATATACTTTTCTATGAAAATTTCATATATATGAATAAAAATGTATTTTTTTGGTCAGGAGCTGCAGAATCTGTGTGACTTCCCTGATATCACTGACATCAGCCTGAAACAGGCCAACAAAGAGGGAGCCGGAGAGAACCGGGTAGTCACCATCAGTAAACAGGATGGCAAAAACCTGGTAATGTCTCCACGGGAAATATCTGTCCACCCCAGTTGTCACTGACAGCTTTCAGGGCATGCTGGCGGTTGTCTTATACCTGCTCTTACATTTCAGGAGCTGGAATTCTCCAGCCTGTCTGAGGCCCTCTCCTTTGTGTCTCTCATCGATGGCTACTATCGACTGACCACAGACGCGCATCACTACCTGTGTAAAGAAGTGGCACCTCCGAGACTAGTTGAGGCCATTTCTTCTCATTGCCATGGCCCCATATCGTAAGTAAAGATTATGTTTCAAGCAACTGTGAGTAAAAACATTGTAAGGTAGTGGTACAGTTTTCCAATCGCATGCTGTGTAACTGTGAGACGACTGCGTCTCAAAAGTGGAAAGTCCAAATTTTTGTGGTTTTAACATGTCAAGTTGCTAGTTGATATTTAATTCAAATCATTTAATCTACTTAAGGATTATGCAGTTGACACTAAAGCCAAAAGTGTGTTCTGCTTGAGTAAATTGGATTGTGAGCAGTTTTGTTCATGGTAAATGGACTTTTAATTATAAAGCATGTTTCCAGTGTAATTGACAACTTAAACTAGATGTCATTCACAGAACTCACACACAGTGGTTCCTGGACACTGCTCTTTCCTCCTCATCCACAACCTAGAATGGGAAAATTAGATTTTTCCCTTGTTTTTCTCTTAAGAAAATAGACTTAAAGAAATCTGTTTTATGATGTTAAGACCTAGTCATATTGTAAATGCTTTGTCTGTTTATTAGTCTGCTCTGAATTCTAGTAATGTGTTAGTCGTTAGTCGTTTATTATGTTGGATCGTTGTTATCTGACCCTGACCTCAAGACCATAATTTTTCAGTCAAGAGGTTAGTGGTTTGATCCCCGGGCTCCCCTTTCTATGTGCTGTTGTTTGGTAGGATAGAAAAAAAGGAACACAGGCTCTAGCTGAAAATGTGCCTAGAGGGGGCATTAAATGCAGATGAGCTCTTTATCTATATTTATAGAGTGTCCATTTAGTTCTCCGTGTGACTATCAAAACACTGCTTTATTATACTGACACAGTGGGACCAAACAACTGACAGCTCAGTTCTTTTTTTTGCCATCCAAAGCTTGTTAAGAGCCCATTAAAAGCAACATTTGCTTGTTAATGTATGTTACATTAAGCACTCAGTAGTGTTTTAACCAATTTAAAGCTATTTAAATGACAATAGAGATGTGATCGTCATGTTGGGGAGTTTTTTTTTCTCTTCCCTTTTTTCCTTTTTTTTTTTTTTGAGGACCCCCTGACCTTGACAAGAGAGGCTCAGTCCCCTCCCAGAAGCACATGCACGTTTATAGTTGTTCAGCAAAAGCCTCTGAAATCTGATCTGGAATGGGGTTAAACGAGGGTTGCACCCAGTTCAACCGTCTGTGTGGTATTTTAAACTGAGACTTGAAAGATGCAAGTGATGACAAAAGAAAGAGGGTCTGATAAACCACCTCAGTTTTTCATTCACTTCTGCACATCAATGCATCCTGTCACTGATTCTCCTTTATCATGTAACATTCTCTGACTCCAGCTACTGTATCTCTTTTTAATCTTTTTTTTTTTTGTTATTGCAGAGTGGAGTTTGCTGTGAACCGACTTCAAAAGAGCGGGAACAAGTGGGGATTGTACATTTTAAGATGTAGCCCCAAAGACTTCAACAGATATTTTCTGACTTTCCCTTCTAAGGTGGGTGATATTCACTGCTGATGGCTATTTTTTCCTACTATTCTGACATTTCTGGAAATATCTATTTATATATACATATATCATTTAATCTATTTATTGGACTTCTTCTTTCCACTCACTCACAATCTATCAGTTGTTCTTTGGTGTTCTTACTTCTGTCCTGTTTTGCTCTCAGTCAGGCCTGTATTCTTTATTTGCTTCAAAATCATTTCTTTTTTTAATTAATTAGTTAATTTGCGCCACTAAAGCCTTTTTTTTTCACTAATCTGATAACGTCAGATTTAATGCCCTACTACTATTTCTGAATATCTATGCAAATAAAGGTGTTTTTTTTTTCTTTTGTTTTCTTTTTTTTTGTACGCTTTGCCAATTCCGCTAAGAAAATAAAAATGGATTTAGATTCCTAGTTGTAATGGAAGACAAAATCTCTTAGACTGATCTTTTTATATCCAGTCATGGTCTATTGTTAGTTGAATTATTGAATTATTAAATGCTTCTCCAGCAGCTCCTTGATAAAACTACAGGAGCAACAACTACAACTGTCTTTGTGTTATTGACCCTAGTCCAAATTTTGTATATGTTGATGCCCTTATTGTTTGGAGAATCCAATTTTTTATCTGGGATTATGAAAACCACAAGCTATTAACAAATCCCTCAGTTAAAGCCACATTTCTATGCATTTTATTAAATTTAACTCAGATTTGTGTCTTCAAGGTGTACGACGCTGTGGATTACAAACACTGCCAGATTACTAGGTCCGCAACCGGAGAGTTTAACTTAAGCGGGACAAAAAAGAACTTCAGCACCCTGCAAGAACTTCTTGGCTGCTACCAAAAGGAAACGGTGCGCTCAGACAGCATCGTTTTCCAGTTTAGCAAGTGCTGTCCTCCTCTACCCAAAGGTAAAACCACCACAGTCAGTACAACAAATAAAATGTTAATGCATTTCTGAATTCATTCAGTTCATTATTAATAGGCACCTACATTTTTACTTTACACATCTCGAAAGAGTGTTGGCTGATCAATAGGTCCTGCTGCTGCACAAAGTTGCAAAGATGTGCGTTAATGGGTTGCAAATACATTTCACATATCGCCTTAGTGGAGGGAACATTTTATGGGACACCATGAAACAAACAAGCGGGATTTCCTGAAAAGAAAGCCATCCCTGTGTTCTGTCACGATGTGCTCGTGTTCCATGAGTTAGATGGAGAATAACACTCTTAATGTTTAGATAGTAAATTCTTTGTGTTCTTTCTGTGTTTGATGAAAGCCGGTTGTTTTCTAAGTATAGCTGAACCCTGAAAAACAATTTTTATGAGATTCTGAAATGCTTCGAGTTATGTATTCAAGGAGTGTGCAGGAGCGGTGATGTTGTTAGTGTCAGAGGGCGTTTGTTTTTGTTTTTTATCTTGAGCAACACAATTTTTTGGGGATGCAAAAGTAGTTTTCACTATATTCTTAAGTTGTTTCCCCTCATTTTTCATAATATGGCAATTATGAATGCATAAATGACTGCGGAAAGCCATTTTCAGACACTGGAGTCAGATTCCATAATCCTGCTGGAAATGCGAACAGAAAATATCTGAGAAATCACCCAATGGGCTTTTTTTTATCCTGTTCCTGCAAAGAAAAACTGTCCAAAAGATCCAAACTATCAGCCAGCATGTGTTTACGCCCCTTGCCTTGTTGCATCATTTTACCAGAAGTGATTTCCATGGTAAGCGATGACGAAATAATGCAGTTACTTTAAGCCCTGACTCATATCGTCAGTTCTGACATTCTGGTAAATTCTCATGTTTTTCTTTTTTTTTTTACTTTAGCAACAAAACCAGTTTAAGAAAATGTTTCAAAAGTCCTTTGAGATTGTTTTTTTTTTTTTTCACCAACAGAAAAGTCCTGCCTCCTCGTGTGCAGAAGCAACAGGGGTTCTGAAGTGCCTTTGTCTCCATCTCTACGACACAACATCAGTCAGATGGTGTTTCACAAGATCAGGAAAGAAGATCTGGACGTTGTACGTTTATTATTACACAGTGATGTAGCATGCAGCGTAACTCATTCAGCAAACCTGTGAGTTCAGGTGTTGGCTTGTTCAAAGTTGGAGTGTGATTTTTCTGTCAGGTGGAGAGTCTCGGTCAAGGGACTTTTACGAAGATCTTCAAAGGGGTCCGAAAGGAGCTTGGAGACTATGGATGTGTGCACCAAACGGAGGTTGTGATGAAAGTTTTGGACTTGACACACAGGAATTACTCTGAGGTGTGTTTACAATTTAAGCCATGCTATTTTGTTTCTGCAGCCCTTTAGAAAAAACCCTAAACATCTGAAAAAATGTATGAGAGAAAAAAAACTAACCCTTAATCAGCACAAATGCAGAGCAAAAATTAAAACACAGAAAATAATCAAATGACGAAGAGAGACAAAATTTAGATTTATACTAAATCAAATAAATATGGATGAATCATAACATTTTACATTAAAAGAGCACTATGAAGTGTCTGATTAAAATCCCTGACATCATCTCACATGGGGTTGAAGCTTTCTCCACGGCTCGGTTTTCTGTGGATTTTACTGGTTTAGCTAATGGTCAGCTCATCTGAGCACACGTGATGGCATGTTACCATGAAGCCCATCAGAGAAATAAAAATAGATGAGACTATTAAAGCACTGAAAAAAAAAATCATTTTCAAATCAATTTGTAAAGGGAACTGTAAGCCAATCGAAAAGACGCCTTAACCAGAGCGATGTGCTCCGTTTTGTGCCAGCTGTAGGCCAAGAGGGAAGCCTGGCTGATTCAGATATGAAGTAATAAAAGCACGAACCACTGCCTCCGGGTGGGAAAGAAGAGGCACTGGATTTTTGTCAACCCCTCATGTGAACCAAAAAAAAAAATCAAATATTTGATTTGTGAATCAGGATTTAGGCTGCGGTCCGTTTCAAAAGAAAAAGTTAATTGTGAAATGTACATTTGGAGCTAAAGGATTTAGACAACATGTGATTTTTTTATTTTATAGTATTTGTTTAATTTGAACTGGGAAGCAGTTGTTTTGGTCGTGAATGCATCCGGCCACATGTTTATCCGTTAATAAGATGCTTTTATACAGGGTTAGGTGAGGGCTCTTATCAAAACAAAATAGAGGCCACGGCTTCAGTGTCTTTTATCCCTTTCAGATAAATACAGTAGTTTTCTCTCTCTGGTTTTGTGTTGCAGTCCTTCTTCGAAGCAGCCAGCATGATGAGCCAGTTGTCCCACAAGCACCTGATCCTTAACTACGGCGTGTGTGTCTGCGGAGAGGAAAGTGAGTCTGCTTCAGAGGGACATGCGGCCATGTGTTGTAGCTGGACTCCCTGCACGACACCGTAGAGTTTATTGATTTAACAGTCCTCTGGGCTTCACTGTAATCTTGACCGTCCTCTGTAGCTGAAAGCAACCGTCCACCTGTGACTGCAGGGGGCTATTTTTAGTGGGATTAGAAACACCCTTCACCTGTCTTCTTCACCAGCACCACCAATGCACTTGTGAAGATCTGCTGCTGCACACTTGGGAGTGTGCAACTTTGATTACCTCAATTTCCCCAAATGAATTCTTAAATTTGACATCGTTTTAAGAGAAATTCTAGAATAATCGGTTCTATAAATGTTTTCCCCCACTTAAAATAGTTAATAATCCTTTTATTTTGCTACTCTTACTCATAAATTAACATTTCACAGCTGTTTAAAAGCTCACATGTTAACTCCACTGTGCGAGTCCTGCTCTGATAAGTTCATGGCAGAATGCTCCAGGGTCAACCTTTGGCTGACATTAAACGGATTTAAATGTTGCCATGCAAAAGCAATGGGGTGTGCTCCCTCTTGTCTATTTTATGGCTGGAACAGCTATATTGGACTTTATTCCATATGTAGTTTAGGGCTTACTGAAAAAGGAGATTAAGGCTGGCATGTTTATTTAATACCATTTTAGGATAATTGTTTAGGACATTTAATTTAACAAGATGTTCAATTAAAAGAGTTACAAATAAAGAAAAAAATAATACTTTAAGTGTGACAGTGATGTTAAAGTCCTGCAGAAAAAGTTTAGTTCAGCCAGGTGGATACAATGATGAAAAAGGAAACACAAAAAAGGCAGTTTCAGCAGACCTACAGTTCTATAAGAGGTTTTTCTCTACATACGGTGGTGAAAAACAAAAGCTGTCCGCGTGAACATTTCCCATTGTGTAATGTCAGATTTCAGCTCAAAAAAACATCTGAGTGCCTTGTGTTGCACCCCACAGATATCATGGTTCAGGAGTATGTGAAGTTTGGCTCCCTGGACATCTACCTGAAGAAGAACAAGAACTCCATCAACATCCTGTGGAAGCTGGAAGTGGCGAAGCAGCTGGCATGGGCCATGAACTTCCTGGTACATGCCCACACTGTCACACTTTCACTCAATGAATACCACCACCTCTGTTGCATGTCTGTGTACGCGTTGGCTTCAGTAGGACCTGTCATATTTAGTTATGAATACAATTTTAAAGGAAAAAGATGGAGGCCTATTTATTTTAGTCCTCAAGTAATACTGACGACCTCCTTTCTTTTTTTCTTCGTACCTACAGGAAGAAAAGCATCTTGTTCACGGCAATGTTTGTGCAAAGAATGTTCTGCTGATAAGAGAAGAGGACCGGAGGGCTGGAAACCCCCCTTTCATCAAACTTAGTGACCCTGGGATCAGCATAACTGTCCTTCCTAAAGAAAGTGAGTTTAGCATACAACAGTGACACATCGAGGACAAATAGATTTTTCCTCATTAACGGATGTTGTTTTGCCAGTTTATTTATGCATTGAATCAGTACATCAAGTGAAACTGATCTGAGATTTCTCAAATCTGTTTGTTTTCAATCAGTCCTGGCCGAGAGAATCCCTTGGGTGCCCCCCGAATATATCAAGGAACCGGTCAAACTGAGCCTCGCTGCAGATAAGTGGAGCTTTGGGACCACGTTATGGGAGATCTGCAGTGGTGGGGAGAAGCCTCTAGCATCTCTGGATAACTGCAAGGTAGCGTGATATTTAAAAGACCAACTGTGTTCGGTCAATATTTCATATTTGAAGCTGTCATGACACGCAAAGCCACGACAGTCTCAACTGTTAATCCGCCGAATGTCTGTTCAGTTTTCATTTGTGTGAGTAGGCAGATTAGGCGATTGCTGTTATTTCCCCAATAACAAGTGACCAACTACAATTGACTTCACAAAACATGCACTTATTTGAATAAAAGCAGAGGAGCACACACCACCTCTTGTCAATTAAACGCACTACAAAATAAGTTAAAAACAAAATCTTACATGGCACAGAAATCTGTGTTTTTGTAATTTACAATAATTCCCAGGACAAGTATGATCGTATTCACTGTCTTGTCACAACATGAGGGTGCAGATCAGCCTGTTTTGTTTTTTATTTTAATTATATTCTCGTTGATGTACTTCCATGTAAATTTGCACTTGTGGTCCAACTTTATTCTTCAATCATGCATCACAGAGAATCCAGTTCTTCGAGGACCACCAGCATCTCCCAGCACCAAAGTGGACCGAGCTGGCTAATCTGATCACCAGCTGCATGGACTACGAGCCCACATTCAGGCCCACATTCCGAGCTGTTATCCGTGACCTCCACAGCCTCTTCACACCAGGTATGTGTGTATCTCTCTGGCCCTCATACAGTCTCTGAATCTAAGACTATAGAATCTCGATTGTCTTCTAACTTGCCCCCAAAAAAAGCATGATTATTATATTTGCGGAGGGAAGGTTGCTTCCTGTTTTTGTAACATGACCTGAGATTATGGAATTTTATGGAGTTGAGATCACAATGTTTTCCACGTCCTTTTTTCGTGATAGCTACCGAAATCAGTAAAAAATGTTTTGTCTTGAGGCATCATTATTCTTTTCAGTAATGCTCCGTGGGCGTTCACTTGAATTCTCAAAGCACATAAATGGTGTACCAGGCACTTTTTCTCATTGCTGATTTTTTTTCATTACTTCTCTGTGTTCTCAGACTATGAGCTGATTATGGACAGCGACATCCTTCCAAACAGGACTGCCGGCTCTGGCTGGACAACGGGGGGTTTGGAGAATCAGGACCCAGCTCAGTTTGAAGAGAGACACCTCATATTCTTACAACTCCTGGGAAAGGTATGATGAGGCCTTAAGGGTTGAGTCCTTGTGGTGCCTCCATTGCTTAAACCTATGGAAAGTAAACAATAAAACACACGTATGATGTAATGTAGTATTGAAACTTATTTTAAATGTCATAATTGATAACTTATCAGTGATTTGACATTTTCCTTATTTTATTATTCTCTCATTGGCAGCATGTGTGTGTGTGTTCTCCATAGACATTATAGAAAAATGTCTATGTCAAATCAAATAATGTAGGCTCACCTCTGTTGGTCTTGTCCTTCAGGGAAACTTTGGCAGCGTGGAAATGTGTCGTTACGACCCGCTGCAGGACAACACGGGGGAGGTGGTGGCTGTCAAGAAACTCCAGCACAGCACTGCCGAGCACCTACGGGACTTTGAGCGAGAGATCGAGATCTTGAAGTCCCTCCAGCACGAGAACATTGTGAAGTACAAGGGAGTTTGTTACAGTGCAGGTATGTCCCCTTGGTTTTTAGGCCCCTTTGTTTCAATGGCTGCATCCTGAAATCACAGTCTGCTAAATCCGCTGCTGTTTCCTCCATTTATTTAATTACTTTCAATGTCAATATACTTGAAAACGTTAGTGTACTGCAGTTAAAATAGACTTTCATTATTTCAATGACACAATGTGATACACTGGCTCTGTTGATTCAGGGGGGGCAAGAATTTCAAGACTTCTAAGTAATAGTATTAGAGACCTGTTAAAAAAATCAGTTATCATTTCCAAGAATGCAACCGGTGCTCTAAATGAGTCTGTATTTCAACAGATTATATAAAGGCAGCTAACATATTCCTTTTCTCCATGAAGTCATGAGTAGCTTTGCACTGAGGTTTTTTCTCTTGTTTTGTGTGTGTGTGTGTGTGTGCGCGCCCCTCAGGTCGGCGGAATCTTCGCCTCATCATGGAGTATCTTCCTTTTGGGAGCCTGCGGGATTACCTCATGAAAAACAAGGAGAGGATTGACCACAAAAAGCTTGTCCACTACGCCTCTCAGATCTGCAAGGTACCTCTGCTTGCCCCGCCTCACCAAATAAGACCAACTGAAATGTTACATTTTTGTGTGTTTTCTGTTGGAAATAGGGTATGGAGTACCTGTCAAGTAAGCGGTACATCCACAGGGACCTGGCCACACGAAATATCCTGGTGGAGAGTGAGACGAGGGTCAAGATTGGCGATTTTGGCCTCACCAAAGTTCTGCCTCAGGACAAAGAGTACTACATGGTCAAAGAACCGGGAGAGAGCCCTATATTCTGGTCAGAATATTTTCAACTTTTTAGTGAACCATGTAACCATTTAATGTTAATCCATTGTCAGATTCTATTAATTCAACATTTTTTAAAGTCAAATGGTCTGTTTTCCTGACCGAAAGCCCTTTTAGGACAAAAACTTGAAAATTTCTGTTTCTATGATAAATGCTTATTTTGCTGGCCTTGGATAACAAAGCCCTGATACAGCTAGCTCATAATCTATGATTAGCAGTTCCTTGGAGCATTCCTCTATATCAGCCCGCTGTTGTTTTAAACGTGTTCTTGTTCCCACATTGCTTTGGACACGGTGACGCCTGCAGCATGGAGCTGCCTTGTTGAAGCGGAACTGGTACAGGCAGTCACATGATGTGTGTTTTGCAGGTATGCGCCGGAGTCATTGACTGAGAGCAAGTTCTCCGTGGCGTCAGACGTCTGGAGCTTTGGAGTTGTGCTTTATGAGCTTTTCACTCACAGCGACAAGCACTGCAGCCCTCCTGCAGTAAGTAAAAAGTCTCACTCAAGGGCAAAAACCTGCTGAATTTCACTGTTTTTCCCGGGGGAAACAGGGAAACGTCGGGGTACTCATTTGAAATCAAAAGCAGCACAAACAGATAGCCGAGAGGTGTGAGGTTTGTAAAGTCAGCCGCCCTTCCCCTTTTTGCATACAAACCCTGTGAAGTTTTAAAAATGTCTTCAATAAAAAAGGCAAACATTTGCATTAACATTGAGAAGCTGAGAGCTTTGAGCCTAAGGGACGGCACACCACACAGCGTGCAGCACTCGGTCAACAAAAAAAACAAAACAAGCCAATTAAATGCTTTCCCAATTGAGAATCTGTGTTTACCCTCAGTGTTTTAAAGTTGGCAGTTTATTTAAAATCACTCTACTTTCTAAGGCATTTCATTTTGACCGACCATCGTCACCCACAGCTCAGAGTGAGCGGCCTTTGTTCTTGCTGAAAGGTTAAAAAAAAAATTAAACTAGCTTCTTCTGGTAGATAAATCTATTTTATGTGTTTTGAACAAGCCTATGGAGATGATGCACAAAGCATTTGAGGCAGCACAAACGCCACTGCTCTTGCAGAGGCTTATTTATTCCTGATTATAGTTAATTTTAGCTACATACCTCAACATCAGGTGCCAAGTAGAGACCGCAACAACTGCTGTTTAAAGTGTTTGGTTTCCTCTGCATGCTGTTGAGCATTTTAAGATCGTAAAAAACACAAATTACCAGGGAATATAAACTTGGCAGACAACTCTTTCTCAGAACCGAACACCTTTTAAGCTGGCTGGCAGCGATCGGCGCTCCAAATGATGCTGAACAGGAGCTGTCTGGTGATGACTTACAAGAAAATATTTACCTTCAGCCCCATCGGGAGGAATTCACCTGGAGTTGCTCTGGGCTACTAAGTAACATTGGGGGCTATAAATTTTCATTTATGTGCGCGATAAAATTTGCACTTGTTTTAATTAGTTGTTGCCTTCAGCAAAGTACAGAATCCAGCTTAAGCCCGGCTTGTTATTGTTTATTTACCTCCTCACTTCAAAAAAATTATTTATTTGAAAAACAAATCTTAATGGTACATGACCCACTTTGAACATTTTCCCTTTTCTTCTCTGTATTTTATGATCGCCTGTCAACTTTTACGATCTGCGTGAAAATTTCCAGAAAAGTCCAGTTTACTGCGAAGTGACTCCTCACAGAAAAGTCCATAGAAGAATAATCTCAGTGATATTTTTTAGCACAGTACGTGCTAAAGAAGGGGGATGTTAACCCTGATGCTGAGAGGTCTCATTTAGCATAAATCTGTCTGGCTAACTTGTCAGTGTGTGCACAGTATTTGTATTTGGCATGAGTTTCCAAAAAATCATGTTCTGTAAAATAACAGGACAAGCTGTGACAAATGAACCACGACAACAGTTAAAATATCGTTTGAGTGCCTCGGGGCAAAAAGCTTCTTTTGCATCTCCCTACCTGGGCTGTCCTGTCTCACGTGGCATGTGGTTTTTCTGTACTCATCCACAGTTTTGGCAGGACAGCTTCTTCTGTCCAAATGACTGGCACTCCTTTCCGATTCATCTGTCATGTCCTACACACCCACTAAGCTTCTTGTAAACACGTCGTCATTGAGCAAGTCTGAGTGAAGCTACAACATTAGAGGAAAAGACATAGCTGTCAGAGCTTACAGATGGTTTTTGTGTATGCTGTGCACCCAAAGTGTGTTTTTTCTTTATAGTGACAGTCATTCTTTTAGGGAAAGTCTTCCCTGTCTGAGATCAGTTTTAAATCTGTCCGTTTTTTGTTATGCTAAATGAAACTTGTTTGTGAGATAGATTTTTTTATTTTCTTTTTTTTAATTTTAAGAACTGAATGTAATGAATTGAGAGCTCTGATGCCAAAGAAGCCTCAAAGCTTATCGTAGTCCTATAAAGCCCTCAGACCGTGCAGAGCAAGAGTGTTTAACAAGCTTAAACATGTAGCATCTGCTGTTTCCACCCATCTTTGTTTTGATTTCCGGAGAAAAACTGACTGTAACACATTTAAATATTACTCATGTACCATTGTGTAATAAATCCCTGCACTCTGTCAACCCCATGGCACCTGTCTTCATATATGTATGTCAATAACAGCCATTGTCTCATTCGTTGTCCTTTTTTATCTCATCTTCCTTCAGGTTTTTATGTCGATGATGGGCAATGACAAGCAGGGACAGCTGATTGTGTATCATCTCGTCGAGCTCCTCAAATCAGGCAGCAGGCTGCCTCAGCCCCTGGAGTGCCCTTCGGAGGTAAAAACATCACTTTTTTTGTGCCGGCAGTGTCTGTGATTATTTACACTTTCATACCATTTACACAAGAGCATCCTTGGTTTGGTTGGCCTTCGAATCTATTAAAAATTGATTTTCACATTTTAACAAGGAAACCTTCAATAAATTGGTGGATATACATCAGTAGTTGATAGTTATGAAGATTTGTGACCACAAGGAGAGGAAAATGTTGTTTGCTCAGTTTGAGAAATGATCAAGCAAAAGGAGCTGTGTTTTTTTGCCCTTCAAACACTGAGACATGACTGCAAGTATTTGCAGATTATGGAGTCCAAGCCAATGCCGTCAATTTTGATAAAGGATTTCTTTAAGCTCCTTTGCTAAAAACATTCTTTTTTTCATTTGTTCCCATCCTATCAGATACATGAGATCATGGAGGAGTGCTGGGACAAAGACCCCATCTTGCGTCCTTCTTTCAAGGAGCTGGCCCTGCGCATTGACCTGTTCAGGGACAGTAAGGAGTTTTAAAATCGCCCAAAGTGCCACCTCCCTCTTCAATCAAGGAACAATGGAATACTGGTGCCTGCATTGCGGCAAAGTGGAAAAGAATCATGCAAGATCCCTCTCCGGCTGGTTGCCTGCATTTGGAAAAGCAACGTGACTGGATAGGTGGTTTAATATGAAGATTTGCTCGAGAACAGTTTCTGAGGTGCCTTTCAGCCAGGCACTCTTCTGCTGCAGGTCTGCTGCAGAAAAGACTTGTTTGGCTGGTCAGACTGTTGAAGGTGATGGTGCTGACAGAGAGAAGACGTTTGGTCAATGTTTCAGAAGCAAACTTGAAGAATTTGTAGTGACTGAGACAAGATTGTTGTCAGAACAAGTTTTCTCTAAGTGTTTGAGGGTGTATTTTGTTCGTACAAACAGCTAGCTGGGCTAGCTCTTGCCACACCCCCCCCTTGTGCTGTCTCCTTAGAAGAAAATAGACTATATTAGTACAGTATTTTTCTGTACATATGAGAAATTTTTATAATTTTATAAATTTAAACTATGGTAAATACTATATTTGAAAAGCCAGCGCGATGTTGTAAATTAAGTACATATGAAGGTGATTTTAAAAATCTGTCATCGTCTGTTTTCAATGTGAGAGGTGGTGTGAAAATTAAAGAACATATCTGTGAAACAAACTCTAGTGTTGCATTACTTTGGACTTCTTGGTGATTTAAACAAAAGCCCTAAAAATACTTTTTAAACTAAACTATATACTGATTTTAAACTCCAAACAGACTGCATTCTTTCAATATATAGAAAAAAAAGAGGGGCATAACAACCTGTCATGGTAATTTGTCCAAGTGCTCATAAGGAATTTGACATTTCTTGTACCTTTTGTTGTACCTAGCCTTGAGCTAGACAACAGTCAAGAATGTCTTATTGTTAGTTTTGCTCAGAGGATATAAGAGATGGTTCATCTGCTCCTTGACACAGGAAACAAGTGTACAAGTTAAAACTGAATCTGTTAGACAGCTCAATCCAGGCTTCAATGAACAGAAGGAATATAGTAAAAAATTATATCTTGACCAAAAAAGGGTTTTGGTCAAGATACTATTTGATTAAAAGATAATAATAATGTATATTTTTTAAACACTTGATATGCATCTTATTGATTTTATTTTAATTTAAATTCCCTTAGTTGTGTATTTAGTGTCCTGGAAACCAAAGGTTTCTACTGTGGTCTTCTGTGCACACATTCGCTGAACGGCTGTAGGTATAACAGCTGGTATTTCCAATTCATCTCATCCCGTCCTCGTGGTCTCAGTTCCAAATTTAAAAAACTTTTTTTTTTATACCCAATTCGAATCTACTGTATCTTTGTAAGAAACATTTTTAATAATAAAAAAAATAAAAAAATCTCGGTTGATTTAATTCATGTTCATATTTGTACAAATATCGCGATTTGAATCGGACACGGTGGATCCCCGGATGTTGCTTTGGATGCAGGTTGAGCTAAACCTATTTGTCGCTAAGAATTTGTTCTCCGGTTATTTCGTTCCATGGTAATATGTTTATTTGTTATGTGTAGGCGTATTTCTTCGGTAACAATTGCTCAATGTATGTGACAAATATGCAAAAGTATACGCCTTGTATACATTAAATACCCGTAAGTGAGAGAATTGACGGGCAGAAGGTGTGCCGGAGTTTTAGGATAATATCGGGAGTTGGACCGACCTCAACGAGGGGAAAATGTAAGTTTTAAATGTATGCTTTTCTGTCTTTCTTTCTCTCTTGAACAGGTTTTGAAGGGTTGTATCTTTTGGTAACCTTTTGACACGTTTTAAATGTCCGTCTCTCTATGAGCAACATAAATTAATTTTCAAAAGTTTCAAGGAGTATTCACTTTTATTTGACCATAATTTGTTTTTTTTAATCATTTTTTAATTTAATTTAATTTTTTTAATGTATATCTATTGTATGTATGTACATGGACACAGAGTCCCCGTTTAACTGGACTTGTATATATTTTTCTTCCTCGAAAACCAAACACCAGAACATTTAGTTAAAACCCACGTGACCACTTCTTGACAGCCCTCACAGCTGCTCTGCATATGTGCAATTTGGAGGTTCCTTCTCAATGGTCCTGCCCACATGGGGGGTGGTTACATAACTGCCTCTCGGTACAGGCAGGAGAGCAACCTCCTGAGCATTTGAGGATGAAGTCCAGGAGAGCTGGACCTCCTGATGGAGGTTACGGCTGGGTGGTTGTGGCATCAGCCTTCTGCACCATGGGTCTTACGGCCGCTGTCCTAAAAAACTACGGCCACTTCTTCCTGGACATCCAGAGTCACTTTGGAGTTCTGACCAGCACTACCTCCTGGGTTACCTCGTCCACAATCGCCATGTTTCACATCGGAGGTAAAGATTTTTCCTCTGCCTGAAGTTTCTTGTCTGTGTTAAATCCAAGTTGTTCTACATGCCTTTTTTTTCTCCATCTCTGCAGCTCCGGTGGCCAGTGCTCTCACTTTACGGTTTTCTCAGAGGGTGGTAATGATAGCCGGAGGCCTGTTGTGCACTTTGGGGTTGTTTTTGGCATCACTGGACCTCAGTCTGCCTTGGCTCTTCCTCAGCATGGGCATCATACAAGGTAACACAGCTGCCATGCACCCAGAGGCTTAGATAGAACTTTTTCTCCTATGACAATCCATTTCTTTCAATTGCAACTGAGTGACTATTTGTAACTGCCTGCTTACTAAATTGCCCTGAGGAAAACAGAGACAAGTTTTTTTTTTTTAAATGTATGCCTGTTTTCACTCGCATTGATTTGATTGCGGTGGCGTGCATATTTTTAACATGATTCACAAATGTATCTTCTTCTGATCAGCATGCTTCCGGGCTAGCAGAATAGTTTTTAGAAGCATGGGAAGTGTATTTCATTGCATATTCTTGGTAAAATTATTTATAATATGTTTGCACTCCTTTATTACAATTCATCTTATGAGTAGACTCTTTTTTTTTTTTTCTCTCAGAAAATTGGATTTTTTCCATCACATTTTTAAAGAAAAACTTACAAAGCACCTTTACATGTCTAGAACACATCGAGGTTTAATTTAGGATTGAGTATCTTTCTTAAGGAGACTGTGAAAGGCATTTTAAGATCAAAGTAATGTTTCAGTGTATTGATGACCACTCTCAAGTTAAAACGCTGGAATGAGAAAATATAGACATGCTATAGATCCCCGTTATCGGTAATAATGAACATCAACCCCCAAGAAACTGAAAACTGACAGCCTCCACCCTGTTTTTCAGGAGCAGGTATTTCCTTCACTTGGATTCCTGCCATGAGTATGGTGAGTCACTACTTTGTTCGGTGGCGTCCCATCGCATATGCCATTGCCAGCTCAGGTGAGTGCGTATTCGCCATCGTGTTCAGTCCTTTCTTCAAGTGGCTCATTGAGACGTACGGATGGCAGGGGGCTTTGCTCCTCGTTGGGGGCCTTCAGCTCAATCTCTGCATCTGCGGCGCGCTTATGAGACCCCTGGAGACGAGCCAGACTTCCACACAGGAGAGCGGAGAGGACGATGCCGCTGCGCTCCCATCAAAGCGGAGGGCGCTCTTCCAGTGCTCGGTCCTGAAAAACCCGGAATTTCTTCTCTATATTCTGTTTGCAATATTTGCGGCAGCAGGGTTTTTCATCCCCACTCTCTTCCTGGTGCCCTTCGCCAACAGTGTGGGCATAGGCGACTACTGGCCCGCCTTCATCCTGTCTGTGCTGGCAGTAGCGGACCTGGTGGGGAGGTTGTTCTGCGGGTGGCTAGCTAACATGGGGTTTCTGAGGAACCTGCAGCTGCTCTCCATCGTAGCCACTCTGCTCGGAGTCGTCTTGCTCCTTCTTCCCGTCAGCCACAACTACTGGTCCATCCTGGTCTTCGCCGTGCTCTACGGCTTCCTGTTCGGCTGCGTGGTGGCCATTCACGTCACCTCCATCGTGGACATCGTGACCCTGGAAAGATTCGACAGTGGTCTGGGCCTCTTTATGCTGTTCAGGAGCATTGGAGGCTTCATTGGTCCACCTGCAGGAGGTGAGAAGTTGGTGTGGCTTTGTCTGAGTGGAAATATATTATCAACAAATGGTTTTCTTTTCTGGCCTGGATGTAGTTTTCTTCTGCTTGCTGGGCCCTTAACAACTCCCATTAACTCTTGACATGCACTTAAGAGAGGAAAGATTGACTGCAGCATCAGCTGACATAAAGAAAATGGCTCTCTAAACTAAACCTAACTAGTGTGTCCATTAATCTTGGAGGACTGAGCTGCCAGTGTGCATAGCTCTCATCTATGCACAGCAGCTCCACGTGCTGCCGCATGGTTGGAGGGTTAGGCTTTGTATCGGAGTCACATGGACAAGAAAAAAAACCCATGTGACGATGCACGTGAATGACAAACAGTCGGGACCTGAGAGCTCCTCAGAGGAAGCTTTAAATGTTTATATCATCATGATGTCATAGTTTAGTGACCATCATGATGTCACGGTTTATTGGCTCCTCAGTTCAGTCCAAACGGAAAGCTCTCAGAATCAGAGCGTATGGTTTTGTGATATTTGGTAGGGCAGTCCTGCACGTTCTCTTTCTTAATTTTGATCTTCTTTACTTTGGTAATACCTTTCTTTGAATCAACTCTTACCACACTTATGGTAAACATCATACCTTGATGAAGTTTTAGATTGATACGGGTGGTTTTGGAGAAAGTTCAGATCTGTTTTTTACACAGGTTTTCATGAGCGATAAATATTTCAATATGACAAGAAGCACTCATAAGTTATTTAGCAAGAAAGATTGTCACCTTTGTTGTTTATGAAAAAGAAATACTGTGCAGCACTTGCATCAACCCACAAAACCCATATGAGGATTATAAAATCAAACTGGTAATAGGTCAAAGGGCCTTCGAAACATCATCAGTTTGAATCAGGTATATGTCTCTTCCTAAAGGAGGAATGTTTCTGAGTCTGCTCCTTTCGAATACCTCAAGGTCATTTCTTTACGTTTGGCACAAGTGTTCACTTTTTCCCATTTGACTGAGCTGTTGACGAGAAGCAAAGGTGAAGGATTCTCCCTGAAATGGATGTATTCGAGGAAGCATGTCATGTAAATAATGGAGGCCTCTCTGTGACATGGGTGCCAGTTAGTCTGAGCATTTTGCCTCAGGAGCAATCTAGGGGAAGAGAGAACATGCTTATCATTAGCCTGCTGAAGGAGAGACAAAGAGATTTTGCAAAGCAATCTGTTTGCTTCTTAAACAACCTGAGGAAAGGGGTGCCCCTCCTGTTGGGCTGTTTTTTTGTCTCCTTTTTAGGCCTCGGTCTTGCAGATTACATTGAAACTGCTCAGTGACCTAATAGGCCTTGTTTTCTTATTGTCTTTTTCCCCCCAAGAAATAAAGGTTATAGCAGGGGCAGCAGATATTCCCCGGCACAGTGTGTGATGCTTGCTATGTTTCTTGTTTTCCAGGCTGGCTGGTGGACCAGACAAATGACTTCAGCTCTGCCTTCTACCTCTCAGGCTTCTGCCTAATTTCATCAGCAGTGTTTGTTGTTCTGGTGGACTGCCTGATCCAGAAGAGGAAAGCTGTGGAGAATGAACTTTGTCAAGGAACATTCCCAGAGGACGATAGGGAAACAGGAAAAGCCATATGAAACATAGCTGTGTAAGAATTTTTAAATGTGCTCAATGTGCCAGTTTGACTGCTTAGTGATGGATGGCGTTTGGTTTTATTCAAGCAGCTAGATTATTAGACTTCGATTCGCTTGTGGGGCAGCTTTAGGTAACTGAATGCATAATTTAAACTGAGAATTTTTTGTTATTTGTGTTTTATTTTACATATGTCTGCTAAATTAACCAAAAATAAATCAGGTGATTTCATTATTGAAAATATCTGTAAACAAGTAACAAACATGGTAACCTTTGCTTTTGGTACTTCCTGTGAATATTTACGAACTTGACATTTTCGCTGAGTACTTTGCATCAGCATGGAGGAAGTTTAGAGCATTTCTCCTGTCAGACCCGCTAAATCTGTGAGAAATTGCTCAGTTTCCACAATTGTTGGAGAGGCCAGTTAGGCATGAAAAACTATAGGATTTGGTCATGTAATTGACGGCAGAGCACAGAGACACTCTGAAGGTCCAATAGCCTCTCTGAATGTTGGGCAATACTTGAAATACCTCCTCAGTAGGTTGCAATATGCCTATAATGTTCTGCCTCTTAAAGAAGCCCTTGCACAATACTGGGCTTTCATTCACCAGTAGCAGGGGTTCATAGCAATATGCCTGTCAGACTTATGGATACAGGCCCCTGGTGATATGTCAACTGCGTGGAGGGGCACAAACATTTGTTTTCCCACTTTTCTATGAAACCAAGTTTTATCATGTTAGTGTGGTTGTTCAGACACGCCAAATTCTACCTGCATAGCTACAACAGAAAACCTCTGGAACAGATGTTTCCAAAAATTCAGTTTCTCAGGACAAACAAGGCCAGAAAGCTTCCTTTTAGTATCACAGTTTAACTGCAAAATCTAGTTCCATTATGCCCTGAACAAAGTTTGAACAAGCCTTCTGCTGCAGACATAATCCTGTGACAAACATGCTGCGGATTTTCAGAGGATGAATTAGCGGAGAATGGGTTGACACTAAATCGAGATTAAGGAGAAGGGTTGACAGTATTCTCTGTTTCATCGCCAACAAACGCAATGAAATTCTTTAAACTAATGGAAACTAGACATTTTGTGTATGCAAAAACAATTAAGGGGACTCTTTCAAACTACCAAATGGTTGGAGTCTCAACAGCCTAAAATCGTGTCATGCAGACCGACTACTTGACAGTGTTTCGCTCTGATGAAGAAGCTACATTGTCTGCTAAATGCATAGATTACCAAAAACATTCCTCACCCATCCAAATAACTGAAATTAGGTGTTCCAGTCACTTTGGCCTCAGCAGTATAAAATCAAGTGTGTAGGCATGCAGACTGATTCATCAAACATTTGTGAAAGAGTCTCAGGAGCTGGGTGAACTCCAGCGTGTTGCTGTTACAGGACACCACCTGTGAAACAAGTCTAGTGGTTAAACTTCCTCGCTCCTGAATATTCTGCACTATTGTGACTCCATGGAAGCGGTGTGGGGTCGGTTCCTCAGTTCCAGTGAAAGGAGCTCTGAATGTTTTAACAAACCAAGAGGACGGTTCCCTGTTCCCAGCTCTGTGCACACAGCCAGGTCCATACAGACATCGACGACGCGGTTTGGTGTGGATGACCCTGACAGGCCCGACCTCAAACCTATAGAACAGCTTTGGGATGAGACTGAGAGCCAGGCCTTATCATTCCACATCAGTGCTTCACCTCACAAATAAGGCTCTTGAAGAATGGTCGAAGATTCCCATAAACACGCCTGTCAAGGCAGGTGAGCTAATACTTTCTGAAATGCAATGTATGTCAGACTTTGAAAATATTGGTTTATAGAATGTCGTCTCAACTGTGTTGTTGCACAATAATTGCTCAGCTTTTGCAGTTTTATTCGTAGATATTTTGTTCTCTTTGCCATGGATTATGCTGTATTATTATGATAGTAAATTAATTGCTTTAAATTTGTTGAATGTGAAATCTGTGTAACTTTTCCAGAACATTCTTTATGCTTTTAGTGAACACATAAATCTATTCATCTGAATTAGTTTAAAGCATTCAAAGCAAAAATGTTGCCCCTAAAATTCAGCAATTAAACTAAAATTTCTTCATGGAAAGCTCTTAGGGCATTTACTGTGGGCGATGATGACATGTCTGGAAATTATGTTGGTGAAAATATGTTTTATAATTTCAGTTTACTTTTGATACTTTGTCCAAGTCCATTTTGAATTAGTTTTTTTCATTCATAAGGATTGCTCCACAATCCAGTCTGATATTTATTGTAGTTCAGATATTTTCTATTCTGGCCTCTGGTACATTTTAATGATGCACTATAGAAGTTGCTTACATCATAGGTTTCAGAATTTGATCTGCCTTATCCTCAATTGAAAACGGGGCCTAAATTATTTGTAAATGATCACCTTTTTGTCAGCATTATAGCCCAAAAAGTGTCCCAGCTAAGTTTGGAATAAAGTTTGCAGGATAAGAAGATGTGCAGTTTTCTTTTTGTCCATTAGGTCAAACAGAGTACCGTATAAATTCAGTAGGTGGCAGTGCAAACTCACTTGTGTTTCCACAAAACTCAGAGCAACAATGTTTAATTTTTTTTTTCCTACAGAGAAAACTAGATTAGAAAAAAATCCATTTAGAATCAGAACGGTCATCTAAGTTGATGAACAACACACATGAAAAAAGTTTCAAATAATAAACGCGTATTAACAAAAGCCTACAGAACTACAACTTCCATCTTTGTGATTAATCAAGCGACAAAACAGGAAGCTATTTTACAGAATGAAAAAAACACAGGCACAAAGGGCATTTTTATATCACATGAACTGATATAAAAATGGGAGGGGGGTTGGAATTAAAAACAAAAAGTTCCTCCTTTTGGTCCGTTTGAATAGTTCGAGATAGGGTAAGCTCAGTCCCAATGCCCACCTCTCAGACAATGATAGACATCATTGACTGCTCAGAGCTACCAAAGTGAGAAATGGTGTGTGTTGGCTCTCCAGCAGCCTAAAGTCGAGTGTTTTATGCATCGGTGTAGGTTTTGTTACAAGGGTTTGACTTATCTTTACAGGGTGCTACAATTTCTGACTTTCTAATAACATCCATTGCCACATTACAGGCTGTCACTTCCTCTGAAATCCCTCATCTACTTTCAACTATCACAATCGAGTAGCATTTCTCCTCACAGTTACACCGAGCTCTGCTGTTGTTTTAAGTCTTGAGGTTTTTGTGTTTTTAAGGTGGAGCATTGGGACAGAGCAGTAGATCGCATCTATGAGGAGGCTCTGTTCTCCTCGTATGGAGACTCGTAGACTTCCATGGGTGGGCAGGTGCACACGAGGTGCTGGTCGCCGTAGATGTCATCAATCCTTGAGATGGTCGGCCAGAATTTGGTCTCAGGCCTGATGAAGGGCTGCAAGGTAAGAAAAAAAAAAAACAGATGGTCTCTTAATAGGATTGTGAGGTGAAAATCCATTTAAAAACTCTTAATTAAAATGTCTAATTCACCTCTTGATTTTGTTTAATGCTGTGCTGCAACTGACAGTATTTACGTTAGGACGCAATCTGCCTTTTATTTCTACATTTATTGCTAGTATCATTAAAATAAATGGTTCACTTCCCCCTTTTTTAATAATGAAAAGTCCAGGAACCATTTATGTCTTTTTAAATTAGATTAAGTTCAGTTATGAATTCGCTGTATATCTGGAAGTATTTTCTTTTTTTTTGCCGTTGCATCTCAGCTATTTATTCAATAAAACAACATCTGCCTTTTCAGTGTTTTTTTTTTTCCAAACGGACTGAATTGAAGAGAAATTTTAAAGCAATAACTTTTTTTTTTATTATGTTAGTTGGACTTTATTGGATTCATATTTATGTAATTTAATAATTTGCAATGAGTTTGTTTGTGTTTAAAGTGCCCTCAGGTTATTTTTTGTTAGAAATTAGTGTTATAATAATCTAAACGGAACATTGAAGAGGAAGCAGAGTGCAGTTATTGTTATGCTTGTCACACTTCTTATTTTTCACCACTGGAGGGCAGAAGAGTCAAAGAAAGTTTTTACCCGAAGCTGTGAGACTACAGAACAGAGGAATTAAACTGCCGTTTGCAGAGCTTTGTTTAAGGATTGCTTCCCTGGCTTCACAACAACCAGAAGCATTTGTGGATGAGATTTTGAGTTGGCAACTTCAAAATGACTGACAAATTTAGATTCAGCATTGAGTGGGAGGACACTCACCAAAGGGAAAGCAGCACACTCCCTGGAGTAGGGTCTGTCCCAGTTTGAGGAAGAAATGCATGCCAGAGAGTGAGGCGCCATCTGCTCACAGAACAGCAGACAAACAGGCATTAGGACCCAAGATGGCAGCCGAAAGGCCGCATGTCACAGACATATAAATCCCACACCACACATAAATCCACCGAAGAGTTTACCTTTAGCGGGTTGACGCGGGAGTCCATCCTGCCCTCCTCGATGTCAGCAATCTCCTGTCGAATACCCAGCAGGGCGTCACAGAACCGGTCCATCTCGGCCTTGTCCTCCGACTCTGTGGGCTCAATCATGAGCGTGCCGGCCACCGGCCACGACATGGTGGGCGCGTGGAAACCTAAACCCCAGCACATGAGCAAATGTTCGACCACTGTTCCTGTTGCAGGTGGAAAGAAACGGGTTCAGGTCCACCTACCATAATCCTGCAGCCTCTTTGCCACGTCCACAGCCTCAATGTTAGCAGTCTTTTTGAACGGCCTCACGTCCAGAATGAATTCATGTGCAACAAAACCTGATCATAAGAAAAGGGAGCGGTGGTCATAGTAATGCATCCTAAAATGAACAACAGAAATATCTAATTGTAGAAACAACTTGTTACCTTTCCTGCCTCTGAAGAGGATTTTATAGTGACCTTCGAGTCTTTTAGCCATGTAGTTGGCATTAAGAATGGCCACTTCTGTTGCGTGAACGAGTCCCTTGGATCCCATCATCTAAGCACAAGAAACAGAATAATTATGATTTTTACCATTTGTTTTCTTTCTACTTAGAAATTAGAATCACATTATTACACTTATGGTGAGCTTTTTGAGTCATGTTGGGAATTCTGCATTTCACACATGATTCCAGGGCAGAGATTTAGGATTGTGCCATTCTGACTGAAAAACCCATCAGCTCACTGACAACAACAACAGCCTTGTTTCACCCAGATCTGTGCTGACCTTGATGTAAGCCCATGAGATTGGCAGGATGGCGCTGGAGCCCCAGGGAGCGGCGCTGATGGTGCCCAGCGAGCTGCTGCTGTTGACCGACTGCATGGCGACCACGGGGTGGCTGGGCAGGAACGGGGCAAGGTGGGCCTTCCTGTAAAAAACACAGGAAGACTCCATGAGATTCAGGGTAATTAGATCAATATAATCCTGATACTTTAATTTCCCGGACTCTAAAATCAGAAATATTTCATCTGGCTACTCCAAAAGTTGAGATTGTCGCTTACACTCCGATTGGGCCCATTCCAGGTCCTCCTCCGCCATGAGGGATGCAGAAGGTTTTGTGCAGGTTCAGGTGAGACACATCAGAGCCGTAATCTCCAGGACGACACAACCCCACCTGAGTCGTACGGTAAGGGCAGAAACAGTTGTGCTTTTGGGTTATACCTGCAGGGCTTTTGTTTCATTAAGTCTGGCTGCTTTGTATGATGGTGATGATGTCAGAGAGTCATCCTCACCTGGGCGTTCATATTGGCTCCGTCCAGATACACCTGGCCTCCGTTTGCATGAATGAGGTCACACACGTCTCCGACATTCTCCTCAAAGACGCCAAATGTGGAGGGGTACGTGATCATCATGGCTGCCAGGCTGGCCTTGTGCTTGTCCACCTGGAGGAAATTACAGTAGATCACTTAAAGCTGAACTGTGCCAAATGCTACTCAAGATATTATCCCCTTAAAAATGGGACCCTACATATATCTGTAAACAGAAAAAAAATACTTACAACTTGTTCATTTCCTTACTTTTACAATTCAACACATCAACCCTCCAATGAACACAAACCCGCTAAGTTTATCTAGTGTTATCAAACTGTTCTCACCAGTGCTTTGAGGTGTGCTATGTCGATGTTGCCGTCTTTGTCCACCTCCACCACCTGTACCTTCATGCCCGCCATCTGAGCGCTCGCTGGGTTGGTGCCGTGGGCAGATTTTGGGATAAGACAGACCTGAGGGCAACAGAGACAGCACGGATGACCCAAAACGTATAAACAAATATATAATATGAGCCACTGTGGCAAAACTTGTCACCTATAATTTCAACCCAGTCAATGAGCTATAACTTGGGATGTGTACAAGAATGTACATAAGTAAGCTCGTATATATCAACTCTTCTTTATGCTGAAAGAGGACATGACTAAAGGGAAGGGATCCGGTACAGTTCCTTGGCTGTATTACCATAAAATAAGGTATTAAACACAATTTTTGCACCGTAAGCACCGTAATAGCTCAGTGTGAAGAAATACTGTAGTCAGTTTGACCTACTAACCATCCACCCCTGGTACTAATGAGTAACATGCCACTAATTGATTTTATCCCTTATTAGGACGACACTTCAAGCATTTTGCAACTTAGTCACGCAGTAAAGGTTGGGCAGTCAGACCCGCAGGTCTGCCAGCGCTGACATCTGACCGACTGTGAGAGTCTTAAACACCCAAATATGGAATCTTGACAGCCTACGATTGGATCTCACAGTTCTAGGCCCCTTTGTTTGCACAGTTGTTAGTTTGGACCTTGACTGTTACCAGGGATCAGCCCACTATCTAAGATGTACTTAAGAGGAAGCTATTAAACAAAGGCTGTTACGCTGGGACAGAAAAATACTCAAGTCAGCCATTCTTTAATCTATCGCTGGAGTCTTATCTCCCCTTGTCCCCCGAGCTACTAACAATCAGCATGTCAGGATATTGGAGGAATTTCTTACATGGATATCTAAAAAGTGACCTGTCAAAGTGACCCGCGAACAATAAACCCATCTGTGAGAAGCTCAGACTGATAGAAGTTACACAGTGTGGCTTTTTTTTTTCCAGGCTAATGCCCGACATTGACCTCCCTCTGTAGGGATCAGTGAGTCAGTACATTCAAACTAGTGGTGATTAATCATCTGTATACATAAGCCATGCAAGTCTTGTTGGAGCAGTATTTTGTTTTAAAAAAACAGTTTTACTGCTTATCCCATTTAAATTCTCTTTAGGAAAAAAAATACACAATAGATATTACTTGCTATCATTTATGGGAATTACATGTCAGAGGCTTAGAATAAGTGGCTTATCTCAGCTCTGTCAAAAGAAACAAGAATTCTGCTGGCGGCTCCATTCTAATCTAAATATCTGAGTTAAAACTTTTCATCTTATCAAAACCAAACAGGACCAAGTCTTGAGTGTTTTTGTTTGTTTTTTCGTTCTTTTGCGAAGCAAGCAGCACCTATTTTTTCAGTGTGTGAAGGGTACGGCCGGTGTTCTGATCGTGTGTTTGGTTGGTAATCTGTCCTAGGTGCGCCCTGCCTCTTATCCACGGGGGTCTGGGCAAGGCGCCAGCCCTCCCAATTAGTCCAATTTGTGTTGGCCACATAAAGGGGTATTAAATCTCTCATTGACTTAGGCTGATTTTGTCTGACTGCAGGCCAGTCCGGCTTTCATTTCTCCACATTGCAAAAGCACACTTACACTTCTTGAACTCTCCCCCTTTGAGTTCAGGTAGGCTTTTATGGCTGCCAGGCCAGCGTATTCTCCTTGAGCTCCACTGTGGAAAGAAAATGCAAAAAAATACCCTGGTCATGTAATGTCAGATAGATGGTCAACCTCCCCATAGTCCAAAGAACACTCTACAGACACTACCAAAAGAGGAGAAACAAGCTGAATGAAAAGCTAGCAGGGTGATAAGCCTCTTTTCCAATGGTCCTGATAACAGATGTGGGTGGGGACTTTGAAACCTAAAAAGCATGAATGCCTGTCGGTGTTGACCTTGTATAATTGGGAACAGACGATTTAACCGCAGGCCTCTTTTTTGTCCACCTAACACACACCTGAATGCATTTCTTGTAAGACGTTTAGATTTACATTCTAGGCCATGAAGAAGCATTTTTTAAAAATATTTGTACTTATAGACTCTGCTTCTCCAAGGTGCTCTCATTTTTTGGGAATTCTGGGTTCTAGTAGTCAATAACATCAACTGAGCAGAAGATAACACAGTTCAATTTGCAATTTCTTTATTAGTTTAGAGAAAATCGTTTGAATACAAAAATTCAAGTTGGTGACGAATATTGAATGAGTCAGTCATTTTGGACTAATTTTGGAGAGTCATTTCAAACGTTTGTGCTCTTTAATCTACCCGAGTCATATCATAGTAGGTCTTCCAAACAACATGGTGAACCAGAAAGGTTAACAAATGTGTGTAATATGTTTTTGGGCTGAAATGGTGTAATAACCAACCAAATCTTGCCATCGCCAATTGTTCCATTCATTCCAGGTTAAAAGTAAGAGGTAAGGAGTTGATAAGTTGAAAATAAAATCATGTTTTAGATTTGTACATCAGCGGTCAAAAGCATAGCAGACTTTGGTAAATATAAACTATTGGTGAACTACTTGATGTGGTGGTCTCACCTGTTGGGCTGGAAGGAGATCTTGTCGTAGCCCGTCACTTCGCAGAGATCTTTTTCCAGCTGCCTGAAAAGCTTCTGGTAGCCCTCTGCTTGATCCAGGGGCACGAAGGGGTGGATGTTAGCAAACTCCCTCCAGGTGATGGGCTGAAAGAGGACACAGCAGTGAGACGGAATACAAAACCCCATCACGCTAAACTGCCAAGTTAACTCATGAAACAAATTGCCTTGACAAGAAATGCTGTGAACCCAAGTCCTCCTGAAGATGACATGAAAGTGAGTAACACCTGAAAAAGGCCTTTGACTTACCATGAGCTCTGATGAACTGTTGAGCTTCATGGTGCAGGAGCCCTGAAGGAAAAAAAAAAAGTTACTCCCACATCTCTTCACCTCAGAGAACAATAATCCCAGTCGTTTGTAAATCGGAGCACGTAGCAGAACTAACCAGTGGTATCATGCTGTGCACTAGGGAGATGTCCTTGTTCTCCAGGCGCTTCATGTATCGCACAATGTTGGTTTCAGAGTGGTAACTGAAGAGAAAGATGAACCAGGCAGGGCAGAGGTTTTAGCCCAGTTTTTCTTGTTGTAGGAGACCAAAAGTTACATAGTTTAAATCTAATACTTGCTGTGTTGGGCTAATTCACAACGCCTTTTTTTCCCCATCTCGAATAATCACAGTACTTGAACATTAAAAGTCCTGATATCTGACTTTATGGTGCTAATAAAGATTAAATGTTCCGCTTTTAGAAACATCGAGTTGCGAACATTGACCCCTCACTTTTACTTCAGTATCTGCCGAGGAAGATATCAGAACTGCAAGAAAAGGTAAAAATCCTGAGTGCTTCCCTTTCTATATCAGAGGCAGAGGAGGAGCAGCTGTGCCAAACAGCCACGGAACCGACCTGTTGAAGACCTGGTGCGTGAGGAACTTGCTGGTTCTCTTGAAGGGACTCCCCATGATCCCCTTCACCCGCTCACCCATCTTTTCTGCGATCAGCTCCTGGAAAAAAGTCAACCGACATCACTTTCAATCCATCAACAAACCGCAAGCCTCAGTGCTTTTGGCAACAGAAGAAGGGGAGCATGAAAGTACTACATGAAAGTGCATCAACGCACCGCGGACGATTCACAGCCGAAGACCCAGAGCAGGTCGTCCAAGTCCCTCTCAGTCACCGTCTCATCCAGTGACACCCCCAGCTGATGATGAGGAAGCAAGAACAGATGTTTGGTTGTTGTTGTTTTTTTTCATTTGAAAAGTTTTTCCTCAAAAACACAAAAAGGAAATGTAACAAAACGTGTGGCCAGTTGGTAACCACTAGTTCTGTAAGATCTGTTTCAACATATCCAAAACAAACCCAACATTTACCCAGAAGATAAATCATCCTGGAACCCTCTCCGTGTAAATGATGAACAGCAGGACTGTAAATCTAATCTTGGTTGATCAGATTTCTAAATCTGTACACTAAGCACCTCAGTGAGGACTATTGATTAGCCAGTGCCACAAGCAGCTATCAGCACTTCCAAGCACCAACAATGTTTTCAAATGATTGAACGTGACAAAGATTAAAACTGCATTTTTTTCCAGATGAAATATTCCACTCCTCAATATTGAAACTCTTCTGGTTTGGTCAATGTGATTTTGTTGAGCAAGCACAGGAGTTTAAAGGTGCAGCGTTTTCCCCCAAAAGCACGCATATACTGACCACTCCCTCAGAGAAGGCCCGCAGGTTTATCTGCCTCTGCACAGCTCGCTCCAGGATGTCTTTGGCAGCCACGCTACAGTTTATTTTGAGCGTGTCGAAGAACATGTCGCTGTGCAGCCGGTGTCCCGCTCTCTTCAGACCTGGAACAGAGAGTCGGAGGGCGCCGTTTAACAGGGAGAGAGAAACTGGACGCATGCAGGCTACTTCAGAATACTTCAGCTCAATCCACAACATCAGAAACAACATCTGGAATTTTATTCAGCTTTCTTTTAGCCTTTTTCTAGTCTCCTGAAGTGGTGCTTTGTAAATCTCATAATTTAGTAGAAAAACATGGAAAATTGACCTTCAGCGAGGATCAGGGCAGCGTTGTGCGTCCTCTGTGCGATGTGTTGAAGTCCCTGGGGACCGTGATACAGAGCAAACATGGCAGCCATGTTGGCAAGCAGAGCCTAAGAGGAACAAACAGAGAGGGAATTCACTTTTAACGACACGATGGACATCATCGTTGCCCATGTACAAAAGACTTGTGAACGCGGGCGCACCTGTGCTGTGCAAATGTTGCTGGTCGCCTTGTCTCTGCGGATGTGTTGCTCCCTGGTCTGCAGCGCCAGGCGGTACACCTCTTTACCGGCTGCATCCCTGAAACATCCCAAAATACGTTTTTGTCTCAATCTGAGTTACATCTCGTGGGTTCGATTCTCGCCCCCGGACGGAAAAAAAAGAATGAAAAAAAGCCACTTGGACCCACAGTTTTATGGTTTACCTGGTCACTCCCACCATTCGGCCGGGCATCATCCGCACCAGGTTCTCCTTCACTGAAAAGAAGGCGGCGTGCGGACCCCCATAGCAGAGAGGGACCCCGAACCTCTGCGAGCTGCCCAGCGCGATGTCAACCCCGAACTCTCCGGGTGGACGCAGCATGCAGAGGGCCAGCAGGTCGCTGGCGCAGCAGGCCAGGGCCTGAGGACGGAAAGCAGGCCAGTTCATTACCCTTACGCTTCCATAGAAAGACAAATAACCTGTGAATAGTTGCTCATTCCCGACCAGTTGGGGCTAACATTTTTCTTTCTTGTTTTTGTTCATTAATGGGGTTTTATTAGGATGCTTTATGTCCTGACCGCACATGTGCTGCATAGAAAAATGGGCCAAAGACCTTGATGACCATGCGTTACTTACTGAAAAGGAGCGATAACTCGTATGTGACATGTGCCAACCTCCAGACTCCGCAAGGGTCTCTTTTACTTTAGGAAGCTATCTTTTCGTATTTCGCATCTTTAGTTCTACTTGCAGACTTGCCTAAAATCTTGTGAGATGTCCCACTCTGGAGGGGATGGGTCAAAGGTCTCTTACCCCCCCCTTGTGTGCCCGGTCCACCAGGGCAGTGAAGTCCTCCACTCGGCCGTCGGTGTCTGGGTACTGAAAAAGTACACCGCTCACGTCCTTCCCACTGAAGTCCATCTCATGAGGCAGCTTTAGTTCCACTTTTACTCCAATGTAGCTGGAGAAAAAAGAAAGAATTTGACGTTTATGGTGTGTTGACGGAAACATAAAAGCTAACAGCGAGCTCGGGTTGGGGTTGCATTAAGCCTGTGCATCTGTTGGCTGTGTGTGTGTGTGTGTGTGTATGTGTGTGTGCTTGTGTGTGTTGGTGGTACCTACTTGGCTCTGGTCTGTACTACAGCAATGGTCTGCGGATGGCAGCGAGGGTCAACGTAGAAGATTCTTCTTTTGTTCTGCCTGTAACAAACCAGAGTGTCTGTAGAACCCGAAACTCTGGGGAAACGCCTCCGACTGCAGTTCGGGGTGTGGATACCTGTGGCAGAGCTGCATGGCCTCGGCCGCCGCCGTCCCTTCGTCCAGCAGCGAGGCGTTGGACACCGGCATGCCGGTGATGTCACAGATCATGGTCTGATAGTTGAGCAGAGACTCCAGGCGACCCTGGGACACCTCGGGCTGGTAGGGTGTGTACTGAGTCACCCTGAGGACCAAAAGAACAAAAAGAAACCCCACTACGAATCAACAAAACATGCTAGGAACCAAGCACAATGGCCCAGAGTCAATGCTGTTGAAGGGAGCGGGACGGGACAGAGGAATGCTTTGTACGTCTCCTCGGGTCCGGAAAAAAAGAGATTTTAAGAAAAATTTGCAGGGGTGGCTGATTTGGATTTGTGGGAAACAAAATCTTGTTCATCCCTTCTCACATGAGTCTTTAAGAGTCAAGTCACAAGGCCTCCGATTAAGGGCACGTTACCCAGCACCGCAGCAATCAAACCCTCAAACGAGCATGACCGATTATCATAACAAGAAACCAGCTCACACCACTTTAACAGAACTTTTTTTTTTTCTTGAGAGGGCGCTCACCAGCCTGCGTTCTCCAGGAGGTTCCTCTGGATGGGGGGTGGCACAGAGCAGTTGTAGTAACCCATCCCGATGTAGGACCTCCACACTTTGTTCTCCGATGCGATCTTCTGCAGCGCCTCCAGGACCTCATTCTCGCCTGCAAGACAAACCCCCGTCCCCCAAGTCAGACCAGCTCCAGGTGCCGAGCTCTGAGTGGTGGCAGTGGGGGCCAATCAGAGTGGCGTGCAGCCAGTCAGCCGTGGTCGACCCAGTTAGAGATGCAACAGTTTAAGAGTTAAATTGACAATTACGTGAATCCCCGTTTTCGGATGGGTCACTTTGTGATATGTGGAATATTTGGGAGCTCGAGGAGGCCAGTAGAAGTTTTCTTTATCAAACCTATCGACATATTTGTGGATCTGTGTGCATGAGAAAGATTAGCCAGGTATAGTCTTGAATACAGCAAGGTTTTTTTAGATGATTGCAGTAATGGATGCAAGAATTAGGGAGTAGAGTTAAACGGGTGATAAGAGTTTTACTGTTTGAGTAACATTGCTGGAAATCTTTAGTGTTTCGAGCTGTTCCTCGACAAGGCCGAAGCCCGAATGCCTCCTCTCCTGATGTTGAGCTGCATTCCATGTGCTGTAGGGCGGCTCAGCCAGCCTCTGGGATACTTCTGGCTTTCCTGGCTGCCTAGCAACCAGACAATACCCACCCGCCTGTACCAATGGCACTGACTACTCCTGTGTTCGAAAAAAGAAAGATACCTCTGGCCCTCTGTGGCAAGAAGAAGAGAAAAAAAAGAGGATCACCAGTGTACAAAGGGGTTTTTACTTTTTTTTTTTTTAAAGGAAAACTGAAGTCTGAAAGTTTACGGGTGACAAAAATCATTACAAAATTGCACCTGTAGTCACTAATGAAAAAACTGTTGGTGAATGTTTCCTTCTCTTTTTATTTTGTGAGTTTGTTTTAAGACGGAGGAGGAGTGCTTTCCCATGGTCCCAGAGTTTTGCAGGCCAGCAAAAAAAAAAAAAGCCTGATTCAGAACCATCCAGGAGGTCTATTGTTGAGGGGAGAATCCCTCGCTGGCTTTGCAAACCGAAGCCCTTCAAAGCTGAACAAGCAGAAAACCAGCACAGCCTCCAGTTTAGTCCTTCAGCTCGGTTTGCTGCATTATGAAACCGGACAGCGTCAGAGGAGGGGCTGACCAGGGCAGATAGGAGTGACTGGGGTCACCAAAAAATAATAAACCTGACTGACCTGTAAATTCTAACTAACCTTTCTCTTTAACGTTGGACTCTTTTAGAGTATGTTTGTCACAAATCTGTTTCGCAAAAATGTAAAAAGTCTGTCCTTGGTATGGGTGATTAATCAGTGTGGATATGTCACCTTTAAAACACTAAAAATAATCAGTCAAAAATGTTCCATAAGAGCGAAAATACTTAATGTTTAACCCAAGTTGACTCCTGGAGATTTAAGGCATCCGGATACTTCCACCTCATAAGATCTTTTCACTCTTAAAGGCTCCTCAGTTCAGTTCAGGAACTCGTATTTGCTGACTGTCTTCAACACACACGTCTATGCATAAAAACCGACTCCAGACCCCCACTTATGGTGGCAGGCAGGCCGAAATATGAAAATGTTTTCATAATAAATAAATCCATTCCAGCCGAAGTTAAATTTGTCTTCTACAAACTTGATCACGCAGCACTTTTTCATTTCTCAGGCCGGTTAATATGTAAATTGATGCATTTACCTCCATTGTTCCTGAGATCTGCCTATTTACAGGCAAAATTCACAAAACACTTCACATCAAACCACCATGAGTGGAGCACTAAAATGCATTGGATGTCGCCAAATAATGTCCTCAGTCTTTTTTTAGAGTAGTTTGCTCTTCGGTCATTGTAAATTGATTTTTTCTTTACTCTAACTTGGGGAGAGGGGGCAGGGGGGGTGTAATGAGTCAGACAAATAAGAAACTTGTTATCTCCACATTTTTTGCTTTACAGCTTAGTGAGAGGCATTGTTCGTGGTTTACAGCCGGCTGATAAGTGAGCTGATCAGACATATGGACACAAACACTAGTGGAAGCACACAGCAGGCCTGGGCCACGCTGGGACTTAGAGACGGAATTCCACATGCTCCCAAATCAACGATTACAGAGAAACACATCATTTGTTAGAGGGAAAGCTTTCGGACCATTTTATATTGCACAACATGACAGGTGTAGATTTTTTTCCATATTTTTTCCATACTTTGGAAGCCCTGCATGTCCTACCAGTGCCCATCAACGACCCCAGAGAGCAGAAATAGCGTTTTCACATGCAAAATAAATGCCCTCATTCGCATATGAAAACATTCGCTCCACCTCATATGGAAGCATCTTAAAGAATTTCTCTGAAGTCGTTTATTGTCATTATGTGATCCGCATTCCCCCTCTCTCAAATAATCCTAAAACAACAGGGACGAATTGAATTGCAGATTTAAGACACGCACGTATCCAGGCCAGCCTCGCGCAGACTGACCATCACCGGAGTCCCCTTATTAGGAACCCCCTCGGCTGTGATGTAATACGGGCGCTGTAACCAGATTGAACTGGAGCTGAAGGGCTCAACTTCACACTCCAGTTGCCATCCTATGAGCATCGGCTTCCCATCAGGAGATTGGTGCCGCTCGCCGAGTTTCGCGAAAACAACTCCAAATATGTTCAAAGGAAGACCTGACAGGGACGCGCGCAGCGCGGCGCACAATAGAGGTGCAACCTACATTTCAGCCACTCGCTTGGCTTCATTATAATGCCCGTTAGTTGGGCGAGGAGGAGGAGGAGGAAGAGGAGGAAGGGGGGCAGAGAGAGCCTAAAAGCGGATTTTAACGTCTGCTGAGTGGGGGAAAAAAAACCCAAAGAGCCCAATTAAAGCCATCCCCAATAAGATATGGTCGAAATAGGTTTTGTGCACAGTTTTTTTTTCTGATTATTTACGACACAAACTTACAGATCGGGTCATCCATCTTCATACTCCGCTGCACACGGATGGAGGCTGGGACTGTGCTTTCGATCAACTGGTCGATTGTCTGTGAACAGAAGCATTTGGATGAGCAAATGAATCAAACAAAACAAACAAAAAAAAAGCATTTTTTTTGCAGATCGGAACGTTTGCGGGTCTCAGTGCGCACTTTTGGATCAGCGCACTCTTTGTGTCTTTTTCTTTCTTTCTTTTCTCCAGTGCCTGTTTTGTTTGAGGGACGGGGGGGGGGGGGGGGTGCAAGTCTTACCTCGAGTCCCAGGACATCCAGCATTTCCCTCTTCTCCCGTTCACCTGGGCCGATGTGCCGCTCCGCGAAGTCGTCGTGGCGGGGCAGGGTTCTGTCGATCTGCCGGGAGGAGCCCAGGCACCGGGCCCCGGTCCCCAGGGCCCCCGGTAAGACCCCCCCGGTCCCGGTCCCGGTCCGGCCCCGGAGCCTCCACCCCACGCGGCCCACCCCCCCGGGGCTCACCGCCCTGGCCAGAAGCACCCCCCACGACCTGGCGCAGCTCTGCATCTTTCCCCAGTCAGCCTAAAGTCTCCTTTTCCTCCTCCTTTCCTCCTCCTTTTAAAAACTGCAGAGTTTATACAATTGAACAGTTGCACAAGAGCGAGCCAATCAGCGCGCGGAGCCGGCGTGACGTAGCGTCGAGCCCCAAACGAACAGCTGCTGCTTTTTTTTCTCACGTGCCACACCTCCATTGACCAAAAGAAGAGAGAAAGAAAAAAAAAAGAAAAAAAGCCGGAGGCCCGAATCGGAACAGAGATGTTTCAAAGTCCCGGCTGTGCGCGCGGACTTTAACCCGAACCCAGATGGTCCCTCTGATAGCGCGCGAGGGCACCGCGGTTAAACAGTGTCCAGGAGCTCAGAATAGCCGCAAAGATTTGCCTGACAGGGAAGAGGCGGATGTTTAACACACCTAGATTGTTTATTCCAGAATAAAACCATCATTCCCCCCAAAGAAGCATGTTGAAGTCTTTAGCTTTACTTAAATATTCTACTTCCATGGGGCCAGACTCAGAAACCCTTCCATTTGGAGACAGTTCCTTAATTGGGTGTTCTGTATCTGGAGGTTTTCTTTGGACAAAGACACATTCACTCAAAAGATGGACAAGCATTTTAGAGAAATAGCTGATAATCCATTTTAAGTTGTACCTTGGAGGGGAAAGAGACTCTGATGTGGTCCCACTGTGACTTTTAGAGGGGTTGATGGTCACTTCAGGGACAGTCTGGACGGTCCATCCATACAAAGACGAGCAACCACACACACACTCACTCCTGAGGAGTTTTTTAATTAACGTGCGGGTTTGTGGACGGTGGGAGGAAGCCGTAGAGAACCAGCACAGGGAGAACATGCAGGACAGAAAGGTGCTGCTTCCCCCGGGGACTCGAACCCACAACCCTCTTGCTGTGAGGAGATGCTGCGAGTTTCCCATTAAGGAGACATTAACACAGAGATAGATTTGGATTTTAAAAATGTGGGCGGGTGTATTCTGGATAAAAACGTTTACTATCGGAGTCTAAAATTTGGCTTTTATTTTCATGCCCCTTTAGATTAAGATTAAAATGAAAGAATTTGAGGACTCCGTCTTTGCTGAAGATATCCCAGCTGCATCTTAGAATTTGCCTGTCGGAATATAATAATGGAGTATAAAAACATCCTAGGGTCGCGTAAACTGGTTTATAAAAGCTGCATTGTTCATGTCCTTTGGTTTTTCCATGTAGTTCCACCTGGGTCACTTATGGGGTTTTTAACCTGGGCAGCAACCGTAAAAAGAGGCTGTGCACCAAAAATCCAAACCAACACAGAGGAAATTTTACACTTTTCTAAGCTCAAATGATTGTTTCCTGAATTGTTTTAACCATAAAGCTTAGGAATACGACTGGTTTGAGACTTCTGTCCTCAGCGTTTGTTGGCCTGTTTCCTCTTGCTAATCTAATTCTGGCCTTCATCTTATTTAGATTTAAGTATTGTTACAAGAATGGATAAGAGACCAGTTTTAAAACACATCTTGGACCGCCAGTAAAGGAAGATAAGATAACATTGATTTTTTGTCAGCATTTTGAAAGCCTTTTGCGTTATGTTTTTGTTAAATTTTTCCAACAATTTAAAATCAACCAAAACCCTTTTCGTTTGATTAGTCTTCACACTAAAACAATTTGTCATTTCAATGAGTTTGATTAACAGTTTTGTATTTGTTAAATAATTCAATTGATGCAGGAATGTGAATTCTGGTGCGGTTGTAGTCAGTTGCGTAGAGGAAAGCAAGTTGTGCGTTTTAATTAAACAGAGGCTGTGCAGGGCCCCAAAAAATTCATACGATTATATTCTGCCTCTAAAAATGCATCGGAAGGACATATTTTTGAGAACAAAAGCAAATAACTCTGTGGGTTAAAGATCTCACCCCAAAAAAGGTTTTCTGGCACACAGATTTTGTTTTACAGTCTGCAAATATAAAGACCCCCCCAACCACACATGAAAAACAGCCAGAGAATGGAAATCATCACATCCAGCAGATTTATTACTGCCCTCTGTTGGTCAAAAATCAAATAACATTTTAGGACTAAGGAAAATCAATAAATATTTTGAGATTTGTTAAAAAAACAACACAAAGAGTGAGATAGAAGTTGCTCTTTCTTTTACCTGACAGATTCTTCATTTTGCAGTAAAGATTCTCTCGATTCCCTCCAAAAATTACCAACAACAATGCCCAAAAATAACAAGAGGCCGAGGTTTCTGTTTGAGATGAATTCCCTCCAGCAGTCTTCAGCCTTGTTGATGTCCACTTTGTAAATCTATGACGCGGGGAAGTTAAAGCACAGGTGAATAAAAACAAATGAAGAAACTGAACACGCAGGTTCCAGATTGTGAAGGTTCCCCACCTGGTGGGCCAGGTGAGCCCCCGCCGCGCTCAGGGCGGCGTAGTAGGGGGCAGTCTGCCCGGCGCTGACCCCGGCCAGGACCAGCCCCGACACCATGGCCACCGTGAAACCACTCAGCCAGGCTTTGGTTTGCTCCTGGAACTTGAGTGCGGTGGATTTGACTCCCACCTTTATGTCGTCCTCCTTATCCTGATTTTCAAAGAGGGGAGGACTGAGTTAAAACACAGTTGCCACCTATTCTATTCAATTTTATGTCTGAAACCCCCCAAAGTTACCTAAATAGTCAAAAGTTTTAAAATACAACCAACAGGTTCTATTCTTTGACGTAATGAGGACAGTCTGATTTTTCACATTAATTTTTCTTTTACATTCTTGCTTTTATTTGAGATATTTCACGAGTTCTGCGTAAGAAAAGAGCCGACTCATGTGTCTCATCATTTTAAATAATGATACTCAGCCTCTACTCCACCTGGTGAGCATATATCGTGTCGTATATCAGCGTCCACATCACTCCAGAGAAATACAGCGGGAGGCACACCGACCAATCACAGGAGCCCCTTACGGCCGACCAGCCCAGCAGGGCGCCCCAGTTAAAGGTCAGACCTGAAAAGAGGGGACAGAATGAACTGACCGAGGCCAACATTAACTGTGCTAATGTGGACTCAAAACCCAGAGCACAACATTTCATACCCAGCACAAGCTGTGGCCAGTAAGTGATCCTCTTCATCAACGGGTAGGTGATGACAAGAGCCAATGAGGAAGCACCCAGAGCAATGCTGGGAGGAAATTTAAAGACAAATTAGTTAACATTTATAGGGGAAAAAATCCCATCAGTTTCTCAAAGGCTTAAACTGTTTATTATGTACTCACTCCCAATAATTGTATTTTTGTATAAATAAAATGACTGAGTTTTGCTGGTTCTCTACAGAGAACAGAGTGAAAACTCCCTTTTCTGAATACCTGTAGTAGTTTAGACATAAAAGGACCCCGAGCGCCAGAGAGAGTTGCCCTCCGAGGAAAATCAAGGCCTGCGTACGGGAAACCTCCCCTGATGCGATGGGTCGAGAGGCTGTCCTGGCCACCTGTACAAAAAAATGAATGAATTCATCAATTCACACTTTCAGTGAAAGGCTCTGAAAATAAAAAACATGCACAGCGATTTGCTAGTTACACTGTATTTAGACTTGAATTTGTATGACTGTGAAAGTTATTTTAGTTGGGAAATCATCCAAATGAGCTACAACTTACACCAAGGTGCACGCAGGCTAAACTGCCATCAGGTAAGGGTGATTATTTCAGTGTGGACGCAACACTTAAGAAATCTAAAAATCAACTTGATACATCATTTGCCCAGTTTGATATATATATATATATTTTTTTTTATTTTTTATACAACAGCTGCCCATTAGTCTGACGTACTTGTTTATCAAAGTCTTTATCCCACATGTCATTGATGGTGCAGCCGGCCCCCCTCATCAGCAAAGCGCCCGTGCCAAACAGAGCGAGCATGCCCAGATCTGGAGGACATCCTGGCTCAGCGGCCAGAGCGATGCTCCACGTGCACGGCAGGTACAGCAGCCATGTCCCTGGAAAAGAAGGATGCCAGGAAATCAGCCAAGAGACAAAGATTAAGAAAAAACAAGGACTTAATTAAGCTTTTACACATTTATACAGCCTTTTGTAAATGACTTTATATTTATTAATTCAAATAAAATTCCTAAGATGTTTAGTATTAAAGCCCAACTGTAGAAGTTTTAAACTTGCATAAGTGCAACATAAGTTTAATGTTTGATAGAAACAGCAGACACATTTCATCTCCACACCTAGAAATTCTGATTGCAGACACTCCCTTTCATAGTTCAGCCATTTAGACAAAAAGTTGCACTTGACTAAGAGTAAACACACCAATAGGTTTGTCAAGCCTCATCAGTCGGAGGTAGGGTTGGACTTGAACTGGTGCTGAGTTCACAATAGCAGCAGCTGAGAGGCTGAAAGACCTTCCTCCATTATACTGCGATACTCGGATTCTTTTAGAAGGAAGGATTCCACCCTGGTTGTGAATCCGTCTTCTGGACACGCAGGACTCTAAGTGAAAACCATCCACATTCCTCGTTGCGTCGTTTAAAAGGAAGCTGGTTGACAGGTGAGGATGACAGGTTACACTGCGACCCCCCCTCAGGATGGTCACGGTTAGCCGTCTGGTCAGTTCGGCGCAGAGCATGGCGTCTTTTAGCTCAAAAGAGCATTTGTTGTTTCCCCCACTCTTAAAATATCCCACTTAAAAAATAAAAAGACTAAACCGTTTTTGTAAAGCCTCTCCCAGATCACATCAGAGCACCGAAACTAACACAACCTTGCCTCTCTACTGTTGTGGTCCGTCAGTCATTACTGCTCCTGAGGAAACAACTTGTGAAAGCGGAACCTTTTTTCATATGTGGCTCTTCCACATTTTTCTTCCATATATTTTAACATGGAAAAAAATGCAACATTTTGCAGCTTGGTAATATTCAACGGCACTATCATACTGGTTGATCTACATTTATTAGAAATTACTAAGTTAAGTTAAAAATTAATATTTTTTATTCCATGAAATACATTTGCAGTTCACATTGAGCTTGGTGTGAAGAACGTGTGACAATATGTGTACGATAAGCAAGTTATAATTCTCAGCAATTAAAAAATATGTCTTAGACACAATCCGGGTTTAATCGTTTTTGCGTTAAATGGTATTTGTCTTGAAGAACTCATCTAAAAACTAAAAGCCGATATTTTGTGCTAGACATAACTTTAATGCCCCCCCCTTTTGTTTTTGTTTTAGTCAACAAGACTAAAAAAGTATATTCTATATAACGTACAATATTCAATTTAAAAAACTTTTTCGATTGACTGAGTAAAAAATGAAAATACAAAATAAATAAATGAATAAAAACTATAGGGGGCAGTGTAGAAAGATGTCACAAATGCCGAGTGGGATTAATCCCCGAAGAAGAAGAAAGGTAAAGGAGGGCCACGAAGGGTGGTCGGAGAAATCTTACTCGCGGGAAAAATGGCGGAAACGTGTGGAGTACCAGTGCTATCAACAACAGCTATTCAAAACAATGCCTCATAACATTCACCCCGAGTTTTGCTTCTCATGCGTAAGTACATAATCCCCATGGTCTGCATGTCCGTCCTTCTTATATCTGTCTACTTTGTTATTTTAGGGAATACTTTGTTAGTTATCTCGCCAAGAGCTATTTTCACCCCGTTCCTCTCGTACATGCCAGCTTCAAAGTAAAATGGAACCGTTTCCTGGGCTACGGCGTATTTTATTCTATGTGATAATAAGGACAGTCTCTTCTTGAGACTCGTGTTAGTCTGACAATGTCAAAAGTTTGAAAATATGTGCTGCAGAAGCTGTCTGCATAATGAAAATACAACATGTGCCTTAAATCTTTTAGGAATATCACAGCTGTGTCTGTATATATGTTTGGCAGGAGAACAAGGAGTGAAAGATGCAAAGCGGTATGTAATCTGCTGACATCTTCATTTCTTGTATCTATTTATCTTCTGTCTACTTTTAAAACTTATTAATGAACACCACTTTTTATCCCTCTAGATTCGGTACAGTTTTCTGCCACTGGGCACAGCAAAGTCAGCCATCAAGCACCATCTCATAAACCCCTTGTTAAGACTTTTGTTTGCAACAGATGCACACTGATTTTTAAATCAAAAGTGTACCTCTTCGAGCATCTCAACAATGTGCATGGCTTGGATGTTAACGCTGCTCTTAGAGGTGCTGGCTTGAAATATGCAGAGTGTAACAAAGCCTGTGTGGACAACAACAACGGGAGCCCGGAAAAACTTTTTAAATGTCGCCAATGTGATTTTAAAACTTGTGATCAAGATGTTTTCAGTAAACACAAGAAAGACTGTAAGAAAATGGAAAATTCCAACCTGGTTGGAAGTTTAGCCATCCCTGAAATCCCAGATGATAAAGTAACTGTAAATTCAAATAATCAGCAAGATGGAGCTGCAGAAGCAGAGGAGATGCCCTCGGCCCTTTCTGCTACGTCTACCTCAGAAACCAAATGTATGCCTAACTCAAAAGATATCAAAACGTACCAGAGGCCATCGCAAACCATCACCAAGTACTTCTTCCCAGCTCCTAGATCAAATGACACACCCCATACAAAGTCCGTAAATGACAGCAAAATTAATCCGATTGTCAACGACAGCGCCACAAGCTCCGAATCTGAAGATAGTGAGTGTGCGACTCCCTGCAAGGTCACTGCAAACTCCAGGATTGATATGGCTCCTAAAAAGAATGATGTTTTTTTGCAAAATGTCCCCCTGGCTGTAGAACTGACACCAAGGCCTCAAGAACAAATCATAGGAATTCATAATGACCTTGGTAAAAGGAAAAGAAAGGAAAGTTCAGAAGGTCCTTGTGCTAAACAAGTTAAAACTGGAGAAGACAAGACAGAGCCTGCAGGGGGGGGGAGCCTGATTAAACAACCTTCATCCAACACAGACTTTTCCTTTGAAGTCAGTGAGGATGAGGAGGAGAAGAAGGTTAATCTTGTTTATGGAAACCAACCTGTCCCAAAATTGTATCACTGTAAGCACTGTGATTACAGCAATGTGAGCTTTAGATATATGTCTTCTCATTATCGAAACTATCATCCTTACATAAGATACAAAGCAGATTACATTCACAATTCAAAAGATCAGAGTGCAACGTTTCGCTGCCTGGAATGTCCCATCGAGTTTTCAAGCGCAGTTGACCTGAGGTGGCATTACATGGAAAAGCATCCAGAGGCACCAGATGTATTTAAAATGAAATTAAGTGAGCTCAGCTTGGCTTTTAAATGTTTTCAGTGTCCATTCATCACCAATGACTTGAAGGGCTTGATCCAACATTACAAGGAGAGGCATCCTGTTCACAAAATGGACAATGCTTTGTTGTTTTTGAAGTATTCTGTGACTGAATTCCAGAGAGAGTCGGATGAACCTGTAAATTGTAAGAAGCTGCCATTACCAGAAAGTTCAGGAGAGATTTCTGTAGAGAGGGCCAGAAGTGCACTTTCACCCAGAGGTCTCATCTCCAAAGGACCAGAGGTGGCTTTGCATAAATGCAACAAATGTGAGTTTATGCACAAGTCAGTAATAGCAATGCATGTTCACTACCAAAACAAACACCCAGATGAAGAAATGACAATCGCCAAAATTAAACAGTTACCTCTTGTCCTGTCATTGCCAACATCAAAGATGACACCTGAAAAAGAGTCTTCAACGGACACAAAAGACAACGCTGAGCATCTTAAACAAAAAAAAAATTACATTTGTGCACCAAGGCACGTACCAGAAGCTTCCAGAAATCTTTCAACGTCTCCCAAAGCTCTGAATGTGGCATCTGTGGAAGATGAAAACAAAAACGTGCCAGCCACACCTCCAAAGGAAACAGCTGCCGGAGCTGACCATGTGACCAGTAAATCACCAAAGGAAGTTTTTTATTGCCAGTTTTGCAATTACACAAGTATAAATATCAAAGCTGTTGTCGCTCATCAGTGTGCGAAACATTCCAAGAACACCACAGCAATAGACGTCTGCATGTACAGTGCTAAGGCACATAAACAATATGGAGAACTAATGAAACGTCATGATACAGAAATTAAACACGACTCTGCCAATCTCCCTCTGACAAAGTCGAGTCTATACGAACATCCAGAAAAATTATTTTTCTGCCAGATGTGCAATTTTGCAAATCCGACTGTGAAAGGCATAATTAATCATCAAGGCAACAAGCACAGATGCATAAAATCCAGCTCGCAGATGGTGCTCGAACACACAGAATTGGTCCGTGATCAAATACAGAAAGCCAAATCTCGTGGAAAGGGTTCCTCATCGTCTTCTAATCTACCTCCTCCTATTATTAGCAAAGGTGAAGAAAATATGTTCTTCTGCCACTTATGCAACTACAGACACAGCACCGTGAATAGAGTGGCAAGTCACTACTCCAAACAACACCGTGTGTATGCCGCTAATGGTCTTATCCATAAGTACTCCTCCATGGTTCACAAAAAATTGAGTCAGAAGTCACCCCTAAACACAAATTTTATCCGCAACGTAAACCGAGACCTCCTGGACCAATTGGATGAACCTAAACCCGCTTTGGCTTCAGCTCCAACATCAGATGCCTCGCAAGCAAAGAGGAGCTTCCAGTGCTATAAATGTAGTTACAGCGCTCCACATTTATATCTTTTTAATAGACATTTGTGGAAAGCGCACCATTCAAACCGCTCAATCAGTGACGTTTTGAGAATGTTTTATCGACAAGGGATAGTACAGTCAGGGTATCACTGTAAATGGTGCATGTTTAGCCACAAAAAAGCTGAAGAAGTCTTTCAACACTGCCAGAAGGAGCACCCAACGGAAAAGTCAACACTGGAGTCTGTAAGAACTCGGCAATACGTCGGCCCAGACTCGTTGCCGACAAAAAGGAAGAAACCAAAGTTCATTCATAAAGTTGATGACAGTTTGGGAGGCCAGAGATCAAGACAAACCGATTCCCCGAGCGAGAAGAGAGCGAATGCAAAATCCCAAGTGGAAGACCTTGACAAGATGCCGGGATTATTCGAATCTTTTCAAGTGCCTCTCGACATTACAAATGAGGCCGCATCGGATCGCACAGTGCTGCAGTCTCCTTCCTGCCCTGCCACGTTCAAATCCCAGAAGAACGTAGAAGAAAAACCAAAAGAACAGCCCCAAGTTCGCGTGCATGTCTTTAAGTGTCCTTACTGCGCTTATTTCAATACCGTATATCAGGGAATTCTCACTCACTGCCAGATGAAGCATCCCACCTTGACTCCCAGGGCAGACAGCCTGCATGTGGACGTCGCACAACGACAAGGTGGGGACGAATCCATGAAAAAGAGCGAAAATGGTGGCATTGCTAAGTTAAGCGGATACATGTGTGAAAGCTGCCCACAAATCTTTTCATCGGGGGATAAACTGAATAGGCATTGCAAGCTGCGACATAATGTGACTGGGACAAGCCCCCCAAAACCACCATCCGTTGCGAAAATAAATCCAACTGAGGCCAACAGATTTGTGTCCAAGGCTTCCTTTTTAAGTAAGAAAATATATGGCACTGCCAAGTGCCAACACTGCTCTTACAGTTGCGCCACAAAAGGGGGACTCAGGAAGCACATGCATGTGGAGCACAAAAAAGTTGCCTCAAAGGACTGTATCTGCAAGTGCGTCCTGTGCTCCAAAATGTACTTCAGTAAAAGTCGACTTGGACTTCACTATGCCAAGACACATGGAAAAAGTGCTTATTTGAAATACTATTTGCCAATATACAAAAAGGGTCCCAAAACGTCAGCACCCAGCGAGCATCCAATGAACGACTCGACAGATAGCAACACAATATTGATATACAAGTGTCCAAGCTGTTCGTATGTGAACGCCAGCTACCACGGAACGCTCACCCACTGCCAAATGAAGCACCCGAAAGTTATAGTGAGGGCGGACAAACTCGAAACGGGAGAGATACGCCGTGCCAATTTGGTCAGGTGCTCCCTGGGGAGAGCGTCAAACGAAAGGGGATACAAATGTGAAATATGTCCACAAGTCCACCCCTCACTGATGAAACTGAAGAGCCATGTCCAGCAGGAGCATGGAAAGGCAGCGGTCTCCACGGTTCCTGCTGAAACGGAAACTAAACAGCTTGTTGAATGTTTGCAGGCGTCGTCAGGGGAAGCAGAGTCCCTACAAAACAAACCGCCAAAGGCAAGCCTCACGGAAACCACTCCGCACACGCAGACCCCTCAGGAAAAGATTTTGTACGAGTGTCAGATCTGTCCCTACAAAGTATTTCTGCGGAAATACCTGCGTAATCATTACAAATCAACGCACAAGTTAGATACAGTGCTGACGTACAAGCTGTTGGAGAAATACAACATGCGCAAGCGGAACTACCTGCTTCAGTTTATTGGAAATGACAAAAGTGGAGACGTCAGATGTAAGGAGTGTCCGGACGCAACTTTCAGCAACTGCCAGTTGCTGATTGAGCATTACAGTAACTTTCATTGCAAACCAGACTTCACGGTGATCTCGCTTGGAAAAAAGAAGAATAGCACAGGGATTTATAGTTGCAAGCACTGTGGAACATGTCTGTATGGAACCAGAAATCTGCGCCGACACCTCGATCGCCATAGGTCAAGAGCAATGGAGATGGCAAAGGCGGCACTCGGTACCAACTCAGAGGCAAAATCCAGCCAAGTAAGTGCGCTTCTAACTGTTTTTTTTCTATCTGCTGGAGCGGCAGTGATCCACACCTGGTGTTCTCATCACTGCTAACATTTTCAGGTCAAGAAGCTAAATGAAGTGCCCACATTTAAAAGCCTGGTGAAGCTCACCGAGGGGAAAATGACACCAGCGGACACCATCACTCTGCCATCAAGTCCTCAGCCGTCGCCTCAAGACACAGATGCCGTGAAATCGGAGGCAGAAGACAACGACGAGGGCCACACTTGTAAACTGTGCAAGAGGGTATTCAAGTCACTGACCAGTCTGCGTTCACATGAGCGGAGCCACGCAGCCCTGGCAGCCATCAAGAAGCTGGACAGTCTGCCCATGTTTGGTTTGAAGCATAAGTAAGATGCTCTAGATTTAACCAGTTAATGATTTGAAAGGTTTTAAAGATTTCAAGACCAGGTCCATACTCTGTCCTCTACATAACCGTGTATTTATGTGTGCACTTGTGCAACTTCTGTTCTGGTGGCCACAGCTTCTATAACAGTGGTTAAACTCTACTAATCTGTCTGTGCTTTTATGTTTTACCGATTAATTTTATTATACCCATATTTCACCAGCATCAACAAGTATGTCCTCCATGAAGCTGGGGTTCAAAAGCCTTTCCTGTGCAGCTGCTGCTCTTATCGGACAACTCATATGGGTTTTTGGAGGTCTCACTTTCTGAAAAAGCATCAAGGTTAGAAAAAAAAACTTAAACTAATCCAACCTGCAAATTCCATCACTTCCTTCCTTCACTTCTGTGCTTCAGTTCAGGCCAGCTGTTCCACACTTTAATAGACATCTGTAAAAAACTGACATTCTCCTCCTTCCCACCCTGTGCTATAGGTTGTTTTTTATTAATTCCTGTAACTTTCTCAGGATTGTTACAGGAATTAATTTGTCGTGTAACATTCTTCTGACCCCATTTAGTTGGTCTCTGGCAGCTTTGTTCTCCAGAGAGGATTTTTTTGGTTTTTATTTGTTTTTTTGTGTATATAAAGTATGCATACTGCATAGAGCCTAAGAAAACTTATACTGACATAGACCAAACCTGAGAAAGAAGCAGGTAGCATTACCATGTCACAGAAAGTGGAATTGCCTGGAAGACATTTTGCAATGAGAGATTTGTGTCCTCTTTGCTATTGGACGAGCAGATGTCATTCAGAGGGACAGCGCTGAAGTCAACAGTGAAGGGGAGACCCCTCAGAGGGTCGACGTTGAGCCCTCAGATTCATCAGAGAAGATTCATTCTTCGACTGAACTGGATGAGGAAACCGAAAGGAGTGAAGGCAAGGGCAGCCCCCTCATGTTTGATCCTAAAGGATGCTTCGTGGACATGCTAACAGTTTGTGGCCCCTGCACCCTCACAGAGTCGCCGTATTCGGAGCCCCCAGATGTGCAGCGGCAGCTGAATCACTACAACCTGATTTCACAGAGTAACGGCAAGCCTCATGAGAACACGGCACTATCTGGGGGCCGTAAAGCGGGTCTGCTTCACTGTGAGATCTGCAACTTCAGCAGTGAACACCTATCCAGCATCCGACGGCACTACATGAAACGGCACGAGAGGAAGATGGTCAAGTGTAAAGACTGCAGCTTTTTCTCCGGTTTACAGTAAGTTGCCGAAGACTTCACCCTTGATTCCCAAAGAAAAAAAAAAAAAAAAATTTATTCTTTTCTGTTTAACAAATATTATAAGTGCAGTTGTCAGACTTGCTGAATTGAGTTCAAGTCATACCAAATTTAGAGTTTGCGTTGGAAGAATTTAATTAATTGATGAAACGCCTGCGAACAGAATTTTATGTTTATGTTCATGCATTTGGCAGACGCTTTTATACAAAGCGACTTACAGAGTAGACACAATATTACATTTATCATCACTATGACAATCATTTTACCAAGAAGTTTACGGGCGAGTCACGCAATTGCATCTGCCTTAACAGGAAAACGCTGGAGGTGCACATGAAGACGGGCCACTCCATCTCTCAGTCGGGGCCTACTTATGAGAAGGACTTCGGCTGCCCCTTCTGTCTTTACCAAACCAAGAATAAGAACAACATGATAGATCACATCGTCTTACACCGTGGTGCGTCATATACCCTTCAGGGACAGATACACCGCCCCGACTATGACTTGACGCTTTTTGTTCCCTTGCTGTTTTCCAGAGGAACGCCTCGTGCCAATACAGGTCTGTCGGCCCAAGCTGTCGCGATACCTTCGAGGCCTTGTCTTTCGCTGTCACAAATGCACTTTTACCACCGGAAGTGCGGAAAAACTGCGCGTGCATGTGAGGAAGCACGAGGACATCAAACCATACAAGTGCCGACTGTGCTACTTCGACTGCAGTCGGCTGTGCGACTTGGAAGAACACCTGAGTAATAAGCATCAGGTGGGGAATTTTTGTGTCTTCAAAGCCTTTTGTACATCCCCAAATTCCCTTTCTAGTTCTATGGATGGATAGATTTGAATGCCGTAGTAGTAGGATAGAGTATCATACTACGACTACATTCTCTTCTTTTGTACAGGTCTTGAGGAACCATAAGCTTGTGGGCCAGGTGTGTCTCAATAAGCTAGAAGCCAGGCCTGATGTTTCTGAAGAGGAAGAGGAGCGCATCGACAACAAAGAGGACGGTGCAAACGAGGAACACGTCATGGACTGCGATGACGGTTTGGAAGTAAAGAACCTGGCCGAGCGTGAGAGGGAAGGACAGGGTGAACACGAGGAATGCCCGGCTAAGGGCGCAGCTTCAGGTATTCAGAAGGATGACCGCGCAGAGCAGAAGCAACACCCACAAACGCAGACAGAGACTGAACCCGCAAACCAACCAGATGCTGAATGCGAGAACCGCAGCGGTGCAGAGGAGGAGCAGCAGACCAGCAGGAACCAGGACAAATCTGGAGAGCAACAAAAGCGAAAGGCAATGAAGGGGAGCTCCACAACGTATTTCAAAGTGAACGAGAGCTCTCATGCCCACATGCAAGGTGGTCAGATCCTTCAGCAGCAGGCGCCGAACATTGTCAAAATTACAGAAGATGACAGCAAGCAACAGGTGTCCTCGCCGGTGGAGGACAGCAGCGAGCACCGGACACATAAAGGGGCAGATAAGGAGAGGACGGTTCGAATGGAGCCGGACATTGAGGCTATGAGCCATAACCATTCGCCAGGGAAAGGGGACACAATCACTTTGGACCAAAACCCAAAACATCAAACCGACACAAACTCAACTTCAGCTGTGTCAAAGCTGCAAAACCACACAAGGGCTAAAGGGCATTTCACATTTGAGAGGCATTTACTGACGCTTCCACCAAATGTTCAGCTCAAGTTAGTCCATGAAGGCAGCAGTCAGGGAAAACAGAACTGGGGAGGGGCACCAGAGCCTTACGGTGAAATGCCAGTACTTGAGAATGAACATTTCAAGGAGAAACTGAACAGTACCGTAACCTTCAAAGTGGAAGAGGAGACCGGTCAACTGGAACGGAAGCAGGTCAGAGAAGATGAGACGGTCGTAGAGAACAAGGGGAGCCCATACACTGATCAGGATACTCATTCCATACCATCTACTAAAGGTGAGGGAACACAAACGGTCACTCATGTGTTAATGCTATACATCAACATTCAATGCAACTCTCTAATAAAAAAATCTAATCCAGACCAAATGAATACGAGAAAATGCTGCCGGAAAACAGAAGTTATTATTATATTTGTTTGAAAAAACAAAATTTCTAACATTTCAGGCTGTGTTTATGTTGTTTCAGTCCCTAACAATGTTGTTGTTTTTTTGTCTTTATTCCAGGTGTTCCCACAGATGGAACCGCTGGAGGCCCACGGGTAGAGAAAAGGTATACGTGTGAGCTCTGTGGCCGAAACTTCGTGAACCTCCCTGACATGAAGCAGCACGTCTTGCGTCATGGATTGTAGTGTTTTCCCTTTGTTACTGATGATTGGGACAGCTTCCACTAATTTATGCTTTCATTTGATGAACCGTCCACTGTCTTATTTACCAGTTTGTTGCCGAATGACTTAATCCAAATAAACATTTCATGTTTTTTTAGTTTTTAAACCTCTAGTAATTCAGTGTTTATTTTGAATGAATAAAATCACTCGTTTACATAGAATTTAAGTTTAAGCAAACCATTAATTGAAAAAAAAAAAACAATATATTGGCTTTATAATGCATGACCCATGGTTTATATCCTTTTTTCAATTGTCACGAAAAATTTATCCACGCATGTCACTCAAAATGTGTCTTTTTCAAAAGGTCATGCAGAATTATTACTTCTGTTTGTGTTTCAAACATCTCACTTGAAATTCCTGCCCGTGTTGTACTCCTATTGGTGCTACTTTTAGGTGACGTTGGAAGTGTGACTATTCACTTCGTGTTTCTGTTGCCGTCGAAGAATTTGTTTTACCGTAATAAAGTTATATTTACCTTTTCACCTTTTCGGCCACGATTTGTTTAATCAAAAGTTTGAGAAAAAGCACCGGAAATATAGACACGCTCCAGACATGCTTTAGTACAGTAGACTTTACTGCACCGCAAGGATGATATAGCACATATTTACGTGGTCAAGCGTTTTCTTGCCAGGTAAGATGGGGAAAAAAGTTATAAATTAAACCGTATTGGTTAGGTAAGATGTGACTATACGGATATTAACACAAATAGGAGAAAATGGTATCGCGGTAAAACGTTTTTGAAAGACAAGTACAAAATTCCGAGCTTATCAGATCCCTTGAAGGCAGCTCCTTAGAGAGTGTGCTGGTTACGACACGGTGTTGTCATCCTGGTGTAAGGGGACACCGCTTCCTGGTGTGGACTGGACCCATCATAATGGGCATATGAGGCGGGGAAGGTAGAAGTGTCCGAGTTTTGTGTGTGAGCTGTTTCTTTACCACTGCCGAAACTGCGTAAGTACACTCGTTGGCGCTTTTGTTTTTATATATATATTTTTATATTCGCTTGGTGTAAACATTCTGAAAAGAGGAGGTGATGCTCATGCAACTCTGTGTGATCGATACCCTACGAAAGCATTTCTTGATGGAAAATGAGATGTGATTTCAACGCACATGTCAAAGTTCCTGACTGTTTCCTTGTATTGGTGACTTTACTGGATAGGGGAGTTAAGGCATTCTTATCGGGCTGGCTTTAGGCATGTACAGAAATCGTTTCCTTCTTCCTTCTTCCACACTTGTCACCCTTTATCCCGGACAGCATACCTGTAAAATGGCATTGAGAAGTTTGTCCTTAACAACGAAATAACGATCATGTCTTTGCACTTTTTAGAAGCATGTATCATTTTATATTTCTGTTAGATTCCCACCCCAAAGATGTTTGAATAGACAATAATTCGTGCTCATCATATTAAACTTTCCTCTTGCTTATACAGATCCACCCTGAGGAATTATTTTCTGTCTTTTTTTCACATGTGAGATAAATCAAATTAGACTTATAGACATGTAATCCTACATGACAAACAGTGACATGGATGCATTTTGGAATAGAGATTTAGACTGAGGTTGACTGTGTGTATATATCTGTAAAAGGTGGTGACCGTCATATTTGTAGCTGATGTTCTTGTGTGAATATTGCTTTTTCAGTTTATTCCATTTCTCCATTCACTTATCTGAATAAATCTTCTGCCACATTTTCAGCAGTGGATGCAAGATGCCAACACTCCAAGCCTGTCCAGTACCATGCCACCATTTTGAAGTGTACATGTTTTTTTGTTTAGGATTTTGTGTGTACTTTTAACCATCATTCCCTATGAAGTAAACAACACGTCGACTAACTGGAACTAGCGGCAAAAGTTGTGAAGAAGCTGTGGGAAAAAAGTTTAACGCAATTTACTGTCATTACACGTGATTATTATGCATGAAGTATATTAATGATTTCTATCTATTTTAAGCCAGTATAGTCCGTTGGAGGAATGACAGCTGTGAATAAATCATCAGAGGATGGAGGTTCCTACTCTTCGAAGGTCATCGGCATTGTGTTTATCGTCCTGCTTCTGGACCTGCTTGGATTTACTCTGATTCTACCTCTGCTGCCTTCAATTTTGGACTATTATGCACAAACAGGGGTTGGTAGACTGCTTAAATGACTGAACTATGTTGTACCTGAGGCAGATAAAGAACCAATAAGTCCAAGTCCATGGTGTGAGACATGGATTAAGAAAACCTTAAGGGGAAATCCATATAGTCACTGTGACAAATTGATTTCCAGACATATGGATTTAAACAACAAACAGGCTACTTGTAGTTTTTGTCCCAAAAAGCAACTGATCTGTCATTTCTCAGTTAAAGCTCCTGAACAGACAATATTCAGACTGTCTTGTTCCTGGAACAAAGAGAGTCTTGTGCAAAGAATTTCCTCCATAAAAACACAGCCGGCTCATCAGTGATTAGATTAGTTGGTTGTGGAGTCTTGATGCTGACTCATGCTGAACTGGCCTCTTCAGTGCAGCTGCTCCAGATTCACCTTTTTTTTAATGTTTTTTTTGTCTGTGCCAGGATGTCGTGTATCAGTCCCTGCAGACCGTGGTGGACTGCTTCAGGGAGGTTGTTGGAATACCTATGGAGAAGAAGTACCACACTGTGCTGTTTGGAGGTCTGTCAGAGTTTTGGTTATTTTTTTCCGCCCCTTCGGTGGAAGCGGGAACGACGACTCTGGGTTCGACTCTCTTCTCTTTGCCTTTCAGGTCTGATTGGATCGCTCTTCTCTTTGCTGCAGTTCCTGGCATCGCCTGTGACCGGCGCTCTGTCAGACCGCTACGGCAGACGACCGCTGCTCATTCTCACCACAGTCAGTGGGATTTTTACAATAATTAACCTCCGTATTTTTTCATATTTGGCACATTTGATGGGAATATTTCCTGTTCACTACAAACCCAGTTTCCTCGTCCTGTTCGACCCGTGCGGCTCGGATTCCCTCTGGTCTAATTGAGGTCTCCTGTGTTTCAGTTGGGGGTGATGTTTTCCTATGCGGTCTGGGCTGTTTCCCGGAGCTTCAGCATGTTCCTTTTGTTCCGGGTAATTGGGGGCATTTGTAGGGGCAACGTGAGCCTCTGCACCGCCATCATAGCTGACTTGCCCTGTCCAAAAGCACGGAACAGAGGAATGGTAAGCGTGGGTTTCCCTTGTGCTCCTTTAAACTGACATTGAAACATCCCACTTGGGATTACGGTGCCCATAAAAGGTTTTCACCCCTGTGGGATGTAACCTTAAAGAGGTGACTGACCCAGTCCCAGCAGAGGTCCCACCCTTTGATGGCTACAGTGTAACAGTTAGTCATAATAGACAGATAGACATAAATGCAGAAAAATACACGATTCAACAGAGAACCAGGACTTGAGTTTCTATCCGGACAAAAAAAAAAAAGAACTAAGAAACTAAAGAAGATGACGAGCTAAATGTTCAGTGCTTTGATTCCAGCCAAATGCGCATCTTATTCTCCCTGAAGGGGGCAAACATCTGTGTGTGACAGTGTGTGATCACTTAATTTGCCAGATACTTTTAAAAGATTCCAATATTATATTAAAATCCAATTTATTTTTTATAGTTAAGAGTTTGTTTCTCTTCTTTCATTAGCTAATTGTAGTTAATAAAAAAAATCTAAATATATTGATTTAATATCTAAAAGTAAGAAACAAGTGAAACATCCAAGGGGTTGAATGCTTTTTTAAGGTCATTGTAGAAATGGTCGTCGTAAATATGAAGCGTCTGTTTTCTGTTGTTTTGACGTTGATTTCTTTCCATGTAGGTAATGATAGGTGTTGCCTTTTCTTTGGGATTCACCTTCGGACCTCTCATGGGTGCCTTCTTAACAATTGGATCCAAAACAACGGATAATGTTTTCTACCAAATCCCAGCCCTGCTGGCCCTGGTCTTCAGCGCTGCCGACCTGCTCTTCATCTGCCTCGTGCTCCCAGAGACCTTAACCGACGACTCTAAGGTGAGTTTACGGACGCCTTCTCTTTGAAATGTTGTGCTCTTTAACTGAAATGAAAATAAAAATAACATGATTTTTTCTTTTTTTTTTTTGTGTCCCTCGGTAATCAATATTGCTGAATTTCCTATTTCAGCAATGGTAGAAACTGAAGCCAGACTTAATATCTCTCACAGAAAGAATCATCAGTTCTAAAAATTTCCCTTCCCTTGCCTGTTCCCATGTGGAGCATGACTGTGATGGGTCCTTACTTGCCCAATAACGATAATTTATTAGGCTCTCACGGGGATGACAGTTGCCCATGACGTTTTTGGTGTTGACTAACAACACATGAAAGCAGATGAAGCCAGTAACTGTCTGTAACTGCTTCCAGTATCGGTGCCTAACTAACGGGCTCAGCAGTGAAATGGACAGAAACGCAGAGTTCGCAAGGGAAGCTGTCCTGCCAATCGCACTTTTTTAAGTTTACAGGAGATGTGTCGACGCAGCCCGCTCACACATGACAGCGCCGTAGTCTGTTAGCTTAAAAAAGTGTGCAGAGAAAGGCAGCACGACAACGTCTGTCGAGAAATAAAGTCACAACTACAGGAGTTTTTAGAACAAGTGAAACACTTGTAGGTCTTCAGTCCTTCCCTAAAGAAAAAAGTCTCTAATTTTCTGTGCAAAACAAAACAAGCCTTATGTAATTACAGCAAGCGGATGTACCGAATAATTTGGATTTTTATCTCAAGGGTGGCAAAAACCGGACCTGACAAATAAAGCCAAGTATAATGGCGTTATGTTCCTTTGGTGGATTTATCAGCCTGAAGTCAAACTCCTAACCCGAATTCTCAAAGAGTATGACAAAGCACCTTTAGAAAATAAAGGGACTCCAAATCCTTTGTTTTCCGTCTCCACGGTTCGGTCTGAGAGATTAACAGCATCCTGCTTTGTTCCAGGCTTCATCTTCTGGGTGCACAGACTCCCGTGACCTCCTCAACCCGCTGGCTTTGTTTAATTTCGCAGCTGTCACCAGAACCAAAGACCCACCATCAGAAGAAAGTGAGTACCGGAGGCCTATGAAAGGCAGAGGCTCACACTTTGGTTTTTCCCTGTGTCTAAACCGTTAGTGGACTTTACTGTCTTTACAGAAATGCAGAAGCTCCAGCTGCTGGGCCTGGTTTATTTCTGCTACCTCTTCCTGTTCTCTGGGCTGGAGTTTACTCTGAGTTTTCTGACTCACCAGCGCTTTCAGTTTACAAGGTATCAACTCAAAGATAAGGGCAAATACTCTATGAGTCATTTTATGAAAACTTGGCCTGCAACTTGATTTTTTTGTTTGTTTGTTTTTTCTCCAAACAGCATGCAGCAAGGAAAGATGTTTTTATTCATTGGTGTTATCATGGCTTTGATCCAGGGGGGTTATGCTCGAAGAATCAAACCTGGGAAACACATCCAGACTGTTCGAATGGTAAAAGCACCATCTGGAAATATGACCAAAAAAGCTTTTATGTCGTTATTAGATGTTTTTCGTTATGTTGGAATGAGATGACCCAGCAATCCAATGTCTTTTCTCTTTCCTTTTAGGCGATCCTAGCACTGATCCCGGCATTTCTCCTCGTTGGGTTCTCCTGGAACATAGCGATGCTTTACTCTGGCTTGGGACTATACGCATATGGTGGGTCAAGTTTGCTTTCAGTGTGCTGGATGAATAACAAACCAACAATTGTCCCATGTGTTTGATAGAAGGAAAGACACTCACACATTTAAGTATCTTCTGGAATAGTTCTGCGGGCTTTTTGAAGGACTTCCCAAAGCTCTTCTTTGGAAGTTGGCTGCCATTTTGTTCCACTCTCTGTCTCGATCCCATACTGCTACAATAATGTTAAGGTCAGGGCTCTGGGGAGGAGTCATCCCTTTATCAGAACTGTTGCCACTGGTTTTCCGCCCACATATTGCATCATTTTGGCGTAGTGGAGCCTTTTTTCTCCCAGTTTTCCTTTCTTAAGATGTACGTTTTGACAACCGCCATTCCGTGGAGACCATTTCTGATGAGGCAATTAGATACTGTTCACCTCCTGTAGCTTTATCAACCTTCAACTTTGTTTTTTGTCCTCCACTTCTGTCCAGTGTCCTGAAGGCCTTTAAAGACAGACTGTGCAGCGCGTTGAGATGTTACATCTTTATAATGCGTCATCTTTAGTATTTTCCATCATGAATGTAACAACAGAGAACAAATTCAGTTTCTTTGCGTAAATACAATTTAATGTTTGATAATTCATTACTCAGAATTAAGTGGTTTAATAAAAAATGCTGCTTGGAAACTAAATCTATTGAAAAGACTGTAGTTGACTGGATTTCGACTTTTGCACTGCACTGTATGTAAATGGACACCGTTCTTGTATATATGGGTTTGAAAAACATGAAAAACGGGATGTTTGCATGACCTGGTTCGTGTTTAGCTTTAGGATGCGTCATTTGTATGGCGTGACTCGCTTTTGACCACAGAGGTCGCGTTTGTCTTCACAGAGGGTCCTGCAAGTGTTATACTGTGTAGTGAAATAAAAAAGACTGATTAATGAGATCTTCTCGGAAGTTTAGCTAGACTACTTATTCATATATGTAAAATAATTTAATATAATGGAATCATGAAGAAAATTCAAAAAGATTTAATATAAAAATGACAGTTTTCTTTAAAGCATTTAAGCCTTTTTTATTTACTATCTTAGGGGACACCTTAAACAGAAAGAAATGTACACTGACGCTATATAATATGTGAAATAAATTCATCACAAAGCATGTTTACATGCAAAGGAAGTTTTTGCTCACGCTCTGTGTTTTTCCAGCGGCCGCCCTGGTGGTGCCCTGCCTGTCCACAGTGGTTTCAGACCATGGTGAGCCCCCTTCTCATTTTTTTCACAGACTACACTGTTTTTATTCTGCCGTAATGTTGGTGAGTTTAATGCGTGCCGTTAGTTATCTTTTGTGCTTTCCTCCAGGCTCGGCCAATCAGAAAGGCACCGTGATGGGAATCCTGCGTAGCTTAGGCTGTCTGGCCAGAGCACTCGGACCGGTCGTGTCGTCTTCAGGTGAGGGAGCTGAGGTCATAAAAGAGGCAGAATGAATGACCACCCGCAGCTTTTCGGACAGGAGTTAACCTTCCATCAATTATGACTGCTAAAAGTTTTGGAATTGAGCTGACGTACTCAAGAGATTTTTGAGTGAGTGTTGTCTGGATTGTGTTTGTGTCTGCTTTTACATCTACTGTTGTGTTTGCTTCACAGTTTACTGGATAGCAGGAGCTCAAACCTGTTATCTCATCACATCGGCCTGTTTTGTGGTACCTGTTGTGCTCCTGAGCAAAATCAGGAGGTCAAAAGAGGAATGAGGGGCATGGAGAGTTGAGAAGACTTTAAAAAAGGCCTCTGAAGCCTGTGTGAATTTTGTAATGTTTACATCTTCTGGAAGAGGACGCACTGATCCCGTTTTCACTCAGTAGTGATGAAGTGTTTTTTTCTGTGCTGTTGGCCAAAGGTAATCATATAAGAAGACAATCTACATGCCAAAACAAAAGGACTTGGTACGGAAGAGTTTATTCTTCAAATAAGAAATGCACAGATATGATGCTGTTTATGTGGACATGTAGACCTGTATGTATTACACAGTGGATGGATGAGGAAGCACCAGAAGCAAGATGTGTTGCCTGTGGAGTTTAGATCAAATTTTATATAAAGTATTTTTAACCCTCACTCCGATTTAGTATTTTACCTAGCTGCATTTTATTTTTGCTTATTCTAAAGGGGCTGGATTTATATAAAATATAAAGAGTGAACAAACTCATCATCTGTCTATGGAAAAGAATCGTTATCACATTTACTGGTGATAATAAAATAAGTTTGAAAAAAAAGCTTTCAGTGATCATTTGGTGTCTGTTTTTTTTTTCTGTTCAGTATTCTGTCTACTTATGTCTAAGTTTGTCGTATTTTTAAATCAACATATAAAGTAATGTTTGTTCACAGTAAAAAAATGTATTATAGATTTCATCAGAAAATACACCCAATCTGTAATTTGTCCATGTACATTTTAGATGTGGATTTTTTTTCCGCAAGAGTGCTTTTCAATCAATTTTAATTTTATTAAATATGAGAGCATTTTATTTATTATAAACTATAAGGACACATTTTACCAGAAAATACAGCTGTTTAGTGTACATGTATGGGAAAAGGCTTGAATTGTATGATTAACATTGTAAAAAGTGAAAAACGATTTTGCAATAATACTATCAAAAGATGTCCCAACATTTCACAGGGGTTTATGCAACAGTTCTAGTGTTGCTAAATCTGAGGTACAGTTGAGGATCCAGCCATGCTTAGATCCTATTTTTGTGTTTGGAGTGTTAAGTCAATACGGGATGTGAGCTATTTTCTGTGATTAAAAAATAATCTAAGTACCAGTTTAACTGTTTGGGGTGTTTTAATCTTAATATTTAGGTATCGTGGTGTCCTGTGGCTGCCCCGCCGCTAGGTGTCGCTGTTGGCTCGGTCTCCGCTCACAGATGTAAACACGAGCCGTTTGCACCAGCGCCTTCATGCTAGCTATCAAACAGGTTGCTCATCCCGGTCGCCAGCGCACTGCGGGCGCGGAGACACGTCGCGACCGTCGTAATGAGGAGCTCGGCAGCACACGACAATTCACATAAACGAGCGAGGATGTGACTGCGTCAAAAAGAGAGAAAACACAACAACCTGAAGATGGACAAGGTAGCGAGCATGAAGTCACGTGAAGGCTCTTTTAAAGCTTGCTAGCAAGCTAACCCCCGCTAATGCACGTTAGCCGGGCAAAGTTGAACTGTTACAGGCGCGCCGAGAGGTTAACAGCTGCTGCGCTTTTACTGACTAACTAAGCTAGAAATTACACTTATTTTCAGTTTTTGCTGGCTGTCTGTTAGTCAGCAACTGGCCTGAGAACTGACACTTGATTTTACACGAGTACGGTGCATCAGCAAAGAAAAATCTAGAAACAGAGCTAAGTATGCAGGTCGGCGTGTATTTATTTGGCGTTAACATGGAATACGGAATCTTATTTTATCTTCAAATTTCTAATACAAGCACTCTTTCACTAATACTTCACCCAGGAAAGCGAACTGACGTCTGCTGTCCCGGAGTTTGACCGTAAACACCACAGGACCACCAGCAGCGAGGCTCCTGGTCCCCACAGAGCATCAGATCCTTTCGTGTTACCAAATCCTCATCTGTCCGAACAGATTTTAAGAAGGTACGACAATACAGACAGGCACATTTCCCCTTGGTCCTAATAGTTTGTGTTGTAGACCTTGTCATTCACCTATAAATGTTTTACCAAATGCCTCAGGCACTGGTCAGATGTGAGCCCGAAAGGGGGAGGAAGAGGGGGCGATGTGTCCCGGATTCAGGGCCGACCTGCGGACAGGTGCATCCCCAATCCACTGCCAAAGGTTGGTGTCCTCACTGTAATGGCAAACAGAAAACGCAAATACATGAATGGACTGCACTGACAGATGGCCATAATTGCAGACATCGAAACTCAACAGTAACTCTCAGGGTAAAACCGCGGGCAGGAAGTCACCGGAGGCCTCCAGAAAAGGTGTGTATGGCTCCTCAGGAGAGGTGAGAGGTCAAAGGAGATGTGTGTGAGCCAGTGGATCGAATGGTTGCATCTTTATGACACACTTCAAGTTGGTGCCTTTGCTTTTGTCTGTGGTGACCTGACCTCAGGCTTTAGAGGGGCCAGGTCGGCGCCGCACGCGGCGAGGACGTCAACGGCCGCGGAGAAAGACTTGGTTGCCTTCGAAGTGAAGATGGCCGATTTCCCAGAGTTGGATGGCGTTTTGCTGAGGAAAGCGACTCCTCCAGCAGTTCAGAAAGCTTCCTGGGGTCCAAGTACGGAGTCCACAAGCCCACAATCACCAGTCCCGGCATCTTCGTTTAAGGTTAGCTGGTGTCCTGAATGATAACTGTATGCTATTCTGAATAATACTTAATCTCTTGTTATTTTTGAGGAAGAAATGGGAACCTTTGAGAAAATCTGTATTTTTTTTTTATTATTAAGTTATAGTCATGCATTTGTTTATTATTTTATGGTTGAACAGGCTCACAGGAGGAGATCACCAAGACGGCACGACTCCCCAAAAACTAGCAGTGAAGCGAAGCCAGAAACCTCTGTTTCTACAGCCCAGCCAGCGGTAACATCGTGGGCCAATATCGCCTCTCAGCCTCCGAAAAAAACAGTCACCACTGAGAGGACAAACAGCCTCAAGCAGGTTTGATTCAGGTTTTGTTTATATTATGAACAGCCATTTTTTTATTTTATTTTCCCCACATGTGCTTAAAGATTTAGTGTATGATTTATTGAATGTATCATTTTTTGTATTAAGCATCATTTTCACCAATTTTTTTTCTTTTGGTTCTTTGTAAAGATCAATTTTCTCAATTTGTGTAATCTTATAAAGTATTTCTTTCATGGTGATTTTCAGGATTCATTTGAAATGTTGACATTCATTTAATTTTGTGTTAAACTTGATTTGTGGAAAAAAAAGAAGCCTTTCTTTATTCTTATCAGCAATTTAAGGAAAATTAAACCAGTGTAAAGAAACGTTTAAAAAAATATATTGTCAGGTGAATATTTTTTTTAGTTTTTAAGTACTTAAATATTATATATTTTCAAACAAAAATGGTTTTAAGGTTTTAAGTATTACTGGCATATATCTAAGTAAAGTGTTGTATGGCTACTTTACATCTAAGCAGACAGAGGACACGGCTGTGCAGAAAGAAGAGGGAGCCCCTGGAAAGAAAAAACGGAAGAAAAAGAAGAAGAAAAATGGTACTGAAGGTGGAGAAGCTGAGCCAGAAGTTCTAAACGTTCCACAAGAGCCTCCCAAATTTGAGGTTTCTTCCCTTTTCAATTATTTCTGTTTTCAACGGGATGGATGTATTCTTATTTTTGAGAAACAGATCTGATGGAACATAATTGTTGACCTGTTTTTGTTTTGTTTTTTCCCTGAAGGATGAGGAGGAATTCCCCGGCCTGGCTGTGGCTCTCACTGGGACCGACAGGTTTCCAGCCAGCAGCAACACGCAGCTCTGCGCTAAGGTCGGTCACACCGGGGAATCAGTGAAACTGCGAGGAAAAATCACAAAGGCTTGAGCTTTGTATCACATGGTCATCTTTTTTTCTTTCTTTTTTTTTTGTAAAGGAAAACCAAAGAGAAGGAGGACAGCATCCGTCTGCTGACCCAAACAAGGAGAAGTCACCTCCAGGAAAAACGCAGAACGCAGAAAAAAAAGCACAGGTTGGTGTTTGCTGATGTGTGCAAAAAGCTGCTGAACTATTCAGCTTCTGCCTCCACCGTGCCGGACTTTGCTGTGGATCTTCTGATTTCTAGAAAGCAGAGAAGGTCTCTGGGAAAAAGAGCAAGGCCCCTGTCCAGCTGGACATCGGAAACATGCTGGCCACTCTGGAAAAGAAGCAACAGTCTCAGAAAGCAAAGCAGGACGCCAAGCCGGTCATTCTCTCAGGTTGGTGTCGGTCAGCATCTCGAACCCTGTCCTTATTTTAAACTGTAGGGTGCTTCCACCTGGTCAGTAATTTCCGTTTTAACTTCCTACAGTTGGCGGAGGGTTGCCTGTGGTCCCAAAGCAACCATTAACCCAGAAGAAGCTGCACGGGCAGCAGGATAGAGTTGCGCACAATCCCTTGGACTCAACCAGCCCTTTGATCAAGAAAGGCAAGCAGAGAGAAGTGCCCAAGGCCAAGAAGCCCACTCCTCTTAAGAAAGCAAGTGGCTCTACTCACTTTTCTGTAAATACGCAGGAGTTAAGTCAGGTGAAAAGTGCACAACGGAGGGGGGTTGTTTACGTTTTGTGGTTTCTGCAGGTCATTTTAAAAGAACGAGAAGAGAGGAAACAGAAGCGTTTGTTAGAGGAGAGAGGATTACTGCCTGAAAGCGAGTCTTTACCCCCTCATGAGGACACAGAGGAGCAGTCAGACGCAGAGCTCGCAGGTCTGGGCAAACGTCAGACAGCACCAGTGACTACACGGCACATGTTTATAGGTGAATCACGTATTTGTCATCCTCTCAATTCAGACGAGAAAGAGATTCAAGTCGAGGAGTCGGAGGATCAGCTGGAGCTAAATGATGGCAGTCCTCTCAAAGGAGAGGGGGATGAAGAGGCCGAGCAGCAAGTCATTGCCCACCCGGCCAATGCTCCCCAAATCCACAGCCGGAAGTTCAGAGAGTCAGTCCACACACTCCCACACACACACACAGCCATGCGTCTCCCACTGTTTGCATCCATGAGTCTCACAGGTTTACGCTTGTGTGTGTGTGTGTGTGTGTGTGTGTGTGTGTGTGTGTGTGTGTGTGTGTGTATGTGTGTGTGTGTGTCAGCTACTGTAACCAGATGCTGCAGAAGGACGTGGACGAGTGTGTGACGACCCTGCTGAAGGAGCTGGTCCGCTTCCAGGACCGGCTGTACCAGAAGGACCCCATGAAGGCCCGGATGAAGAGGAGGATCGTGATGGGCCTCCGAGAGGTCCTGAAGCACCTCAAGCTGAAGAAGGTCAAATGTGTCATCATCTCGCCAAACTGTGAACGCATCCAGTCCAAAGGTACGGGACGAGAGGCACACACTTTTTTTTTAGTGTTTATTGATTACTAGCTGAACTATCAGTAGTGTTGCACATTTTTTCAAAGCTCAAAAGCTCAGAGTAGGATGGTTTAAGCTACCTTTTTTATGTTCATGCATTCAGCAGATGCTTTTATCCAAAGCGACTTACAATGCAGACACAACATTACAGGTACCATCAACCTACCAAGCTACAAAGAAGGAAATCACTAGCAGAGAGGGACTCTGCTAGGGGCAACAGTGTCGCGTAGTGATAGACGTACAGAAAGCGTAGGAGAGGGGGCGGGGAGGAAGAGCTGGGTCTGCAAGAGTTTCTTAAAGACAGACAGGGACGCTCCTATTTGTTTCTTTCCTTTGAAAGCAAATGGCGTTCAGAAGCCGATAGCCCTGGAAACCAGGAAAAAGGATCATGTGCCCATGATGAAAAATATGTAAAAACACACACTAAACTGCCACAGGGGTAAATCTGAATAAACATAGGCTATCCAAACCTGATGCAGAGTGTGGAGTAGTCTTGTTTTGAAACTCGAAGAAGAAACGCATGTTTTAGGGGACCACCCAGCAACATAGCAGGAGAGGATGTTTTAGAGCTGGTTGTTAATGGAAACCGTGCTCCGCAGGCGGCCTGGACGAGGCCCTCCAGACCATTATCGACACGTGCCGCGAGCAGGGCGTGCCCTTTGTGTTCGCCCTGTCCCGGAAAACCCTGGGGCGCTGCGTCAACAAGGCCGTGCCGGTCAGCCTGGTGGGCATCTTTAACTACGACGGCGCACAGGTCAGAGAGGCCGGCCGTTACGGCAGATGGCCGCAGACAGCTTCTGCCCAGAAGCCCGACTTAACGCTGCCGCTCCCGCAGGACTACTACCACAAGATGATCGAGCTGTCGTCCGAAGCCAGAAGGGCCTACGAGGAGATCGTGTCCGCCCTGCGGCAGAGCGGGCAGCCGGAGACGCAGCAGGACGCAAACGGCGTGCTCGAAGAACGCAACCCCAGTCCCGACGGCGCCAAGGAACCAGAGTACAGTAAGTCTGAAGTTTGGCAAAGAGCGGTCGGGGACACCCGTATTGTTTAAGAGAAGCTTTAAAATGATTTCCCCTGGAAGTAATCCCCCCTCCTTTTTTACCACTCACAGTGAAAGTCTGGAAGAACCTGCTGGAGAAAGAATGCAACCACGCATTTCTGAACTTTGCGGAGCAGTTGAACTGCATGCATTTGGACAGTGAATGTGCAGAAAATACCCAAGAGGAGAAAAGTTGATGGTGGAAAAGCCATGTGTGCCCAAAAGGTCCCGAGGTAACGAACCACTTTCCTCATGTTTACTGCGAGTCGGTCATTCCTGAGCTAGCTAGCCGCGGATATCGAGTTCATACGTCGCTGCCTGTGACTCGGCCTGCAGGACGGGAAGGGGTTTGTCACAGAAAACCACTAATTAAGGAGTTGGAACGATTACAGGCGATGGTTTAGCGGTGGGGTTTTCTGTCATTTGTGTTTTTCCCCCTAATTTATATCAGATTTATATCAGAAGAGGCATTTTCAGATATTTTGGGAAAAAAACATTTTTTTTCCCTCCATTATTTGACTGGAACAATGTTAATAAATGAGGTGTGACGTATCAGGGGGCTGAAACAAGACGGGCCGAGAGATGATTCAGAGCAGCTAATGGTTGTGTAAAAGCCTGAAGTTTAAGAATATGAGAAGAGAGAGAAAAAAGACGCAGGGAAGAAAAGGAAACTCAAATGAAGCATTTAAAGCTGAGTGAAAAGCATTAATTTGTAATTAGTTGAATCTCTCATGCCTTCAGCACTGGTGATTTGTATTTTCTTTAATTAGATGCCTCAGTTTCTTTGAGGAAATAAAGATAGAGAAACGTTTCCCCTGTTCAGGAATGCACTCATTTTGATTATATTCTGAGATAATCACACAGCAGATTCAGACGTTTGGTTTCTTTCTGGTTTTGTCAAAGCCAGTTACACATTCTGATTATTTTTTTCTTCATCTTTTCAACATGCTCATGTGATTTATTGTTGCCTTTTCAGAGGCAGGCTGATGAATTTGTTGGGCTTCAAACGGGAACATTTTTGTAACAGTCTGACATCCTAAAGAGACAATTGTTTCAGTCTAGCTCGCATTTATTTTTAATTGAGTCTTTCATCTAACTCTTATTTACTGTTTCCCCTTAAACTTGAAGAACCTAAGAAACAGAGGTAGCCTCTTCTTAGCAAGTGTGAAATATTTACAAAGTGAAACAGAAAGGTTTACAGTACTTCAAAATGCTCAGTGACAATCTTTTTTGGAAGAAGCACTACACGATCAGAGGAGAAGTCGTGTTTATGACTCATTTTTATGGAAAAGAAATGCAGGGTGCTTACTTTAACATCTCATTTGCCGCATGAATATTAGAGGTAATTGTGCTGTTAAGTGATGTTAGGTGGAAATCAGCTTCTTGCATCATTTATGTGTGTGTGATCATGTATTAACGGGAGATACTTTGACATAATGCTTAGTCCACTCTGATAGGAATTCATTTTGACAAGTAATGTGCGTTGTGGGAAATTCACATCGCAGTCTTACATGTTGTTCGATTCTGATGTCTGTCTGTGTTATAAAGAGACCGAACTGTGAAAAAAGTCAGACTCACACCTGCGGTAAGTGTGTGTCCGACGTGCAGCAAGCTGAGATCGAATGGAGACGTGCTGTATTACTGGGGTGTGTTTTTAATTAAGCTGTGTATTAAATACATGACTCTAGAAATGGAAGTAAGACAACACTGCATTCTAAATTCATTTGTTTGTTTTTTAAATCAGTAACGATTTTTTTCTTTCTCAAAGATATTGATTTGAGAGTGTTTGAATAAAGAGGGAAAAATGCAATATCATTCAAAGTGAGTGAATCTTCTGTGTTCATTAATCGAGGATCGTGCGTACAAGTTGTGCCAATGTCAAAGTGGCAGAGGATTCACCAAAACCCCTGTAAAAGGGATTTTCTTATGCCTTAAGTGTTTGACCTGGACAAACGTGAAAAAGAAAAACAATCTCTGAAGAGGATACATCCACACGTCCACACTGAATACGGGGGCTTTTCATTTTAAAGAAATGGTAATAATTGTCAAGTAACTTGGATCATTTATGTGTGATTTTTATCCACTCTAGCATGTTAACCGTTTCTCTCTATCTCTCTCTCTCTCTATATATATATATATATATATATACACAAACTTAACATGTCAAATTACATGTAAAACATGGAAATTATTTAACCCACCTTATTTGAATATAAGCTTCCCCATCATGGTTTGTAGAATTAGGCGTTAGTTTTTTTTTGTCTTGGATATCATTTTCCTGTTCCTCGGTACATTTTTGCTCAGGAGAGGGTATCATTCATCAGCCAGATCATTTCAGATAAAAGACAAACGAGGAAGAAAGGAATATATTCAAATAAGTGTGTGGTGTCCTAAAAGGTGAATTAATGTTAAATTCAATCAACCAGTCATGTTTGTTTGAGCAAGTTTTTAATTAGTGATGTCGGTGGAATAAATAACTTGGAGGTAAAGATTTGTACGTCACCACACTGATCAAGTTTCTACTGCTCCGTAGCTTGTAATGTCCTGCGTTCACATCTCTGATAAACCAGACGGACCTGAATGCACCGCAGCCTACGGTGGAAACGACACGCTGCAAAGACATTACACTTTCCTGTTATTGCCAGCAACTGTTTAAAGGAAAAAACTGGAGGTGTAAATTATTTTAAAGGTCAGCTAGCCAAATCACTGAAACACTTGTAAGAAATGTCACCCAGAAGAGTTGCCATCCAACAAGATTTAGGGGAATTTCACAGTCTCCAGAGGCTGTACAAGCCTCTTTTTTTCCTTTTAAAAAAAATCTGATGTGTAGTTGCTTTATTAGACATGAAGTTTATCATCAGCACTGGGCCAAGGAGCACTCGGTTAGTTCCACACCAAAGGCAGAGCAGTGGGGAGAGGCGTGTCGGCAGTCCTGCTGCTTTTGACCTCATGTTGTTCCTGAAGATGAGGCCGGTCTCCCACCAAAGCCGTCGGCTATTACCCCCTCACACGTCTTGCATATCTGTGGCCAACAAAAAACCTGGGAATCACGAGTGTCTGGGCAAAAGTCTATGCGAAACCATCAGCTAGATGTTAACATGCTCCAATTTCACCATATAAGTGAAACCTTTGAGGGAGGGGGGTGACAATAGATGAGCAGGAAATCCAACTGCAACCTCTGGAAACCTTAAATGTCCGTTTCAAATGGGATTACAGTCCATCCCATAATTAAGGTAAAAGGAAAAAAAACTATTGCCACTTATTTCCTATGAGTCAGCAATTACTAATGGGGGATGTATGATGTCATAACTTCACAACTCCGTCCATCCGTCTTCCGTAGAGCTTAGAGAGGTCCCGGGGACTCCAGCTGGGAACCTGCTTACTGTGAGACCACCACGCCGCCTCCGACTTACCGATTCACCGAAAAGAAAACATAGGAACAGAATCTACATATCCGTTACTGACCAGCTCTGTGCACATTGCTTTGCTGCATTCAGTCACCTGGTGCTTCTTTGGTTTCTGAGAACTCCACTCTGTGCTGTGGTTTTCCTTTTCCTGGGACAGGGAGTCCCCCCGTCCATCGTTCATCTGCAGGAGAACCGTGTTGCCACCGCTCAGCTCCTTGACCCTGCTGTAGTCCTCTGGCAGGCCCTCCTCCGAACTGGTGACCTCACCGATCCCCTGGATGAGGATACCCTCACCGTTCACCTCCGACACTCTGCTGTAGTCCTCCTGGGTCCCCGCCGGCGGCTGCTCCGGACCCTGTTGATGCTCCACATAGCCAGTACTGGCGATGGGTCGCAGGGTGTGGTCAGACGCTGCTCTGTCGATACTGGGGAGCTTTGCGATCGGACCCTGCTGTTTTTCCGGACTCGTCCCGAGAGGGTTCATGTCCAGCAAGGAGTCCAAGTGATCCACTTTGTCCGTCCAGTCGCTTTGGCTCGGAGTGGACTCCTTGCATTGGATATCAGCATCTAACCGTAAACCAGCGGGAATAATCCTCTTCTTTTGAGATGTGTAGGGATGGGGTGACAGCAAATTGCTGCTGTCAGACACAATGAGATACTCCTCCACTTGGTTGGTCCATGCCGATGTGGGAGGAAAGTTATGGAGGCCAATTATAGCATTGACGACGTCCTCAGATCGCCCAGTCTGGAAGGGTCAAATCGATATATTGTTATGAGACAAAATAGTTTTTTTTGTTTTGTTTTGGGGGTTTTTGCATGTCTTCTGGAAAAACACTAAAGACTCATTATTACCTTAAGAAGTTGTACATCAACTCCTCTTATCTTGGGTCCAGGAACAGGGGGCAGAAGCCATTGCTTCACACTGGGTGACAACAGAAAGATCTGGGCTTAGATCTGCATTTAACCAGCCACTTTTTAACCAGTTCTTAAGCTTTATACCGTTTTAGTGTTTACTAGATACTTACATTTTCCTTTTCATGACCAAGACACAGAGAGTCGCCATCAGCGGAATTAAGGACAAGGTGGAGACTAGTGTCCAAAGGGGTTTCTCAGGCTTTAAATCTAGGTTAAAAAGAGGTATTTTCATCAATAGTTACCGGATTTCCGGAAGAACTGAGGAGAAAAGGTTCTGACACTTACTGTCTGGGATGGTCACAGAAGTGGTGTTGCTCCACTCGCTCCAGGAGCTGTGATCGATCGCACAGCGCACTTGGACCATGTGCACGGCCCCGGGTTCGATGTTGTACAGGTTCAAAAAGGACTCTGTGCCTGAGCTGTGATGCTGGATACAGAATCAGAACAGAGAATACCGTTCAGTTTTACGGATCATGTACTTCTAACACCGTGATTCATCCACTATACACTGATACACTAAACTATTATGCACCCTCGGAAGAATCAGGTTTAAATACAGTTACATAATGTAACAGGAATGTATTTTGTTGAAAGAGAAACTGTCGGCATCATCTGACAATTCAACCCCCTTCCAAAATGTTTCGACACCACGTGGAGAATGCTCTTTAAACTCTATGGTCATAATTCCACCTCTTAGTTGAATCTTCTGGGTTTTCCTCAACAGACCTAAACAAAAATTAATAAAAAGTAGTTGGCTGATAAGCCTCATTGGATGGAGCCTCGTCTTGAATAGGATTTTGTTTTTTAAACAGACTGAGAACTGGGCAGTTTGTTGACCATTCGATGAGCAAAGAAAAGACTGAATGGTATTCGCTTCGTAGCAACATTGATCATCACTTTGAAAAACAACTTTGCTATCACCCAAGTCACTTCAGATGTCCACCTGTGTATCTACCCTGGTCCTTTACCTGGCATTAACCCCTTCAGCCAGTTACCAGTTGGAGCCAAACATACTGAATCGGGGCATCCCTTTGTGGTGTAACATTTAAATGAAACCTTTTTAGATACTGCCGTTGAATACAGAGACAGATTTCATTATGACGATCTGAAAAAATAAATCCAGTGTGGTCTCTAGAGTCCAGGGTTAGTGTAGCGCTCACCTTCCAGTCCGCGCCGCTCTCATGTTTGACCCTCAGCTCGTACTTGATGGTGACCCAGCCGGACTTGTTGTCTGTGTTGTGAGGGCGTTGCCACCTGATGTGGAGGTAGGGGCTGTGGTCTCTGTCCCTCACCCACAGCGTGACGTTTTCAGGAGGGTCGGGCTTCACTGCCGGGCACAGAGAACAAGACTCAGAGTCTGAAGCAACAGAGCATGAGCGACTGGACGGTCTCCCCGGCATGAATCAAATCAAAGGATTTTTACCGTTTTACATTCCATTGATTTCAGTACTGGCTGAACTTTTCAAACACTCAACATTTAGACCTAGCCTGCCTCTCAAGACAGTGGTGAATTGTGTACACTTTCTGAAAGGTCCCATCAGAGCGATCCCAGGTTCTTCCTCAGTTTTTAACCTTTCGGTTTTGCGAAATCTTCACGTCAGCGCTTTTAAAATCACGATCACCCGCCCCTAAACAGGGCAGCGGTAGGTGATTTAGGCCCAGGCGTCATGGCCCTCGAGCAGTCAACCATGTGACACACCTTGGACTGACAAACACGATGTGTGACATATTAGTAGCGGGAAGTGACATGTGCTGGTTTCCCAGACACAGGAGATTGTAAAACAGGTCCTCATTCCAACGACGGCACAGAATCATATGATTACACTACTTTTATATCTAAAACCGTAGCTTTGGGGGTTAGTGTTTTTATATTGTGTCTTTTATATTCCACTGTGGGAAGAAAAAAAAAATCCACAGAGAGAGGGTAAATGCTTGTTTAACCAAACAAAAGAGGTGAAATTTGATCTGAAACGGAGCACACGTTCTATCTTCACGGGGCTCAAACCAGTTCTTCCTCATTTCGTTCAGGTTTTTTAGCTGTGCCTCGTGCTTGCCACACAGTACTTTTCCATTCTTCACTGAGCCCAAGACGGCAGAGCAGCCAATAAAACTGAGCCAATCATTAGCTCAGTCCATATAGATAGCTCCCTGATTTCCACACCAGAGGATACAAACATCCAGCCGACCTACATAGTTTAACAGCCCCAATATCTAAATCTAATCCATTGAGGTCCAGAGTTATAAACCCTCAGTCTATGGTAGGTCAATGCTTTTATAGATATTGTATAGTTAACAGTAAAGTGACGCCCCAAAGACGCAGGAGTCATATTCTATTAATGATAGACCAGATAAAACCCCTTTAAGTTGGTGCATATTTGTCAATGAATTGCTGCACTTTTTTCCTGATTTTCAAAATTTATTAAAACATTTTCAAAAGCTGGAGGCATATTGGAGACCGTACTGCACTTACAGATTTTCATCACGTCGATCTTCAGCAGGTCTGAGGATGTATTGCCGAGCCCGTTGGAGGCCACCACTGTCAGATAGTATTCCTCCCACAGGGTCGTGTAGCTCTTGTTAAAGAAACAGGAGTGACTTCCTGCCGAGGAGTAGTCAGGACACTCGAGGATTCTGTTTGATCTGTAAACATCCAAAGCGAGACTTTGTCAGCATGTACCGACAAACATGAGGGTGCCAAACATTGTGAGGCAATTTTTTTACTGTTGCTAGATCATCGTTACTGCAAACCATTCGCAAATGTCATCTGATAAAAATAATCAAATGCAACTGGTGTTATTCAGCAGTTACTGACTTTTCATAAAAACAAATGAATATTTTCATTTTTTTTCACAACATAAGCGTTTAATAAGCGTGATAAGCCGTAGTCCATATTAGGAAGTTAGGAATAAAAACTTTTTTTTACGGTTTAAAATGGATGTTTTGCACATACGAGTCCCCAAAGTTACATAATCCAGTTTACACATTTTACAAAGCATGTTATATATATGCATACATATATTATTTTCTTCCCACCTGGTTTAACCTACTGTAAACAAGTATACAGCACCAACGCTGTTATCTTCCCAGCTTTTGGGACCATCAATCAGTTCTATGATTAATTCCCACTTGGGCAGTTTTAAGCTACCAGTACTGACATTTTTCCCCCGGAGGCCAACATGCTGACATGTATTTTGAACTGTGCGAGTGAATATGCACAGCGACCAGTTAGAGCTCACCTCACTCAACAGAAAGACCCGAACAAAAAAAAAACCCTGGTAGTTTTCCACTTGCCCACATAAAGCAACAAAAAAAGTTTTACGCTCTGGCCGTGGGTGATAAACTTATCTCAAACTCAATGGGCCATCTGCCGGCTTTGTATCTAAGACAAACACAGCAGCCGGTGATTAAAAAGCCCAGTCGGAGTCCCCATGAGGAACTGTGTCGCATGTCACTGCTTTTTGCCCTCGGTCTGTTCAAAGGGAAGACAAGCAAAAGACTAACTGGTCTTTCTCGTAGAAGAGGCGGTGTACGGTTGGCAGGCCTCCATCGGAGCCTGGTTTCCACCAGCAGGTAAATGTCTCCTTCTCAGGGGACCTGCAGCCAATCAGAGCCGGTTTCCCTGGTGGAGATGTACCTGGTAAAAAATAAAAAAAATGCACCATTACAGTCTACTTCAGGGAACTAATTGAAAAGAAACTTATCATCTTTCTTGACAGTACCCTGACACACAAAGTCTGATTCCTCCCTCCCTTCACTGAAATATTGTCTGTTCATCCTTTCCAATGTGGCCTCAAATCTAATCACGCTCTTCTTTTTCTGCTGGTAAACTGCGCCCGGTTGCCTACAATTTCCTTATCCGCAACACATATTTGCTTTGGAGTTAGATTAAAGGAGATGAGACTGAATATTGCTGAATATTGAACAACATAGCACAGGAGAAAATGCTTCAGTATCAAATGAAAATGTATTGAACTGAACTTCTCTCAATGCATGGACATGGATGCCACATCCAATTTTTTCTCACTGTCTTATCTAAACTTTATATTACCCAACTGTTTACCATCCAAACAACTCTACAAAAAATGTCATGATTAATAGGGAAAGCGCACTGTAAAGCTGCTTTAACTACCTCTTAGCACGTCTTTCGAGTTGACTGACGTTTTAAACGGCACGTCGTTATCATCCAAAGATGAATTACGGAGGTGCTTGAACTCACCGTGGCACCGGAGAGCCGCGGAGAGCAGCAGGAGCAGGACCGGCCCGACGCCTGTCCCCATTCTGCCACACACTCTCCCACACCAGCCCGACATCACCTGCATGCGCTTAGTGAACCCTCATAATCTCGTGGCTCAGATGCATGTCTTGTTCTCACCTAAAACAAGCAGTCATGGAGGGAAAACAAAAGGCCGGTGACGTTTGGTCGGACACATACAGGCCGCCTATCAACATCAGACTTTGCTGAAACCTAAGGTTTGGAATAAGATAAAAACAAACAACAAAAAAAATGCTGGAATTTATTTTGGACCTGGCCGACAGTCTCAGCTGCTACTTTTCGTCTCTATAATAGGCCAGAAATGATTGGCTTGTTGGAGATCAACACACATGTTTAAGGAGGGAAATTACACAGGTTTCAACACCAGCTTCCATGTGTGTTGTGTGTTGTGTTGCGCAGCAAACAAATAAGTGTGACATACACAAATTTGCTGAGCAGAGTTTTTTTAAACTTCCTTATTCCAGGGAGCTTCACTCAGATGATCAGACACAGATAAGCAGATTAATAGATAAAGATCACAGAAATGCCCAAACCCCTGTCAGGGTGTGCATATTTGCTTAAAAGCCCTGCTTTTGTTTGTTTGTTTTTATGCAGGTTTTCATGCTCACCGCACCACATACAGGCTCAGAGGGGGGGGGGGGGGGGGCCGGACACTTAACTGACCCTTTCAGGTGGGATAATGACTTGTAGAGTCAGGGAGTCTGGTTCCTCCGTAGTGCAGGCACGTAACACTACGCACTAGATGTTTTTATAGGTTTTCATTATTTATGCTCCTCCTCTGAGGAGAAGCTCAGGTTTGTGGTGCGACACCTTTCTCTGGCAAGTTTTAACAGGATCGCCCGCTCGAGCTAGGCGGGACCTGGATCAGGCTTATTTCCTTATTTTCTCGATTCTTGTGGCAGACGACCAGAACTGTGCGCTGAGTTAAAAATGAAAGGACTGTGAGTGAGAGAGCAGACGTAGGAAGCCTGTTCCTACACCGTTCCTCCTCCTTTAAACACACATCTACATGGCTGGAGCTCATCACATTCCACCTGAGAGTGGAGCCGGAGCTTAACACAGCTCAAATCTGACAATATATCAGTATTGTTGGCAGAATTGCCGTCACCAGGGCAACAGTGTTCCTTCTGAAAAATATCACAGCAATTTAGCTCAGCTGGTGATCATAGCAAAGCCCCCCCCCCCCTTTCCCCCACAATTGAACTTCAGATTTTAACTGGTTTACAGGGAGAAAAAATAGAAACTCTGTATGGCCATGTTCGGCTCCTAGTAAGGTCCATAAGTCAAGAGTTTACAGGTCAGCTGGAATTCTAATTAAAAAAAAAAAAAAAAAAAATCTTCATACTCATGTGGCAGCCCAAAATGCTTTAAATGTGCCAACGCAATTCTGAAACCTACTCCAGGATTATAAAACTTATTATAGATTTTATTATAAACCTGTCTATCTAATCTAAGAACACACTGTGTATAACAATCTGGACACACATGACACACAAGCTTTCTGTACATATGCAAAAAGAAGCATCCCTGTTCTACATAAGGATTATGGAGCTCACTCACCAGAACCGGAGAACCGCAGCTTTGTTTACGGGCGGAGAGGAAAAATGAGCCTCTCTCAGTCACTTCTGGCCGCAGACTGCCTCCTCACACCTGGTAACCGCGCGCCTGACGACTCAGGTATGACTGGTTACGCGGAGCCAGAAAGGTGTCTCTTAGTTACCGGGGGGCGGGGCTTGTTCGTCCACGTGACCCCGGCCAGACAGGGTAGACGGCGCGCGAAGAAAATACTAAATCTAAATGCTACTCAATTTAATGGCATTTTCATGTTTCTTCTTGGACTAAAATGCGAGATTCGTCACGCCTGAAGCCTAAAATATCTTCCAGAAAAATGTGGTCAGACACACGAAATGTGTGTGAATGCTTAAAAACCGGATCAACTGAAATGCCTCAAAGTCAAATAAGGGCTTTGAATGCAACACGAACCGTGTCAGGTTTGCGAATAGTTTTCAGGGTATGTGTTCTTCCAGGAAAAAGAAATAATTGAAAAGGAAAAAGGTTTACATCACGGTTGGTAAGCTGTCAAAGATAAGACTTACTCTACTTGAATTAATAGTGAATAAATTAATATTATATCATAAATAACATAGGCTTAAATAGTTAGAGCATAGAGGGGAACACAGATAACTTGGTTTTCGCAAATATCAATGCAGAATCCTAAATATATTTCATAGCGATAAAAAAACTGTTTGGTATTTGAAATTAAAGTCTTACCTTGGCTGCATACTTATTTGGGATGTTTAGCTGGGACACATTAATAAATATAGAAGTGCCAGACTTAGGAAGACTGACTTATTTCCATCTGTCACCAAACAATCCCCATAAAAACAAATTATTAGATTAAAACAGTATCATATATATTTTTTCACTGTGCAAAATACACAATAAAAAAAGAAATATAGAATAAAGAAACAAGAATCGGCTGCAAAGAGCAAAACTCTTCTGAAATTTTGTGGTGAGAGAAATTCATGAGGCCCACAAAACACCTGGTCTTTCATATCTCTGTAGATTTGGTCATATAGGCATCCTGGCTTCAAATGGAAAATTGTAGACAGACCACATCATTTCTAAAACACAGACAAGACCTTTCACAATCCTCAGAAAGGTCAGAGGGTCACACCGTTTATTTCAGGCATATATTCAAGAGCATGTATGGTCAGGCGTGGCGGTCTAACAGGAAACATCAGGTGGATTTGTCTCATGAGAAGCAGAAATCCAGGTTTCTGATCATGGTGCTGATCTCAGTTTCTGTCTTCAAAACGAGCTAGAGGTCACATAAAGTTTTATTTTGCTCATTAATAACAGAGCATATGAATGGGTTTTTTATTACTAATCAAGCTGTCACTATTTCCTCATAAAATGATGAATGAATGGTTTAGCCAAAGTTAAATGTTGGAAAATAAAAACGTAAAATGCTATACAGACTAGCCCCTTTTTAACTGCAAGATGCACCAAAGACAAGTCCCAATGCATCACTGAGAGCTTAATCCTTTAAACATTGTCCAACATGTAAGCAGGGTTCAGGATCAGCTTAGTTTGCTAAACCGCTCTTCAAAGGCGTCAAGCAAGTCTTTAAACCCCTGAAATATTAGGTGTCAGTAGAAAAATAAGGATCAGCTGTTTATAAGTTACTCCAAGTTGCATAATGTTTAACAGCGCACAGCAGATTTGACCACGACGCAAATGTGGAGGCTAATGAAAAGGAGATTTGTTGTTTTCGTTTGGTTTGATGTCGAGCCGTGTTTCAGGCCTGAGTGATCACAGTGGGACAAAACATGCATTTGGGCTTTTTGTGATTTTACACATGAAATCACAATAAACTAAATCATGTTTTATATTTGAAGAACTAGTCGCTGCCGGATTATGTAAAATGAAAGAAAATACTGTTGTCCCGAGGTTTGATACAATTAAAGAATTGAGTTTATATCCCAAATACACAGAAGACCTATTAGAAGAATGTTCTCTCTTGGTCAATAATATTTTAAATGAAAATTACTACGGTTGGTATTTAGGTTTATACTGGGTATTCCAAACTATTTAAAAACTTAACACAAGGACATTTGCTGGTAAATTAATAACAATAAAAAAACATTTTGATTTCAATTATTTTTAAAAAATTAGAGCTCAAACAGCCGAAGTTAATAAAACTTTTAATTTATCATCTCCAAAAAACGTTTTTGAAGCAGCTTTTTGCCAAAGGGGATGGGTTCCATCACATTTCTCTTCTAAATGCCACAAAATTACAACTAAAAGGGTTCTTTTAAATTCAGGTTGGACAACATACTCTGCCAGGTCAAAGTTCTCACTTTTTCCATGACAAATTCAAGTGACCGGAGACGTGAGTTTTAGTGTGTTGTGGAATTTTCCTCTGCTGACCAAAACGAAGGGACTTCAAGTCACCGTACTGTCAGAATTTGGGTTGCACTCATGTTTCAATATTTGAAAGCTATCTCCACGACACCAAATTATATTTGCAACGTAAAATTTCTCCACAGACAGTAATCTGTGGAAAAGAGACTCTGCCTCCCCATAGTGCTCTTTTTATACTATAATCAGTTTGTGGTTTCAATACTACCTGTTCCATCCATCTACTTGATTTATCTCATAAAATCCAATATGAGCTCATTTTATGTCAAATTGGAGAGTCTCTGCCTTTGAAAACGTTCCCTATGTTCTATTCTACCTGAAACGTTATCACTACCATGAATCTGTGACAACTCAATAAAGCAGTAAATGTGGTTTCATAAAAGTTAAGGGGCACATAGTTTTTCTTATAATTCATCGATACATACGTAACTAGAGACCAACACCAGCATGATCTCTGTACTTTCATTTTAGAAGCCATTGTGATATGATCTGAATTCCTGGTTAATGTTTCATTCTTAGATCTTTTGCACCCTGGATGTCTTACAAGGCTGTAACCCTAAAAAAATAGCTTTTAATTCAAGTGTTTTTCTTCTAATTTGTAAATGGAAAGATATTATTGTAAATAGACAGACCTTTTAGAAAGCTTTACAAGTATTTTTTCAGGAGAAATCTAGTCAGTGCAGAGGCTAAATGTATTCAAGTGGGTAAAAGCTGTACTTTTCTTCACATGCCCTTCTTTAAAATGAGAGTATTTACGAAACCTTGCTGGGTTTCCATGGCAGCTTGAATCAATTACTTTTTTCTTTCTTTTTTTTCTTTAATGCTTCTATATTTAAAGGTTTCATCTCTCAGCTCTCTTGTATCTTTGCAGTCATATATTAAAAACACAATGTTTTTCACTGACAGATTTTTCCATCACTGCTAATTGCTTTTTTCTTTTAGCTTGGGAACAGATTTCAGGATGTGTTTTTTTTCTTATACATGTAGAGGATTTGTTAAAAACATGTCTTCTAAAGCAAGAACATTTTGTATCCTTAAATGATTGAATTATTATTATTTAGCAGCATCAGAATAACTTCATCATATTTGTGCATATTTATGTACATATATTCCCTACATGTGTGTTATGTCCATGAATTAAAACAATGTAGGACTAAAATAAGGATAGAAAAGTTTACATTTTTAAATATTTTGAAAAAAACAAACATCATTTTACATTTTTCAGGTAAGTCATCTATTCTCTAGAGTAATCCTCAGGATTACGTGTAGTTTTGTATTTGCAAACCCCAACTTCACTCTAACACTAACAGAAATCAGTCACAGACACAGATTAGGACCAATAGAAAACGGTTCACATGTAGATAAAATGAATAATGATATAATTGGTAAAAAGTTGCATCTTTGCCCAGTGACAGTTGGCCCTGGTTCCATTCTCTTTTGCAATAGGCGGTTATGTAAGAGTCAACCATGCAATAAAGTTACATTTAATGGTATTTTTATCCATTTGAAGCAAGCTTAAATATCATTGGTGAACTTCTTGGACTTATTTGTTGCTTTGTGTTGCTTCCACGTTGTTGGAAGTGAGACTGTCTCAGATTGACACAACATCCAGCCGCCCTTCTGATGACGACAGCCTCTATTTGCGGTTCTGGAAAGGCCAAAAACAAAAAGGGGCATGTTTGTATGACCAACCTCCCATCCCGTACTGGGACTTGCTCCCTTTCCTCTCTCAGGAAAACGAAGCTTCAGTGGCGGGGTCAAAGAAAAATAAGACCTCTGAGAACATTCACAGCAGCAGGTACCCTCCTCAGAAACCCGATCACACAGTTTCTAGCCTGTGAGGCTGTTATTCCAAATTGTTCAGCCTGTGTGTTTGGTATAAATGTTTCAACGTAAACTTAGACTGGCAGGACACAACCTTTACACAAACTAAGTCATTTCTCACAGAACATGCTCCATTTTAATGGCAAATATAGTTTGAAAAAGGGATGAAATACCTGTCCATGTTTGTCCATCTTGCTCATGTGTGTTTCTCTGTACTTTTCCAGTAGTCACCGAGTTCAAGAATGCAACCTCAAACTCTATGAATAAAACAGTCCAAACCTCTATCATGTTAGCTTCTTCAGCACAGAGTTTTCAAACCTATGTGATGTGATTCATTTTATACTTGCTTTCATTTTATACCTGGCATTTGTGTGGGTGTGTTCATGTGAGCATCTGAGGTTTGGATATGTGTGTTTAGGTATGTGCATTTTTATGTGACAAACCCAAAAAACACGTCCTGCGTGAATCTTCCTGCTGCCGACATAGTTCAGAGTGCTTCCTTCCTTATCTGACACAGTTTTCACTTTTCCATGATGGAGTTATTTCTAGCCAAAGTTAATCATTGCCAAAAAATCCTATCTAAATCCCCCATCAGTTCACTTTTGTCAAACAACAAACCATGACAACAGCAATGACAGGGACATAAACCTACACAAAAACATCCTAATCAACCTCGAGGTTTTCATTGTGCTGTGGTTAACGGAAAATCTCCTTTATAATTTCTTTTGTCTAAGTTTGAATTAAGCTATGTCATGTGATGATGTCTCCTTTTTGGACTGTTTTGATTACCTCTGTAAGAAGCAAAAAACCTGTCTGTGTCGATCAATAGGAATTCAAATGGTCCAATATCTTCCTGCAACATTTCTACTTATTGCTTAGATATCTATTTTTTATTAACTGGGATAAGCTCCAGCCCTCCCCAGTGACCATACTGGGAATATGTGGTATGGAGTAAGTCTTTTGTAAGCAGTGGTACATCCTTAATGCAGGTTGTGGCTGACCCCTGAGGTTGGTAACTCTTCTATATATTGCTGGAAAAGGCCAAACACAGAGAGCACTTCACTGAAACGCGCAGACATGAAGGCAAATAAGGGTGAGAGACAAAAACAGAGCATATGTCAATGCAACCTGAACTGTTTTAAATAAGCTTTCTTTTTATTTCTGTCTTCACCAATTGTTCTCCAGGCTTTTTTAAGGACATCCAAAAGTTTGTCTTTGGATGTTTTCAGCCTTTTGTTGGGTTCTCTGTCAAATTATACCACTCTGCTCTAATGATGTTAAGGTTCAGGCTCTTGGGAGGATTCATCCCACCATAAAACCTGTTAACACTGATTTTCAGTGGAGTGCCTGTGTCATCCTCCACTCTACCGAAACACCTTCAGGTCGATAAACTTCCCCTCGAAGCAATATTGTGTTGCTTGTAATACATTTTTAAAATCTCATTACAGTACCACAGCTCCCAGTATAGTCATATTAATTTTATTATGATTGAAACACAGCTGTGAGAGTCTGTAAGTTTGCACATTTTCATGATTAAAAAGGATTCCCAGTGATCTTCAGTTTGGTTTCTACGTGAAACTGAAGTGTTCTCTTTTTAGTATTTTTCAGTTTCTGTTCTTTCATTTTTGGTCAATTTTGAATTTGTCTTCCATATTGAAACATTTGCTTTTCAAATGATCAGACATTATGACCCAATAAGATAGAGGCAGACACCTCAAATTCCTTTTGGGATTGATAAAAACATATTCAAGTTCAGGTGTCTTGGATTATCAGGAGTAAAATCGTAACTCCACACACGTTTTACTTAAAATGTGAGTTTCTGTACTTTCTTAAAGACGTTTGTGAGTGGGTTTCCAGGGGAAATGCGTTGAAGTCAACACACACACTATTTCGCATTACAAAAGCATCAATTGTTTGGTTACAAACCAAATCACCGCGGGCAAACACGCGCAGCAAAACAAACGCACCCCCCACGCGCCCAGGTGCGGGAGGAGCCACACGAGGAGCTCCCACGAGGAAAGATGACTCACGCTATCCCTTTTTTGCGGCACATTACGCTAAAAACTGTTACACAATACTTTCTTAACACACAATGCAGAGATATAAATGTATATACCGATAAATAGTCTATTAAGCAACGGGACAAAACGAACAGAGGGCCTTTTGGACGGTGTTTTAGTCAAAACAGCCATTACTGTAGAACAGTTAGACATGCTAGTAACTCTTCTCCCGTGATGTAAATATCACCTACGCCAAAATTAGCTATTTCAAAACTTTAATAGTCGTGTATTGTTAAAGGACTTTCAATATTGTTGAAATTACGGAGTGTACAAATGCTACGTCAGGTGTGCGTCCAACAACTTTACGGCGAAATGCCAAACAGAGATCCATCTTAATGTATAAACGATCTTTGGCGGGACCAACACGGTAGTTTCGACTCGGAAACCGAAGATGGTGCGGTGGGTGTGTCCGCATCACTTTAGCATTTGATCCAGGAAGTAACCTGCGGTGTGTTTTTCCCTAAAAGTTACAAATAGTGCCGGCCGGGGCCGCGTTAATGGTAAACTCTGGTTTCCCCCATGGCGGACTCTTTGGACAGGTCGACGAAAGTCAGCCTGTTGAAGGAGTCGCTTTTAAAGAAGCTCTGCGAAGTGTTGGATAAATCCAGCAGCAAAGGATGGCGAAAACTCGGAGAGATCGTGAGCGTTGACAAGCGCTTCAAAGTCAGGTAGGCTTCAAGTCCCTTCACCCCTCATGAACAACTTTATTGTTCATTAATCTGTTCAAAGTCTGTGCAAAATGCCCATTTATTCCCTTATTGTATGTGTGTGTATGCAGTAACTAGATGATCAACTAAAATTAAATTCACTTCAGCTAGTGTTTTGTCTCCCTAAACCTTATAATAGATAGTATTTATAAGATGTGTGGAGTTTTAGGATTATTTGTTAAACACCATGTACATGTTTCACACCATAATGATACCACTTCCCAGAATGAAATCCTTTTTCTTTGTGAATGTGTTGAGATGTTTCTGATCTTCTGTGTGATCCTGCAGCTCTGATGACATGGAGATGTGCTCCCTGAGGGTGCTGGAGGTGGAGGGCAGCCCCAGCCTCATGCTGCTGAGGCTGATGGGAGAGCGAGGCTGCACAACAGGCCACCTCATCGACTACCTGCAGACTCTGGGCAACTCGGAGGCCCTGCAGTGCCTGAAGCCACCAGGTACCATAAAACCGCCTCCCATCCGTCCTGTCTGGGGGGTTGTGACACATCCAAGTTCATTATTATTATGTTTTGTCCGCTTACAAGGGAATTTAGGATTAATTTGATGTGTATTTGAAGTCTGTTTACATGTTGGTTGAAAGTCGGTGCTACCATGTTATTGGAGCCAAAGCTTGTTTTTTTGTTTGCTTTATTATAGAGAAGTTTCCATTTACATGGAAAGTGTCAGGAAACAAAGTGAACTGACAGTAGACCAATTCGCTATTCGTTTACAGCCCTACAGATCTTAATCCAGCCCCAGTCTGTTGCTCTAATATGTGGCCACAATCTGCGCCTCAGCTGCCACGCGGTGGGAAAATCTCCTGTCCACTATCAGTGGTTCAAGTCGAGGGAGGAGGTGAGTGATAACACACAGTATCCCAGAGGTATTCACCCTATTTGGGTTTAAAAAGTTTAAAGGCATAACAATATTTGTAAGTGGACCAAAGGTTTGTTAGACTACTACAACCATCATGCAACAGTACACAACAGATTTAAAGGTTTGAGTCTTTGAAACGGTTCAAAAAAGAAAAGAAAAGAAAAACAGTGGGTAGGATTAACATTTAGACTGAGACCAACGGAAGTGAGACTGGAGTAAAAGGCTCTTTCTCTGTTTGCATTCTTTAGTTCAACCCCATTGGTTGAAAAAAGGTGATCAATTATTTTTATTTTTCCTGCATAGATCTTTCTGTTTTCACCTCTTCTTTCCATTTTCCCACGTTGTTGAATGCTTCCCAAAATATTCTTTGAAATATAGGAAGTTTTGGCAGTGGACTTGTGGGAAATTCACAATGAGTCACGGTTTCTAAAGTTAAATAACACGCAGGTCCGGACTTGAAATCTTTCCCATCTGCACTTCCCCCAAACTCAAAACATTTGCACTGAAACTGCTTAGGTTGAAACCAGAACACGTGATGAACAAATCCCATGGTTCTTCCACTTTCTCTAAATGGAGGAAGATGCACAAAAAATGACTTGTTAACATAAATGAGACGCTGACTATGATGCATGATGCTTTGAGCTAAAAATTCAGGTGAATCAGCATAAAATGAAAAGAGGTACATGTTTTATATATATATTTATATAAATTCCTATATAAATTACATAGTTTCTGACACATGGACGCACTCTTGGATCATATTGGGTTTTAAAGAGCTACCACAGAGAGCCGAGGGAAGTCCGTCTATTGGGTTTATAGAATGATGTCACACTGTGCTGCCCGGTAATAAACGTGATCCACAAACATAGGTGCCAAACAGCTGCACCCCGGACCTGGTCATCAGTCCTGTCCTCCTGAAGGACGCCGGCTTCTACATCTGCAGGGTCCACAGTGGGGACGCCTGTGAGTTCAGCCAGTGGGCCCAGGTGGACGTCCTGAACGTGGGCGTGTCTTACGGTGAGCTCCTCCCCTCCAGCTGCCACTTAAAGTCTCCGCGTCCGTTTTCCAATAACTCGACCTGTTTGTCCTGCCCCCCCCACCACAGGTCAGAGCTACCAGTCGTTGGACGGGCGGCTGAAGGTGGTTCTGCAGCCCGGGGCCCAGCGGCTGCACGCCGGGGAGACCCTGCAGCTGGAGTGTGGCGCGGTGGGCCGGCCCCTCCCCCGATACCAGTGGCACAGAAACGGGGTCCCCGTCCCAAACCTCACCAAGAGGAAGCTGACGGTGATTTTCAAATCTTTTTTCCCCCCAGTCTTGCTTTGCCTTTGACAGCCCGCCATCCCCCAATATTCACGTACACTTTCTGTCAAGTGGTTCCCACTTTTTTGTTTGGGACTGACCAGCAGGTCAAGGAATTTTGCTTCCAGAGTCCACAGGATTTCACTCAGGTGCAAAAGTTGATTCTTTAATTTTCCTTTATTCTTTGATGGTTTGTTGAACCGACAATATTTGTAAGAATCCTAACAGTCGTAGCAGTAGGTGAAAAACCGTTAAACATAAACGCATAGAAACCAAGTATTAACATTTCAATCTGTACCACAAGTTATTCTACAATCTTTCCATATTCAAACAACTTATGGCTCACCGGCTTTTTATCTGTGGAACAAACTTTCCTGCAGTCTCTTCCCCTCAGTGCTCATTTCTCCCTGTGAGTGAACATTTCACAACTAATTAGATAATTTCTCTTCACCTGGAGTCTGCCGTCTCCAGGTTGGGAGGCACCCCCCACCTGAACTCAGTGAGAGAAGGGCGGGGCGTGAATTTAACTCGACGCTTTCCAAATCCTGACCCGAAAGCTGCTTGTGGCGTTCTATCCCAGGTGAGGCAGCTGAACTAGCAGCCTGTCTGTGTTTCAGATCCCCCACGTGACGCAGGACCACCAGGGCCGGTATCGCTGCGAGATCAGCAGCAGCGCCGAGAGGATGTGGACCAACGAGGTGGACGTTCTGATCGGTAGGTGGTCCTCCGAGGGGGAGGCGTTTTTATTAACTGGAAAGGAAAGGAGAGCCGCTCTCCGTTTGTCTGAGCAACTGTTTGCTTCTGTTCTTGAAACGAAAGCGCCGAGGATATCTGTCCAGGTGACAGGAGCAATGGAATGCTCTGAAGGTAGAGTTGCCAGCTCTGGTGGATGGTGGATAACACAGACTAACAATCAGCATGCACCGGAGGCATGGAAACGTTAACCCTGTCACTGCATGTGGGTTATGATCTGGGTCGCCGTACCAAACTCTAAACGGCTCTGTGTTTAGTTTTCATGTTCGCAAATTGTGATTTGGGAGTGATGTCACGGTCTAAATCAGCACAAGGCCATTGGTAGTGTTTCCACATCTGTCAACAAATCCTACAAAACGACCGACAGCCGCACCGGGCTGCTCCTCCAGGATGAACCCAGCAGCAGTCCAGCTGTTTTGTCTGTATTCATATTCTGTCTTTAAGAGAAAAGTGTTCAAGAAATTTGCATAAGCAATGCTACTGTGGTTTTGTCCACAGTAGACTACCCCTCTTGTACCTCGAGAGAAACAAACACAGTCACCGCAACATTCAAAAATCAGGTTATGCAAATGGCAAATATTCCAGGTTTCAATTCGAATTGATGTTTCGCTTAGCGTGCTGCTTTGTTAAAAGTCGTTGGTCTTTTCGTGGGACTTGTTGGCAATACGACAAACATCTACTATCACTGACTTTATCTTATAGATTTCTTTCAAATGAATGGACTCAATTGCATGAAAACCTCTAGAAGCTGCACCTTCCCTCTGGCTGATTTTATCCTTCTTAATAAACCGTTTTAAGCCAAATGTAATGTGTAACGGTGCTTGTGTTTTGTTTCCTAGATGACATGTACGCGATGGGTGGAGGTAAGAGATAGACACTCAGCAAACTTTTCTACAGAGTTCATATTTCACGTTTTCCCTGTTGTGATTCTTTGTTGTGTCGTTTTAGGCTTCAGTGAATTTGCAGTAAATGGTATTCCAGAGCAGCTGCATGGTGAGTGTCCTGAGATTCAAATCAGGGTTTTCACTTATTGTGGTGCTTCTCGTGGCTTAAGCACTATTTATCTGTACAATATCTGTTTGGTACAGATCATACATTCTCCATACGGGTAGCTGAAGTGACATTTTAACAAGATGCAAACATATTTTTGGTCGTTCGTATAAGACCAAAATGAGATGTTTTCTGTATGTCTTTATCATGATTTACATCACCTCTGTGTGTACAATCTGTTCACTTCAGTTCATTGAACAGGTCCATGAAAAGGCAATCGCTTCTAATGGAACTTATGGATTTTTTTGCTCCATCTTTGACCAAACACTTAATGCAATTTAACCCCAACCCCCACCTACCTCACGCCATACAATCAACATTTTGTTGTCGAGTTTTAGAAGTTAAATGATTAACTTTTTGCTCCAGTCCCCCTGCGAACCCATTAGGGAATAAGCGGTTAGAAAAACTGATGGATGGATGATTAACTTTTTAATACAACGGTCATGTGAGAAGCTCATTCACACGGCTGGATGATCAAAATAAGAATGAAGGTGCCTAGATGCCAATGCTTAGAATCTCCGTGTGGGGTCACAGGGGGACCAGGTCTGGCATCATCTTTCTACCGAAGTCGTGTGTCATTATTCAGATCCAGAACTCTCAAAGGCTTTCAGAGAAGAATCCTGTCCTCCACAAATTCAGCCCAATATTGCAGGTCCCCTTCATGCTCATGTGATGCTGACTCCTAAAGGATAAAGACCCCGGCACGCTGATGGATACAAAAAGGGGCTGGCAGAAAAGACCATGTGCACGGTCTGAAATGGTCAAGAGCTTTTAACAGCACTGCCTGAGATTCAGCCCCTCAATCTGATCTTGTGCGGAAAAGGAGTTGAAGGCATTAAAGAGATCGGTAGACGGTCCTGATGCCAAAGATTTATTTCCTCAGACATCTTCTTTGTCAGCAGACCTTTTTCAGAGGAGATCTTTTATTTCCTGGTAAATATTTAGCGGCATAGAGACTTTGACTTCTCAAAGTTCCTGTGATATTGATGATGAACGGAGCCTGATCAGCCCATAATGGCTGACCAAGCAGAGAAAATGTGACATTTTGGAAATTATGCTGCCACACTACCACTTACTTTCAGAGGACATGGGAATAATCGGTTGCAGTTGTGCTTTGTGCTTCATAGGAACCTTAAAAAAACTACTATGTTTCCAGATTTGTACATTTTTGTGTAAAAACTTAACATCATGCCTACAAAAAATTAAACAAAGACATTATTCCTTCTCCTGTGTTCGACCACAGCGACTGACAAAGTGGCCCTGCTGATCGGCAACCTGTCCTATCAGAACCACCCGCAGCTCAAAGCCCCCATGGTGGACGTCTACGACCTCACCAACCTGCTGCGGCAGCTCAACTTCAAAGTGGTCTCGCTGCTGGACCTCACAGAGTCGGAGATGAGAAACGCCGTGGACGAGTTCCTGCTTCTGCTCCACAGGGGCGTTTACGGTGGGTTTGGATTTTGCCTATGCAAAAAGTTCGCCTGAAAACGGGTTGAACGCAGAACATGTTAAAGTGGAACTTTAGTTTGGAGGAAAAACTGCACGGGGAGTCGTAGCTCTGTGGAATCAGATCTCCCGTGTACTCAGAGGTACACCTCCCCCCTTCAGGCCTGCTCTACTACGCCGGGCACGGATACGAGAACTACGGAAACAGTTTCATGGTGCCGGTGGACGCGCCAAACCCGTATCGGTCGGCCAACTGTCTGTGCGTGCAGAGCATCCTAAAACTGATGCAGGAGAAGGAGACGGGCCTCAACGTTTTTCTGCTGGACATGTGCAGGAAGAGGTGAGTCCTTCTTACGGGTTAAAGTCACATAATGCTTCCATCCATCCACACAGGCACAGAAAAATAACCAAATATTCATACATTTTAGTATATGATAATAGTTTAGCAACTAGCAGTGTGAGGTTGGGTGTACAACACCTTTGTAGACGACAACATTATGTTAAAATCAGCGTTTTTACGTTTTGGGATGATTTCTTGAATTGCTTTCATTTCCTCGTTTCCAGATAACGGTTCAATGCCCCTCACTGATCTTTTTCAACAAGGTCTCGTAGGGGTGGAAAAAAGACGAAGTTTAAGAGTTTGTCATTTGACTAACCCTAATACAGTTTTGCTGAGTTTTTTGCAGAGTTTTCTGTCCTGATGAGGGGTTCCTCGTTTGTTCTACTGAGAAGCTGACGTCAATTTCCTCGTATTCTAGGAACATTCACGATGACAGCGCTCCGAACATTGTTCTGAGAGTGACGGCCAACATCGTTTTCGGCTACGCCACGTAAGTCCGGCACGCCGCCGTCGGCTTCAGGGCCTCCTCCGCCTTTTGCCGTCAGCCGCCGTGTGCCCCGTGCCTTCAGGTGCCAGGACGCAGAGGCCTTCGAGCTGAGCTCCACTGGCTTCACCAACGGCGTCTTTGTCAAGTTCTTAAAGAAACGGCTGCTGGACGACGAGAAGATCACCGTGGTGCTGGACAGAGTGGCCGAGGGTGAGGGACAAACACAAGTTTGATCAGGAGTTTATGACCTAGGACGGCATCGTTTTGAGCGACATTCCAATTTTTTGTTTTATTGGACAGCTAAAGCTGCATCGTTGTGGGCCGATGGGGGTTTCCAGTGGCATAAATAACTTAAAGATCTATTTATTATTATTAAGTGCCGATGTTGTAGGCATGAAGCACCACTGGTGTGAACTCTATGTGAGCACGCTAATCCCGACTGTAATTGGAACAGGTTGAAATGTGAGTTTTGTTATGGTTTTCCCTCCCCAGACATGGGTCAGTTCGATGCCACGAAGGGCAAACAGGCCCTGGAGATCCGCTCCAGTCTGTCGGAGCGGAGGGCGCTGACGGATCCGGTCCAGCCCGGGGACTGCGCCGACCTGGCTCACGCCCACAGCCGCCAGTGGGCGAAAGCTCACGGTAAGCCTCCGAAATGTTTGTCATCACCTCTGCGATCGGCGGTCTGGAAAGTCCCCCTTCTTGCTCGCCGCGACTCATCCTCACGCACACATTTGAATGTTGACTATTGTTGATGCTGACAACACACACACACACACACACACACTGACACAGAAGTTTCCTACAACAAGCACGCTGTTGTTTGCAGCTTGCCGAATGTTGATGACATCATCACCACCTCCGTGTTTGAAGTGGGAAATAACAGAATATAGTAGCTTTTGGGATTCACCCAGATTGTAAAGAGGAAAACGTTTTGTGTGTTTTTTTCTGGTGTCGATCATGACCTTTGAGTTACAAAATACTTTTTGCGTTTCTGTTTGATAATCATTAAAGAGAAACTTGATATTTTGGAATTGAACTTCCTAAACAGCTATGGGAGTGAACATATAAGGTTCTTAGCAATGTGTTTTTTGAAACCGCTATGACAAATCAAAGGATCAGATCTGAGCCGCGAAGCCAGTTGCAGTTTGTTGAATCGTTCAGATGTTTGTTTTTGCTTGTTATTTCAGAGCTTCCTGAAAGCATGTGCCTCAACTTCGATTGCGGGGCTCAGATCAAGTTGGGTTTCGCTGCCGAGTTCTCCAATGTGCTTGTGATCTACACTCACATCATCAAGAAGCCTGAGGACATGTCCTTCTGCCAGGCTCACGTCACCGACTTCTCCCAGGTGACTTTATCCAGACGTGACCTCTCTATGCTGACAGCAGGGAAATCGTAACCCCTCTGAACTTCAGGGGGGGAATTCACCAGCTTGTGTGTTCTGTGAATGCCTCTGAAGTTAGCTTGAGCTGCTTTGTGAAAAACTCCTCTCCTCGCCTCAGGACCTCGATGTGGACCCCAAAGAGATGAACAGAGAGACCCCAGAGGAGACGGGGATCTACCTGCTGTCCAGCAGCCTCCCCCAGCACTGCCTATACACCCGACTCAGCTCGCTGCAGAAGCTCAGGGTAAAAATGGGAAAACACAGATTTGGGCAAGAATAATCAATCAGAAGCACTAATCATTAATCCTCCATAGTGATCATGACCTTACAGATTACATTACTAATAATATTTACACTCTATTATGGAGACTTCAATTTTTTTTTAAATACAAAGAGAATGTTTTCTGCCGTGCTGCTGCTCCATAAGGTTGTTCTGATGGGCATCAGTGCTTGTTCAGGAGCTGAATGCTAAAATTAGGATGCTGACTTAATCACAAGTATAATAACCCATTTATCCAGGAGGCTATAATTTGCAGAGCCTCCACTCTGCCTCCACGTCGATAGATGCTCCAGTGAAAAACCCAAGGAAAAAAAATCTTTCATCATGCATTTATTCTCTAAAAATATATCTGAATGAGAGGAAACAAGGCAGAAGTGTGTCCACTCTACCTGAAGCATTCAGAAAAAAAGCATCCTGATCAAGATCAATCCTCTCAGCCTGCAGTACCCTCTGATTACTGGATTTAGATCTCTCTATGTTTACCCTGCGTCCAACAGGAGGAGCTGGTCTTCACCGTGTGCCTCCAGGGTGCCTTCACGGCCATGGACGACGACGACCCCGTCCACTGGACCAAATCGGTCAGCATCGGGAAGCCGCTGATCGCTCGGCTGGACCTCCACCGGGCCGTGCGGCGGAACAGCTGCCTGCAGACGTGCCCGATGCCCCACAGCCCGTCCCACAGCCCCTGCCACAGCCCGGGCCCCGAGCACCACCTGCACCTGTACCAGGGGCCGCTGCAGGCCCAGGACCTCAGCCGCCTGTCCCCGCAGCACCACTACCTGGACGCCCCCGACCCCCCGCCGCCGGGGGGCGTGTCCGCCTACGACCACCTCGCCCACTGCGGATACGAGCCGGCGCACGGCTCCGGAGGGAGTCCGGGCTCACCAGGCAGGTTCAGCATCCCCATCGAGGCCAGCGACGACATCAACGAGCTCCAGACCGTTTTCATCAACAGCCTGCAGCTGCAGCCGCAGTGAAGCCGGGAGACTCAGCTTTTCCAGCCACCTTGTTCTCTCATTTTGACGTTTATAGGAAATATTTGTGTCAAATGCCCATCAAGCTGACTTTCTCCCATGCCATAAATACAGTGGGGGAAATAAGTATTTGACCCCTTGCTGATTTTGCAGGTTTTCCCTACTTACAAAGAATGCTTATTTTTCCTCATCAGATGGTTATCAATTTTTATAAATTCATATGATGTGATTTTCTGGAATTTTCTTTGGGATTCTGTCTGTTAGAATGTACATATGTTTAAAATAGTAGATTGTTGCATTCTTTGTAAGTGGGCAAACCTGCAGAATCAGTAAGGGGTCAAATACTCATTTCCCCCACTGTATATATTTTTATATATTATAGATTTCTAGATGAATCCTGCAGTCCATTTGATGTCGATGAGACATATCATCCTTCTTCGAGACTTCTTTAATCAATGGAAGTGTTAAGCTGACAAAGTGTGTGTAAACCAGTTGTGCACAGCCACTTAAATTAAAGGAGCAGTGTTTTTTTGTATTTGGTGATGTTTAGTGGAGAAATTACAGCTTGCAAACAGCTTATGTTTCCCCATCTGAATTTTTAGCAGAAAATGAGATACGAACGACCAACTTTTTGAGGGCAAGTGTGATTTGTATCAGTTCTGTGCGTCTTTTGAAATGGTGCAGGTAAACCTGGAGGACTTAATTAAGGGTTGATGGTAGATTGGATCACCCTGAGGAACACTCCACCCTTCACTGAGGGATATCAAACAGCTGACGATTCTCTGGGCAATAAGAAATGCGTTGGCAGGTAAGTGAGCCCAGCTGCTGTTTGGTTTTCATTTCTTTAAGCTGCTGACAGGAAGCCTCAAAGAAAAACTATGGCAGATGCTGTTAGATCTTGATTCAAAGTGTAGAAACTGGCTGCCATGACACAGAATGACATGTTTAGGAAGAAGTTCAAAGTAATGACACAACAGTCAGCTTTGTGCAACTAATTTCTGCAGAGATTTAGCACATCAAACTTTTAAGAAAAACAAGTGAATTCAGGAAAGTTTTAATTTAATTTTACTTTTCATGGCCCTTCCGCTTAGTTGCCTCAGCATCATAATGTCAGAAATATATATATATTTTTTTAAGACCATGATTAAAGTTTAAAGTTATTTTTTATAACTCTTTCTTATATATAAATGAAAGGGCAAACTTGTGTAGTGCCTGAGCCTCTCAGGCCTCCCAGGTTTAAGGTTACAACCTGTTTTGAAAAGAATCAGGTGATCTGATTACACACACCTCAGCCGGTGCCCCACATTCAAAGTCCCCAGACTCTCTCCCACTGATTTTCAAACAAAAGCAGATTTATTTTTATTTTTTAAGGAGAGAAAGGAAGACAAAATGTATTGCACTTGAGCCTGGGCGACTGAAATAAGAAAAAAAAAAAAGCTTAAATGTAGGTTTGTTTATGTAGGATTTCTGTGATGCAAGCCAGAAAGTGTACATGTAAGGAGTTGCCTATTTAATTAAATAGAGCATGTTTAATTTTGTTAGTATTTTATGTATATAAGTATATGTATGTAAGTATATAATGACATAAATTCGAATAAGAGTAGAGCAATAGACGGAACTGGTCATGTTTCCTTGCTTTTCACAGCTCAGCATTCCCACATTTAACTCTTCTATTTCCATAGTACATTATACTGTCATGCCTAAAAACCGAGTTGGGTTACAATGTATTTTTTAAAATATAGAGCAGAGCATAACATCTGGCACTTACTTTTTTTTTTGGCTTGCCCCAGGTTTTTGTTCCTGTGTGAGTTGCCTTCTGTTCATATTCCAATTTCATGTTGTGCTCCTTTTTTTTGTTCTTGTTGATGTAATAGAGAAAGGCAGAGGGCAAATATCTGCAGGCTTAAAACGGGCAAGACTACAACTGTGAACACATCCGGGGCAGATAAAGAAGGAATTCAGAGGCGGTGAGGCTTTTGAGCATATTTCCGTACATTTTGGACAGGCCGCCAGTCCATCGCATGGCACCATCCAACCACATAAAGAAAAATCATCTGAGCCAATCAGTGTCTCAAGAGGGGTCTAATGTCTCACTCTCGCTGTACATAAACTGGGCTTTTAAAGGGGCAATGCTACGACAATAATCTACTGCAAAGTCATTTTCTCTGTATTTAAATAAACACTTTTTGAATATCAGAAATTCAGTGCCACCAAGAACAGATAAAGCCTTAAACCACATTTTTAAAATAGTCATTTAAAACTATTAAAGGAAGCTGAGGCAAGAGGAAATAAATTGCAGTGACTAACGTGGGAAATTATTAAAGCTTGAGAATTGAGAAATATAAAATCTACCAAGGTGGAGCAAGACAATGATTACAAAAGAGACCGACAATGTAGTGAGTGAGCTGCTCTTGAATCTGTTTTTCTTTTTTTTTTAAATCCTAAATCTATGGTCCTAGATTAAGATTTAGTAACTGTGGGAATCTGCTGAAGGAATTCTGTTTGACAGCGTATTATTTGATCCAACATAAGAGCCTGCTGTAGAGGCAGAGCAGCTCTGGCTCCTTGTTGTTTTCGTAAAGGGGAGTCACATCACGTGACCCTGCATCGCCTGCTCCTCACATAACTCCAGTGATGCGGATTATTAAACTGTATCGACTGAATGGAACACTTGGAATCAGATGTTATAATTTTATCAAAGCAATCACACACAAAGACGCACATTTAATCTGGAAGAATTTCCACCGGCAGCTTTGTAGAAAGAGACACACTGCAGCAGAGCCTTAACTTAGAAACCCTGTCTCACTGAATAATGGATGGGCTCAGGCTGCCACCGGCAGGGTGAGGGGGGGGGGGGGGTGATATCATGGCTGCGTCACAGTGCAGCTGAGGGAGGAGGGTGTGGCCAGCAGAGATGCAGCGGGCAGACAGAGACACAGTCAGGCGTCCGCCGGCAGAGAGGACAGACGGACCGCAACCATGACTGCTTCCTGGAAGCAGCTGCTCTTTCAGATCCCCCTGATGCTCATCTCCACCAGACACATCAACACAAGTAAATCTGATTTCATGGGATTCATGTTGACTGTGGATGTAGTTGTGTTAGAGCTCTGCTTCCCTAATTCCTCTGTTTTTGTTTTATTATATTTTTTGACTGACTGTTCGTGTAACCTTGGCAGAGTAAAAGGGGACTTCCATGTCTTCAAACAGTAGAAAACAGATTTTTTTTTAAATGATCAAAATAAGGATAATTTTCTTTCATATTCATTTGTGTCATAGACAACTTTTGACCTGGATTGAATACTTCTTTGATAAACAAAATAAGCAACAATTTAGGAAAAGGAGTCATCCTATGTATCTGTGTAAATATAGATGTAGATAAATACACACATAGTAAGTATAATTTATTATGATCATATATTTGTAATTTTGTAATCACGAGTTAAGTCCACATGCAAATGTTTAGGCATTTTTCATTTAACCCATTTGTTATGATATTTGTATACATTTGATTTGGCCTTTTAAATAATTTTAGAAAGTGTATGTAAGAACCAGTCAGGTGCAGATCATTAAGCCCATTGATTGATGATTGACTGGTCTTCAGCAGGTGAGAACATGTCTATAAGCAGCTTGCATTGATTGTGAAATTTAAAAAAAAAAACTATCAATATGACTGTTTAAAATGTAAGAATTACACACACCCCTTCACTGTCATATTGGAGATAATTAATTCTGAAGTAAGAATGATTATTCCCATTCAAAAGGAACAGTTCCCAATCTTACTAGTTACTTACTCTACATGTCAAATGTGAGAAAGTCTGTCCAATGGCTCTAGCATGGCTGATATTGACTCGTGCAACATGATTATCCCAAATAGCAGCAAATCAACATGAGACTGGCCGAATCAAGGTCCTTAAATGTCCAGCCAACATCCTGACCTCAGCCTATTTGAAGGCCTTGGTGGGACTTATCTTCTAATCTGTGATTGGTCTTTGGTTTTATTCTCCTAGTGATGAGATATTAGGCTACAGTTTTAACTCCATCACCATGTTTATCACAATGTGTGGTCAGCAAAGAAATTAGATTGACAATAACTGTTTATAATTGAAATTTTTTAAAATGAACATTTGTTTTGTATACAGGATACAGAATTAGGTGAGGGACCCTGTATTTGAAAAACTGACCGCAAGTTTTTCTCAGTGTGCTAAGGAGTCGCTACTATCAATAGCACCCACCTGTGGTTTACTAGGCCATGGTTCTCTCTCTTTTTTTTTCTTTTTTCTAGAACTGTTTCTTTTGTAACATAAATCTGAATGCTTTACCACAGGAACATGACATTGATCTTAAAATCTTACAGCACAGTCTGATTTATTTCTTCAGCTGCATGGGACTTTCTAAAATGTTCAACATTTTTTCCCCTTTTTCTGAGATTATGCAAGTATATTGAGGAAATACTTAAACTTGGCTTATTGTTTGGGCTTGTTGTAGTGTACATAAACATTTGAGCTTAGTCATTAATTTCAGATGCTCTTTAATACTTTGAGTCCACGTTAATTTACATGTTTATTGGTTTGTCTTGTTAGATTCTCATAATCAATAAAGAACAAAACTTTTTTTTTCACCATTGTGTACATTCCTTGTGCTCCTTTTCCCACCTTCTCCATAAAACATTAAGTTTTAGCTCTTGTCCTGAGGTGAGGGGCCAGCTGCTCAGTCTTTGTGGAATATCAGTTACTATTTGACCTGAACAATAACAGATTTAGTCGGACAAACTTAACTAATCTAAAAGATGCATAGATAAATCTAACAATACATCAGTGAATTTTTTCACATCATTCAGGTGGTTCCTTTTTAAAAGGTATTGGGTTTCAAAGCCACTTGAGTTATTTTAGACATGCATTAACAAGTGAACATTGAGTATTAAAGAGCTGGATGGCCCCGCAGATCCATGGACTATTAATAATTTATTCTAGTTATTTCTTCTCCCAAAGGCTAACTCATGAAAATAAATTAAAATCAAATCATTTATGTGTCCCAAAGGAAAGTTTACATTATAAATTATTACATGGACGGGCCCTCTTGTGTGAATAGTAGAGCCTTTTTACATTTAAGAGTAGCTCCTCCATTCAAAATAATTACAAGAAACTTCTGCTGCAAACAGATGAAAAAATAACTTATGATCCTCATCTGAACCAGTGAAAATCACAAGCACAGAAAATCACATTTGTAATGTTGGAGTTTGACATGTTTTGTTATCAATATTTTACCCACACATTTTGTTTTGCCGTTTCTCAAAATGGTGATTTAGACTTTTTCATTTCCACATGACACACCATGTTTAGTTTGATTTTCAGGAGTGTACAAAGATTTGAAGTCTGGTCAAAACTTTTGCAATTTGAATCTCAACTGTTGTAACTGTTCTCTGAACAGGCCAGTGGAGATGTCCAATCAGATGAAGAGGGGCGGGGCATAGCTTTGTCCAACTTGAGCTGTTTTTAGAATTTCTAGAACAAATTCTTTATTTTAATACTTTTTGTTGGTACTTTCACAGGAGTAAATGATTTTTTTTGCAATGTAAACTTACATATAGTTGATAATAACATTTCGAATCTATAACGGGGTTTTTGTCTATAAACTTTGTCCTTTTTCAGGTTTTTGCTAGTTTTGTGACCAAACCGTTCCCATAGCAACCAATTTGAACATCTTTGCAGTTACTAAATTTGACAGTCTCTCTGACTAGCTGTAAGCAGCTCACATCTTGGGATCTCTGCACTAATATTCATTACAAAAGCCAAACCCTTCAGATGTTGTTTATATCAAGGGCCCTGTTGGCACATCAGGTGTTAACGATAAAAACAATTTTGTGCGTTTTGCTGACAGAGAAAGTATCTGTGACACCAACTCCTCTGGCCCCCATATCTGCTCTGCAACCAGAGATGAGAAGCGCTGTCCTAAAAGGTAGCTGTTTCTAAATGTCATTTTTAATACATGTGTATGAGTGTGTGTCTGTATATATATATATATATAGATAACACATGATGAGCTTTTTTAAAAACTTTTATATTCTCTTCTTTACTTCATGAACACTAGCTCTCCTCTGAGTAGAAATGTCTGGCGAAAGTGATTATTTATGTAAATTGACACACAGAAAGATGGTAAGGAAGAAAACGTTGTGTAAATACAGCTTTGTTTCTGTCACCCCTTTCTGACCACATGATGCAGGCGATGGTCACACAGAGACAATCAAGCTCCATAATCCCGTCAATCTGACGCTGGAGTGTACCTGGCCGGGAAAACTGAACAAAGTGCCAAATATAACCACTTACTGGAGAAAAGATGGGACCGAAATCCTGGAAAGTTATCGCACAGCGTCACTCGAGAATGAGCAGATTAATCTCAAGCGAGAGTGAGTTTGACCAAAGGCTGATGATAAATTAAAGTGACTTTTACATTTTGTAGTCTTATTTTTATACTGCACTTATTGCTGCAATTGAATGTGAAATTATTTGGATGTCTATATCTGAACTGCCATAATTTGCAGATAAATTTTCTGTTCCACATGACGTGTTACACTTCTTTGCAGGTTCATTATCAACAATGAGGAATCCCTTGGAAATTACTCGTGCATTTTTGGTAGTGAGGCAGAATTTGTTTTCATTCTTAGAGGTAGGTGTCACAACCTTCTAAATGCATTATACTTCTGGAGAACATTCTGGAGAACATCAGCATGTGTTTAATATCCCTTCATCAAAAACCATGCTGGCCGTTCACCAGAATCCATGCAAAGAAGCTCATTTACGTCCGCTCTCCTCCCTCAGTTCCACAGATCCATGATGTGAGAGACAAGCCGATAGTCAGCTATGTTGGGGATGCTGTGATGCTGACATGTAAAATGGATAAAACCGACCCTATGCCGACCACCTGGAACTGGTATAAGGACAACGGGACAGACAAGGTGAGTGAGCTGTGAATAGTTAGTCTCAATTGACTTTTGAAGTAGACTCGGGTCCCTTATCATCATTTCATTTATGTTTTTTAAAACTTTTCTTTTAATGTTTCACATTATTTGGATCGAATCCATTGGATAAATCACACTGATTGAGTTATGGCTTTTCCTTTTTCCTCTGGATTAGTCTAAAGAAGAAAAAGAGCATAGATAGAGAAGGTTTTGTGATTATACTGGCAGTCCAAGCAAACCAAACTTATGTGAGTGTGTATTCAAAAGATAATACACATATTTGTCAGTAAGATATTTCATCACCATGGAGGCCTTGAGTCAATTAGCTCTAACTGATGAATGTAATATTTTCATTCTCGGTGTCTTTTATTCCAACTGTTGACTCAACATAATCAGAAAAATCAGTTACGCTCGGCAGGCTCAGTCTGACGCTCACCTGTGCCCTCTGACCTCTGACCTCTGACCCACTGTTAATGATCATGTTTGGGATGTGCAGGAGCAGATATTTGAGGTTGCGACGCCTGAACGCTACAAGATCACCAATGACAAGTGGAGCACCAAGCTGCAAGTGAAGAACCTGACGGCGGCGGACGGAGGGCGGTATTACTGCGGCGCCGTGTACGCCATCGGCCTCTCACTGAGCCCGGTGGACCTCAAAGTCAGTGCTGGATGAGTATGAGCCTGACTACGATTTCAGTTTCTGAGTTGGTTGGCTGTCCATTCGGTGCCTGATGCTCTGTGTTTGACCAAAAGTGAGACTGGCTGAATATGTCCCCAGTAATCATTCAAATGATGTCATGAGCAAAGGAACTATGTGAAATTCATACTTGTATATGATTTGATGCCATACAAAAAAAATGATGACTGAAGGATTTTTTTTCAGACATTGATGCAGGAATTGTTTGGTAATTAAATAACTTTTCTGTTTTGAAGGTGATCACCTTCATGGAACCACTGAAGCCCTTCATAAGCATCGTGGTTGAAGTCGTGGTTCTGGTCTCCGTCATTCTGATCTATGAGAGAAATCGCTCAAAGAAAAAAGTGGCAGAAGGTAATGGATGAAAGCATTGTGGCTTTCTTGGGCATTTAAGTGCAGTTATATGTGCAATTACCCAATTCCTGTTCCTCAGATTTCACAAATGTTAATTTTATGACACTCCAAACATATTCAAATAACTGAGACTTTGCCCATTACTATGGCTACAAGAGGAAAGCAACTTTACAGGGGTATATTAGTGCACGGTTTCTTTATTGTATGATAGAGTTTAGCCTGTATTAACCTACATGGTGGATTGGGTTCACAGATAAATATTTCTCAAAGTGGTCTTGAGCCCATGCAGTGGTTTCCATGACAATTATTGTTTTAATTCAGTCCTGGCTAAAAACATGAAAATCTCATATTTGCACATTTCTCCATGAAATATGGATGGGGGGGATTTATTTTTGCAGATTGATAAACTTTAAATGAGAGAGACTCTGTCTCTTTAAGGACTTGTTGCTAATTGATCAAATTAGTCACAGTGATGTTTTTGTATCTACAGTTTTTAGGGGTTATAAACATACACACACAGTTTTTTTTTTCTTCCTTATATGTCCAAGGCAAATGTAAATGCTTTGATTTTCTGCCTTCACTTTTCAGAAACTGGGACCACCTCAGAGCAAAATGCGGCACTGTAAGTACTGTGGGAATTTGTCTACGCACATTAGGCGGTTAGTCAGGCATGAAATGCTTCAACTATTGTCCACTTTGCTTTCTCCAGGCCACAGGGGGAAGATCCCGAGGGAGATGAAAGTTCTTCAATGAGACATCGCAAAGTTTAAAGTCCACAAAGAGACAAGCGCTTCCAATACCTTCATATTTAAAGGTGAATAAGACTCTGAAAGCAATATTTAAATAATTATTTTGGGTATATGTAATCCTAACAGCAACCAAATATATTTACAATAACCAGAGTGTCATTTTCACCACTCCAGCATTCCTGGTGAGCAAATGTTTTTTACTTTAAAGCGGACGTTTGTGACGTGAGAAGCCTGAAACACTTTGCTTCTTTCCTTCCTGTGCAGAAACTGAAGTAGCGCGGTTTGCTCACTTCCTATTTCCTGCTGCTTCTTTGACCTTTGCTGCTGTTGCGTAGAAGTTGTGGTTTGCGAGCAGTGCCTTACACTCTCTAAAAGCAATTCACTAACCCCTCACTGTGCCGTGAACTCTTTCCAACCTGTCGGTTTGTTCTTGAAATCTTTGTTCCAACATCCTCTATCTTAGAATACATATGGATTTATATCCTCATTTTTGCTGATGTGTATAAACACCCTGTTTGTGCTGGAAATTTGTAATAAGTTCACCCCTAAACTCAATGGAACCATCTTCAGGTTGTGTCAAATGATCAAAACAATAAAGATGGGCAAAAAAAACTTGTGGTTTTGAAATAGTCATTTTATTTTTCAGAAGCTGATTTTCCATAAATATGTGACAATTTAAATTTCCAGAGCCCAGATCAGTGCATGGTCACTTTTATAGATGATATTCTCCAACCTGACTGGCTGAGGCTGTTTTTAAAAAGGCAAACAGAGGCTTATTCGTCGAGCTATCGACCACGTGCAGCAGCTGGAAACGTGCACGTGGGCGGATGGTTTTACAGGCCGGGTAGACTCGGCTGTTTTCTCGGCCCGCTGGCGCGTTCTGAATGAATGACGTTCACCGTAAATCGCTCATTTACAAACCCTGCACACACTAACATGAACCGTTACTGGTGACTAGAGGTGAGAATAGAAAACATAATCCACTGTAGGACCACTGTCGGGGCTCTGTACAGATAAGGGGGATGTGTACCGTAAATCTCCAACTCTACCTCGGCTTTCTGAACACAACCCAGATCTTTATGCTTTTACACACATTACAGTTTCAGACATTCTTATGAAGTTCCTTCAGCATGCCTGTGTCCCTCCACGTCCCCTTTAGAATCCTCCAGAGGGCAAGGAAAACTTTTAAGTTTGATTTCCGGCGCTTTTTGTCCGCTGATCGACTTTACGGCCGATTTAAGAGGAACTGGATCAGCAGCTTGACGACGTCGTCGTTCAGGCCCACCACCTCGCCGTCCTGCACGCTGTCGTAGAGCCGCAGGCTCTCCGTGCCCCACAGCAGGTTCCTCCGGGGATTGTCGGCGTCCGTCTCCGAGGACAGAGCCACCGTGTTGAGCTGGTAACAGAAGAAGGAGAAGAAGCGGCCGTCCGTGATCACGGCCTGCGAGGCGAACGGCCTGGACACGTCCTGGTGGCTCCAGAAGCCTGCGGAGGTGGGAGGGAGTGAAAGAGCACACGGTTAGCCTCATTCAAAGCTAACCTGCTGTAAATGGGCTCAGAGAGGCAGATTTCCTGCCTCCAGCAGACGGAACAGACATCGGGGAAATAAATTCTGTTGCAAAATTGATAGAGGAATACGCTCTGCTGCCTGGTTTCCGTGCCAACGGCTCACCCTGGTACATGGCCTGGGCTCCGGTCCAGGCGAAGAGGCTGGCCAGCGCGTTGGCTCGGAGGAAGACCTCCACCTGGTCGGACTGCTGCAGCAGGGCCATCCGGTCCCGGTGGTATCGGTCGGGCACCAGGTGGAACTGGGTGTGACCGTAGCAGGCCGGGTCCGGCGGTTTTGCACCTGTTAACAAGCAAACATCTATTTAGCAGTCCCTTTTGCTTCCTTAGGGATCCAGAAAAACTAAAATATCCCCAATAACAGTCTGACATTTACTGTGGGATAGGATCAAAACCTACAAGTAAGCTGGTGACTGCAGAAATTCGCCCGTTTATGGGTTAAAATCTAAACAATTAAACAGTTCCCGCTATCCAAATATAAATAATGTATCAACAAGTTCCTCAGAAATACAGAAAATGAATCAGCAAAGGCTTATGCATCGGCTTTCAACGTGCTGCTACTCCCCCTACATCTAAAATAAATATTTAAACCAGCCTAAGAGGATGGAGCTGCCTGTGAATGAGAAGCCAAGTCACAGGAAATCAACAGCCCCCCCCCCCCTTTTTCCCTCACTGTGTTATTCCCCCCGTGAAGTCCTGACAAAACACCCTCTTTGTTGCTGAATATTTACTCCAAGTTTTCCAGTCAAATTTCACACAAACTTTTTCAAACGTGCCAAAAACTGCCTGGAAAGGCGCTCAGTTCATTCAAGCTGTGATGCCACAAAAAACCAGACAGGTTAAGTGACATCAGGCGGGATGTGGGAGGAAATGCCCGCCGATTGGTTCGCCCGATTCCCAGGTTAAGCCATCATTGGTGCATAATTGCAACAAAAGGAATGAAAGAAAGGGGGCGTTGATCTGGACTACACAGAGGTCTAAATATTCAGCCGAGCTGACACCCTGAGGACAGAGGAGGAACTGGTGCTGGTTGCCAACGATGCCCACTAGTGGCAGACACACTCAGAGTGGGGGGGGGGCTCAGGGGTTACCTGTGAAGATGCTGTTGGTGTATTGTCGTCTGAACAGCGGCATCAGGTTCGGGGCATATTTGACTTCTGGAACATCAGCTCCAAAGGAGGCCTCCAGAGGGACAAACTTCAGGAAAACATGAACAGAAAATGAATAACATACAATTGTTTATGTTGTTTTTTTTACACTCTTAAATGAAGAACCTAACTGGGAAAGTTAACATCCTGACCTACAGCCAGCTATCAAAGCGAGCTGTGGCTCAGATTTGTGTATTGTTGTTCACCCCAGAGGGGTATTGCACAAAACTAGAATAAGGATATCCAGGATAAGCGAGGAAGAGCGATTTAGTCCTCTCGGCGCATCCTCGCTTAATTGGTTCCACTATGAAAATAATTTATTTTGATTGCATTTACAATTAATCTTAGCCTTGTTCTTGGCCCGGCTCTTGGCCCCGTCTAGAGCAGGCTAGCTGCAGAGAATAAATCACCATAGTAACTCGGCCAGGTTAAGTTTGACCTGCTTTCATGCAACCGACTTTAGGATAACTTCAGATAGGATAACCAACATATCCCGGCTTAATCCCGTATGCTTGTTTTGTGCAACACTCCTCTGCTGTGAGGGGGATCTCTACCTGTGGAAGCTGCTGGGTTATCCTGATCTGGTTCTGCGGACGGTCGTCGATCTGGAAGTTGTACGGCTCCAGGCGGCCCCTGCGGTGGCCCTTAGGGATGATCCTTTGCCCCCTACTCCAATAAAAGTGCACCGGCGGACTGATATCTGAACAAGCAAAACAAACATTAGAGGCTCCAGAAAGTAGTGATCTTAAATTTGAAAAAATGCTACAATGCGGGGCAAAAAAATACCACCAAAGTCAACATTGAACTAGCAGGATTTAAAACTATTTTCTAAGACTCAAATAAGTTAGGAAGGCAGTTTGAACCTGGCATTTTTAATAAGTGATTTCTTAGAGCAATCAGGCCTGATCTTAATCTGATCACTCCTCTATTAAAGCATTTTCCTTCCAAACAGCAACTATCTGACAAAGATGTTAGCCAGTCAATAAAAATACAGATGTGTAACCATATATATATATATATATTTTTTTTAAACTTGTCTAATGATCTTTCAGCCAAATTTGAATGTTTCTCATTACTTTGATGGTTTCCCATCATGGATGGCAGGATCATGTTTTTGGGAACAAGCTCTTTTTTTGTTAATCACTTCATATACCTCCACATCACTTCTACAGCAAATGCTTTATCTGTTTATCATATAATGCAGCTTATATCAGCCTATAAATCGATGCATTCAGGACCACGTGGAAATATGATGTAAAAAACAAACAAGACAGAATTATCTGAACAAATAAAACAGTGAAATACCCAGGCTTGAGAGGCCGAGTAGTGGGTTGTGCTGGGACAAATTGGTAGTGAGTTCAGCCACCAGGTTTCTCAGAAAAGGACCAACAAGTTGCTCCTGGCGTCGGAACATGAAAGGCCTCCGTTTCTTTATCAAGTGCCAGTGCTCGTGTAAAATCACACGGGTCACCAAGGCGCGGATGTCCGCGAAGGCATCACGGTCGATCCCCGGTAGCGGTGGACCCTCCTCCCCGGCGGGGTCCTCCTGGCCCCGGGAAAACTTTTCGGGCAAGCCCGGGATGTAAGCGGTCTTGGTAAAGTGCTGGTACCATCTGTCCGCGTCCCGGGCGAAAGTCTGGGGATACACAACAAATTTCTGCCGCTGAATGCGAGTGATGAGGGACAGCTTCTCCTGCACCGGGGACGCGCAGATCCTCTCCACCCGCTCCTGGAACTGGCGCAATTTGGCCGATTTGCTCTTAGCCGTCAGAGAGGGGACTATAGGCGGGTACACGGGCACCTTAGCCGCCGCCTCGGACTGGACATGCCTTTGGTGTCTAAATAGAGGCACGTTTTTAGAGAGCAACAAGGGCAGCCTTGAGCGGGCCGCCATGTTTCTTCTCTTAACCTCAGATTGATCTTCCGGTTTCGTTGACAAGTGAACTTGCAGTTTCCAAGCAACAGCGCCCTCTAGTGAGAGAATTTATAAAGGAAAAAGTAATCGGTTTGCTTTTAAAATTCTACTAAATCTGTACAGTGTACGGCACCATACTAAACCACTTCGTTATTACAGTTTTCAGTCATTATAATTTGCTTTGTAACGGGTAGTAGAAATCGGCATCGTGTTAGTAAATCAGCACGCCGGTGCTCTTGAACGCAGCTCAGTACACGTAAGATATGGCATATTTGTGGCCACTCAGAAAACGTCGTACATTTCTGCTGCATAAAACTTGATCTAGTCACTAACACAAGAATGACACATCCCAAATACGCCATGTAATTAGGAACCAGTGAAAGCTTGAGTAATATCCCAAAAAAGTGAGGAGGATGCACAATCTTACGTGAACAATCTGTTTCCTTGTAGTTACCGACTGTAAACAGGCATTCAGTGACATGGAAGTTTTACCCAGGGTACTTGAATGCAGCATTACTGTTAGTTAGGTGCACGGTGTTGAAATCCAGACCAACGTCGACTAATGAAATAAACCCCCTGACAGAGTAAAAACTACCGTAGTTAAGTATGTATATTCGCAATATTTTACGAACACAGTTGGTGGGGACCAGAGGGGTTTGGTTCAGCCGTCTGCAGCACGTTTTACGAGCCGAGGTAGCTGCCCTAAAAATATTACGGTCTGTTATTCTCATGAACACTTTCTTTTCTCTCACTGTTACCGAGCATTTGGTCAACACCTGTCCCAGCAGCCCTGGTGGTGGCTGTGGAGAACCCCCGGTGTCCCACCGCCCCCACCAGGAGCCTGGGGTTCGTTCAGACACACTAAAGTTGCCTTTAGTGTTTATTTTTTCTTCTATGACGCCCCCTGTCCTGTCACTGACCTTTAGAGACCCCTCTGCACCAAAGGCGACGAGGTGAAGTTGGCAGAGGAGGCCAGCAAGAAGTACGGCTCTCCAGCTCCCACCATCTTTTCCAAAGTCATTGACAAAAGCATCCCAGCTGATATTATTTATGAAGACGGCAAGGTAAATCATCAGTGGCTCCAAAACATGTTGGATCTATCTTATTTGGCCTGGGCCCCCTGGGATTCACAAACAAGTGAAGACATTGTTAAACTTTATATTTACTAAGGACCTCTGAAATGGTTTTTCTTGTGTGTGTTTATCAGTGTTTGGCATTCAGGGACATCAGCCCACAGGCCCCTGTTCACTTCTTGGTCATTCCAAAGGTCAATATACCCAGAATAAGTGACGCCAAAGATGATGATGCTGAGGTAAGGAAAACTAATAGACCCCCACGGTTTATGTGGAAACTTTAAGCCGAGATCGATGGAGGAAAAGCCTAGTTACAGCCCTCCGTGCAACATATTCGCCTTTAGTCTTCACACGCTTGCCAACAAAAGCAGTTTTCCATTCGGTGATCTAAGACGTATCTTATCATTGTGGAGTAGAAGATCTTGCAGAAAGAGTGGGTGAACGTTAGAAAAGGTGCATCAAAACACTCAAAGTGTAATTTTTATGACTGTTATATCACCAGTTCATGTAAAAATGACTGCTGAGAATCACTCTGTTTCTCAACTTTCAGCTCTTGGGACATTTGCTGGTTGTTGCTAAAAATGTGGCAAAGCAAGAATCCCTGCACGATGGCTACAGAGTGGGTAGGTTATTCCATTGAGCTGATGGAAGTTAAAACTGTTCCTGAGGTGAGTTGGAAAAAAAAACAGGCTGTTTATTTACCTGCATGTTGTGCGTTCGCAGTGATCAACGACGGGAAGCATGGAGCTCAGTCAGTCTACCACCTTCACATCCACGTGCTGGGGGGAAGGCAGATGAGATGGCCGCCCGGATAATTTAGCCTCCACACACCTGATGTCGTCTCAGGATCTCCAGCCTAAGTTTAGTTTTGCTACCATCAGATTACAGCTGTCCATATAGATACTCTACAAACATTTTCTGTAAAAAAAAGAATTTAAAAAAAGAAAGAAAACAAATCACCATTTCTAATGTGGATATTTGATTTTGGCTAGTGTAAAACGTCATGGCCTTAAATAAAAACACAGTTTCTCAATGAAATGTTGAAACCTCCGTTTCTTAACCATGACTTGGTGTATGTCCCTTGAAGATTAATTGTTTAGACGAAGGACCTGAGATGAATACAGAAGATCTCGGACAAAAGTCAGCTCGATTAATAAAATGTCAAATGAAAATGTAAAAATGCTGAATCAGCAAGAAATATTTATGGAGTAGGACCTTGTAAGTAGGCAGATTTCACTTAAACAACATCTTAAATCTTGGAAAATCCTCAGTTTGTATCCAATTATGCCACCCTGACCCATCAGCAGTTAAAAGGTTGATTCAAGAATCTTCCAGAACATATTTAGTAGCATATTCTATTGACTTAGACACTTTCTTTACACCTGTAACACATTTTTTATGTGTCTGTGTCAGATTAGGATTAGGATAGGTTCTATTTTAAATCGATGCTCTGTTGTTGCTTCATTCTTCCTTCTTGCCGCTGTATCTCATCTGCCACGAGAAAGATCAAAGCATAATACCAGAGTTTCTTTGAAAACCTGTTAAAGTGTCCTTGGGCAATCCTCAGAAACCCACATCCGTTGGTGTGTGGATGTGTGAGGTATTGTTGTCAGTAACAATGTATATATGATGGTACACATTTGGTTAATGGTCATTACCATCACTTAGTCAGGTGATTTACATGTATACCCTCAATTACCCATTTACAAATGAAAAAAAATCAAAGTAAACAAATAGAGCTTTAGATTTAAGTGGGATTCTGAAGATTCAGCTTTTTTTCTAATCTTTTTAAAGTTCTTTGTGGTGTCTGAGCAGTTCAGCTTTAAACTGTCAACACTGTGCAGACTCACACGACTCGCTGCCCAGTGTGAACTGAACTATCATCCATGTGGAAACACGGAGAACCGTAGTGTGTGTAACGTCTAAAATAACTGGAGTAAGTAAAAAAACAAGACCGCAAAATGCCAAGAAAAAGAAAAGGAGGATTCTATGCGGCCTGGAGATATTAGCTATCAGGAGATGTTTCACGAGCTATTTTTAAATAATGTCTTATCTATTAATAAGTCCTTTAACTGTAGCTGACAGGATGTCTTATCAGAAAGGGAATGCACCTTCTATCCTTAACTTCTGCACATTTGACATGTTCCCGACTGCATAACAGTTTCTGACTTCCTCTTGGGAACGTACTGCTGGCACACATGGAGCTCTGCACTAATCATTCACAACCTCCTTGAATGGAGTCCAGATAAAACAAGGGAGGGGGGGGGGGTTAGTCTGGATGGCTGTGGTGTGATTGGGTGGTACGATTCAGTGACCTTAGGACCTGACAGAGGTAACTCTGTGTCACTGGAGGAGGAGAAAAAAAAAGCGCTCAGCTTTTGGCCGGAGGCCCTCAGGAAAACAACGTCTGCGTCTGGTGTGAAACGTTACGTCGCCAAAGATAGGGGAGGACAGGAAACCTCTGCCCCTGATCAGTTCATTTTGTTTAGTTTGTTTGTACAGAAAACTGCTGTCCACCTTCTTATCTCTCTTTTGAACTTTAGACCAGAGGAAGAGACACGGGGAAGCTTTTTAAAGAGAGCTCAAGAAAATATCCATCATGTGTTGTTGTTTTTTTTACTATACAGATTTTTTTCCAATTATTTTTTATTCCCAACATCCTCATCTGCATCATTAGATGCGTCAGCCTGGTTGAAACAGACGGCGTTGCTCAAGATTAAACGGTTGAATAACCGTTTTATGGGTCAAAGTCCCATCTTAGCGTAACATCCCCGACAGGCCTGAGCGTGTGTGTCCGACAAAGACGGTCTTCATAAACTGATATGGGACGATAAAAGTCCTCTAACAAGACAGCACACCCTCTCCGGCTTCACCGATTTATGGGATCTTCGAATTCTGCCTGGCTGCATGCTGGCACCTCTCATCAATAAAAGCTCCAGCTGCTGTGATGAGTACAAACAAACTCTGTTTGGGGGGGGTGGTAAGGGGGTCAGGTTTCAGGTCGTCTTCACCTTGACGAGCCACAACCTTTGGTCCATTTAGTCATGGAGGGGTTGTGGATTTTGCAATTCTCTGCTCTGTCCTCATCCAAGTCTATAGGTTGATTTCTTCTTTTTTTTTTTTTTTCCCCCCCAGGAGGGCGATGGTCAAATCCCAGGGCGGGGCAAAGCCGGGCGCAGGTCTGTCCTACACCTGGTCTGCTGCTCTCTAGTCGATGACACACAGCTCTTCTGCGAGCAGGAAAGGTAAGCCATCATTTGCACGGCCGTTTGACCAAAGGGAAGGAGCACGCATGGCAGGGCGTGTGAGAGGACTTTTGCATTTTCAATTAGAGTAAAGCAGGAGAGGGTTTCATTTACTTAATGCAATGAATTATTTTTCCAAGCCTTTTCTAGATGCAGTGTTGTAAAAACAAAAGATTCTTGTGAAGACCTGCACAAATTCAGTCGAAAGTGTGTTCTGCTGTTTTTGTTTTATTCACAAATGAATCTCAGATTTGCTCAATAGGGGATAAAACATGTTACTGTTGTCACTCAGCATTGCCACACTGCTCTTTTGTAAGAATGAACTTTGGACCAGAGAAACCTTGACCCCGGTAATCTTGGAGACCGTAGGTCAAACGTATGCCTGCTGGCTTCGCAGATCCTAATCTAACCTGGTTTCATTGCAAATATAGAATTTCAATCAGTAAATGAGGCACTGAAGGACTGTTGTCCCTGTCTTATTTTATCTCTACTAAAGTAAATTAATTAACTTTAGTAGTGTGAATGAGTGACAGTACAACTATATATAACGAACATTTACAAATTAATTGATTAAGGGGGAAGCCCTCGGCCTCCAGTTTTTGTCTTATCGGCAGTTTTCCAATGTCTTTTGCTCCCTGGAGCGTTTGTCGGTCAGTTTGTCGACTTAAGCAAATTTGCAGAGACAGCGTTTTGACGATGATGTGGGTCAAAGTGGCTCCGAGCCCCTGACAAAAAGAGCTTAAATAGTGCGGCGGGGTTAAGCAATGCCTCCTGGCACGGTGCTGTCAGTTTCAACATCTGGACCGCGGCTGCGTGGGGTTTCCAGCATCAGCGGCGACCTGTTGCAATGACTCGGTGTCATATAAGTGAGCAAAGCGGTGCTGTTTCATAATAGATAGGCTTATCTGCTCGGACAGTCCTCTTTGGACGACATCTGGAGCTTTTCTACTGTGGTCTTATATCACCTTCTGTGCTTCCAGCTAATGCAAGATGAGTGTCGAAGAAGGCTCAGTTTTGACAAATACAGTCGCCCCCATGGATGGTAAGACTGACAGGTACGTAAAATGAAACGGGGAAACAAAGAAATAGTTGATCCCGTTTGGATTTTTTCTCATTCGCTCCATTTTAACGACTTTCTCAGCGTCCCCTCCTTTGAGGGGAATACCGCGTCAGAGACAGCAGATTTAAAGAGCGACTCCAGAGTTATTCCAAATGGAAAAGTAGGCCCCGCTGACCTCGAGGAAGCAGTAGAAGTGAAAGAGATCCGGGAGAATAAAGCTCCCAGTAACCCCGAACCACCGGCCAAGCCTCCCAGGTCTCCAGAGGTGAAGGATGCTGAGGAACTCCCAACAGGTAAGACTGCTTTACATGTTCACAGGTTTACATTAGGTGAAAGGAACTGATCTGTGTGTGGAATAGAGATTCAAAAGTGGAGAAAATTCAGGGTGAAATGCAGTTTTTGAATGTATGCTTGCCGAGCTGAGATTTAATGATATGAAACGAAAAGGAAGTAACAATTTCCTCAACAGTTTCACTTTTTGTTTTGTTTTGTGGTCATCATTTACAGCTTAGTGTAATAGGTAAAAAAAAAAAACTTGCAGTTGTTTCAAAAGGCAATTAGGAAGTGGACAGAATATAAAATGTCATTTTCAGGGTTTTCAAACGTATCATTTCAACTTCTGTTCAGATTACAAAACTGAAAAACTGTCCACAGTTTTTTTCATTGACGAGTTTAAAGTCTGTTTGGCCGGGAGTTGGAATGAGGTAATACAGCTGGAAAGTCAGTGTCCACTAGATTATTAACAGGGGGGATTGATCCCAGATGACAGAAAATACACGTGATCAGGCAAAAACAGTAAAAAAAATAAATATATATTTTAAAAAGAAATGGAAACTATTGCTGACCAAGATTTTTTAATGATTCCAGGAATGTTTCTGTATTTTCCCTCTTAATACAGTGTTACTAATAAATGTGTTATTATTCCAGACAGCATTATAAGAAGTGATTACACCAACTGAAAATTTACCATATAAAATAAATCTAGTACTAGTGCTATCTTAAAAAAAAGTTTGTGCTTCCCCAATATTAACCACGAACATGTATCTGTGACTAGAGTTTGGAAGTTCCTATGTAAATGAACCATTCAGAGTTGTTTCCACAGTAAACTTGTGGAGAGATGCACCTGAGGAATTTGATTTAGAGAGAAGAGAAAATTCGCATCCCAGATTTTTTTGCAATAATAATAAAAAAAAAGATTACTGGAAAGTTAAACACAACAAATTATTTTGAAAGAAATGTACAGTTTGGAAATACAAAGAAGCTGTGGTGTGTAGATTTGTTAAAGAATGATTTTGAAGTTCAGGAGCTCAGGGCTTTTTTTTTGTTCTTTTTTTTTTTTGGTAACGCCTGATTGGTTAGCGAGTGTGTGCATTCAGCAGCTTCCTCTTCTGTATCAGATAACAGCACAGACTTCCTTGTTCAGCGCACACCCGCAAATCGCCTTGCTCAGGGACACACCCCCTGGATTCTCAGGATGTTTTCTTTCCCGTCACTCTCTCGATGAGCTGACAGCGTTTTTGGAGAGGAGCTGGTGTAGAGCTGTCTGATCTGACTTTGTCCATAATGGCGGGTAAATCCAACTGTCCCTGTTGTCCCAATCTAGAAGAGCCAAAGCCACTCCTCCTCCAGACGCACGATTTGGAGAGAACTGTGGCCCCCGCTGAGGAGCTGTGGTGCTCCACCAGAGACCATGCAGTACGGCTCAGGATGGAGGGCTCGGGCCCAGGCTCAGAGCATCCCGTCACCATCCATCAGCATTTCCTGGAGACGGTGGAAAGGTGTGGGGAGCTCCCGGCGTTGGTCTACAAAGAAGATGGCCAGACGATGACTTTGACCTGGAGACAATACTATGGAAAGTGTCGTGCGGCAGCCAAAAGTTTCCTTAAGGTTAGTACCTTGATGCAAGTAATGGGTATGTGTTACCTCTGTTTTCTGCTCAAGTTCATTAGAATTGCAGACAGAAACATTTCCTGTGTGATTCCATTCATCGGAGTGGTGTTGCACTTTTAGATTTTCATTGCAGCATTTGTCAGCTCTTGTTTACCCCAGCAGCTATCAGCACAGCCATGAACAGTTTGAGCCGATTATGACTGATCTGACCAATTTGTGAACCGTCTGCTTTAGTCTCTGGTGTTTAATACCATTAAATTTACCCTAAAACAGAAGAATTTCATTTGCTTCTGGATAATAAAGAAAACCCGATCACTGTCATATTAATTCCCTAGTTTCGGTTGAGTCCGTTTGCAGAAGTAGTGCCTGAATGAGCCGGTTTGTCCATCAGTTCTGTGTTTCGCTCTGTGCTGCAGACACACTTTAAATAAACAAAGGCATAGTTCCATACCCAGAAGTGAATAAGTGTGAAATGTAACTGTATCATTCCAGGAATAACAGGCTTTACCACGCCTGGAGCTCTTGGCCTCCGTTTACTCAGCGGCGTGAGAGCAGGACGCCGTAACACAACTCTTGAGTTTGTGAAATTCATAGCTCGTATTACATCTCCAGTGTCACTGCTACGAAGATGGGCTGGGTTTTTTTTTTCAAAACGAGATGTAGGTCAAAAGTAATGGAGACAGGGTTCTGCCTTTTGCAGCTGGGGCTGGAGCGTTTCCACGGTGTCGGCATTCTGGGATTCAACTCTCCTGAGTGGTTCATCTCAGACGTGGGCTGCATCCTTGCCGGGTAAGCTCGCATGTCTGGAGGCAACTCTGATAAGATCTGCCGCTGAATTTACCGTCTATCTGCTCTCATTGAGATGCCACAGTATAGCCCCGCCCAACTCTGTGTATTTTCCAGTCCCATTGTCTTTAGATCTCTGCCACACCAGTTAGGGCAGTTCCACAACAAAGCCTCTGCCATCATAGAAAGTGAGTTAGAATAGGTCTTCCATAAATGCCCTCTAAATAAAAGTTTATTGTGGCATTGAAGCCACAAGGATTGCGCAGAGCAATGGTGAACGCCCTGTTGCACAGCATCTAAACATCAGCCACAGTCAATCCTCATGTGTTTGTCCATCTGCGTGTTATTTGACGCAGGGGTCTGGCAACTGGTATTTACACGACCAACTCCCCGGAGGCCTGTCAGTACGTAGCTGCCAACTGTGAGGCCAACGTCCTGGTGGTGGAGAACCAGAAGCAGCTCGACAAAATCCTGCAGGTCGGTACCTCCCCCCGCAGCATTGCCATAAAGCTGCAATAACATTTTTAAAAAGACATTTGCCCTCACATGACCGTTCCTGCTTTGTCTCTTTAAGGTCAAAGATCATTTACCTCATCTGAAAGCCATCGTCCAGTACAAAGGCGAGCTGCAGCAGAAGGCGCCATTCCTGTACACCGTACGTTGACGAGGCGAACATGTTGATCGAGCTGATAAATCACATGATTATGAGACATCTGATAAGATGAAGCACGATGCCTTCGGCTGTACCGCTGACCTTTTATGGCATAATCATCTTTCGCACCGCTTGTCAAAAAAACAAGATGGGCCATTTAATACCGCACAGCTGGTGATCACTGTGGTCAGGATTGAAGGAGTTTTAAATCCAGCCTTTGTCCTTCTATAGTGGGAAGAGTTCATGAAGGTTGGGGAGGACGTGCCCGACGAGCAGCTGAATGCCGTGATTGAAAGTCATCGGGCCAATGAGTGCTGCACCCTCATCTATACCTCCGGAACCACTGGCAACCCCAAAGGAGTCATGCTGAGCCACGACAACGTGGGTAACAATGTGGGGGGCATACCGTGTTTGTGAGATGCCCGAGGGAACAGTTCCCAGATGTCTCTGATCCTCAGGGCTTTGATTAACCTGCCGAGCAAAGTCACATGATGCCACACCCCCCTCAACCCAATCATACTTGCTTTTTACGACTTCGCTCACTTTTTACGACGTGTAACGAGTTTTGAATGGCTGGATTGTAACACAGTGAGAACTCACCGCCAAACCCCTCCCACATTAGATAACATGGACGGCCCGAACGGCATCTTCCATGATAAACGCGGACTATGGGGTGGAGGTCCTGGTCAGTTACCTGCCCCTGAGTCACGTGGCGGCCCAGTTAATCGACATTTGGATTTCCATGAGTCTTGGAGGAATCACCTACTTTGCTGATCCAGATGCCCTCAAGGTAAAGGTCTCGCCCTGTCTTTGTTTAAGAAATACAGCACTTGACAGAATAATTGACGAAATGTCTTGGACGTACTTACCCTAGGGCTCCTTAGTAAACACGTTAAAAGAAGCTCGTCCGACTCTTTTCCTGGGGGTTCCTCGAGTCTGGGAGAAGATGCAGGAGAGCATGAAAGCCGTTGGTGCCAAGGCATCCCCACTGAGAAAGAGAGTGGCAGACTGGGCAAAATCCATTGGCCTACAGTATAGCTATAGTTGCATGGAAGGGTGAGTGACACTTGAGCCACATATGCTGGCATCTAACATATTTTTTCCATTCTAATATTACACTAAGTTAGGATTAACACACTTTTTAAAAAATTTCCTGATAACGTAAAGCTGTTGTAAGGGCTGAGTCACTGGCATGATACCATCTGCTCAGCCACACAGGGCACGTGTCTTAGTCGTGAGTTGACTTTCATTCGTGCCCCACAGGGAGAATTCGGTGCCTTGGGGTTTCATGCTGGCCAACAATCTGGTCTTCAAGAAGGTGCGTGCTGCCCTGGGTTTGGATCGTTGCAGGCTGTGCTGCACAGGAGCGGCCCCGATCACAAAAGAAACCCTGGAGTACTTCATGAGCCTGAACATCCCCGTGATGGAGCTCTACGGCATGAGTGAAAGCTCTGGTCCACACACAGTGTCCATCAATGAGTATCGCATCACGAGGTGAGCAGGACAAATCCACTACTAATAACTGTCTTTTGTGTGCCAACTTTTGATAGAAATACCAGGTTCCTTTACAGTTGTTCCCCAGTTGTATTTGTTGGTATCTCAGTATCCTTACAGAGGGTTTACTGAGGCTGATTTGATCCGAAATATCACTTGCTCTTGTGACCAAAGTCATTTCTGTACGAAAGCCCAAAGAAAAATGGAAGGAATGGTAAGACATTCTCCTGACCTCTATCATTTTCCATTGCAGCTGTGGAAAGGTGATGCCAGGCTGCAAGACAAAACTGGAGAATCCAGATAAGGATGGGAACGGGGAGATCTGCTTCTGGGGTCGTAACGTTTTCATGGGCTACCTGAACATGAGTGACAAAACAACAGAGGCTGTTGATGAGCAAGGCTGGCTGCACTCTGGAGATCTGGGACGAAACGATGAGGAGGGGTTCCTGTACATCACAGGAAGGATCAAAGGTATGCTGAGAGCAGTTAACCATCCCGAGATAGTACTGATTCCGAAAAGTTGATGCCATAAAAAAAAAGACTTTTTTTATTATATTTTTCATTATATATCATATGAACATCGTGGAGTTAATGTGCTACAGTAGAAAAGTAGAAAACCCGCCTCAAGACAGGTGCAGTGAGGCCAAAGCCGGTGTCGTGGAAATTCATTCCTCATACAATGCTTTTAAAGGTTTTTCAAGTGGATTAAACAGAGCAACTCTTGTTGCAGACGACTGATGTTTTATTAGCAAGAATGCTGGAGGCCGTGTGGCATGAACTCAAATCAGGCCGACAAAGGTTGGGATAGATGGAGCTTTTCATTTTTGTGTTGTTACTTGTTTTAATGCTTGTGGTAAATAAACAAACAAAAACAAAACAGGCTGACTGATGTTAAAGGAGATGGAGTGGTAGTAGTCTTTCTTCTGGAATGCAACGTGTCCAGATTAATCTGAAAATCTTGTTTGTGGGAAGTCTGACCCAAAGGTTGTTGACAGCATCACCAGCAACAAAGAATTCAGAGGTGTTCGTTTACAGCAGCGTGCCTCAGAATGAACTAAGTGCAGTTGTAACCTAAAGCCATTGAGTACAGAATTTGAGCTTCATCCTCCATTGTTAACAATAGTGCCTGTGATGGTTAGTTTGATGGGTTCCACCCTCAGACTGACACCAGCGTGGGAACATTAAGGTTGTTTTTATTTGTACTTCACTCCATTTCAATTAGCTGAGTGAAACCATGAAGTTTTACTTTGGCCTCGACACAAATGCCCAAAGACATCGGGTTTTTCATCAAATCTTTTGGCTTCCGAAGACCAGATTAGCCTCTGACAGGAAGTGATGACACAGGTTTTTTTTATTTTATTTGTTAGAACTCATCATCACTGCTGGTGGCGAGAACATCCCTCCCGTTCCCATCGAGGACGCGGTGAAGAACGAGCTGCCCTTTATCAGCAACACCATGCTGATCGGAGACAAGCTCAAGTTCCTGTCCATGATGCTCACGATAAAAGTGAGCAAGACTGCATTCCAGCAAACAAACACAGCTGCGGCATAAAACCAGAAAGATGCGAGAAAAAAACAAAATTCCCACAGTGCTGACCTCTGTGTTTGTTTCCGCAGTGTGTAATGGACGAGAACGGAGATCCAACAGATGATCTGAGTGCCGAGGCTTTGGAGTTCTGCCAGCGAAATGGCGTCACAGCCACCAAGGTGTCCGAGATCATAGCCAATAAGGAGCCCCTCGTCTACAACGCCATCCAGAAAGGCATCGAGCGCGTCAACGCCAAATCAACGTCCAACGCGCAGAAGGTCCAGAAGTGGATCTTACTGGAGAAAGACTTCTCCATCGGTGGAGGAGAACTGGGTAAGGTCTTAGAAATACATACATTCTTCTATTTTCTTCCTAACTGAAAGGGTTAATATACTATCATCATCAACAGAGGATGTTTATTTGAATAATTTATTACAGGACGTGTGATAATCAGCCAAGACTGAGCAGAAAAGGTTTTTTTTTCTTTACTATTCAACTCTCTTTTTAACGTTTTTCAGGCCCCACCTTGAAACTGCGGAGGCCCATTGTTGTGAAGATGTACCAGGAGAAAATAAATGAAATGTACAAAGTGGCTGCAGAAAAGCAGTGATCTGTTCGGTGCAGTGAGCAGACGGCCAGGAAAAACATAGCCGGGAATGTAGGAACCTGTGAGCCCAGACGAGTCTTGACTCTGATTGTCTCATACATGTAGCAGGGCAGGGATTGTTGTGCGCCAAAAGCTGTGAAGACCTCCACGGTTTGATATTTAAACTGTTAAATATAGGCCTGAGGCAACCGTACAATCTTCTTTTTTGCATAGAACAGCTATATCAGAGACAGCTTTTGCCATATGAAGCGTCACTCAGCACCAAAGGGGCCATGTGCACTATGGGAAACACTGGATGATTTGATTATTTTTTCTGTTTTCAAAGTTAAAAATGATGTAAACGTTAATCTTCTGTGGCTGGAAACGTCTTTGAGATTTTTTTAAAATCACAAATGTAACTGTATCTAGTTAAAGGCCTCATAGAACTAATTGCCAGTTTACAATCAAATGCTGTATACTTCTATCCAATAATCCCCAAATGGCAAACTGGATATGAATAACTGTTTTTATAATGTGAACAAAATATGAAATATGAGTAATATCATTGATCTGTATTTATCCAATCATAACATGTGCAAATTGTATATCAAATGTATACATTTATTCTTCTCCATGTACAGTTTGACACATTCTGAAATATTTATTTTATGATAGATTTGCCATGATTGTCAATAAAAGGGGATTTGGACAAATTAAGGGAATTGATGTACAGAAGTATTTTTGTATCATCACTTTTATTTGTCCGTGTACAAACCCATTTTGAAACACTGGAAAATAATGACATTATTACACACCATGTTGTTTAATATAAACATACAAATACACTACATGTGCTTAAAATAATGATTACACGCACACAATTATTTCCAAAATAAAGATTAAAAAGATCTCACAGATTGGATCATTTTTACATTAGCTAATATTAGCAAACTCAAACTTCAAACTTTAAATGGAGCCTATATTCAGTTCTTGTTTTCTAAATGTTGCTGCAGAGGTTAAGAATTTCATTTCAGTCTGGAACGCTGGATGGAAAAACATTGTCACATGACCCATGTAGGGCAGGGAGTGGGTGAATGTAGTTCCTGCTGGTTATTTTGAGCTGGTTTTGCATTGATGGCATCTTTTTCGGTAAACAGTGCGGATATTCTTGATGTGTTTGACAAGCTTATCGTCATCAGTTGCATCTTTAAAACAGATAATGGGGTTAAAATTCCTTCAGAATGCATTCTTGGATTTTACTCAGATAAGCCTTACATTTAGAAGTGAGACAGTCCTAACATTTTTTAAACATTTAAAGTAGAAGAATATATTGGTTATGTGTTCATTAAGATATCTCTGGCAGGGGATAAAACAATGGTCATGATGTTTGAATTGTGTTTAGTACATATGGTGCATCGATGTAGTTCAGTAGCCTTTTACTGAAGCAGGAGAAGGAAATAAAATGCAGCCTTGTAGCTCCTCCTATGTAACCAATATGCATTTGTATATGAAAGGCCGACTAAACTCCTTTAGAGTTTTGTTTTGTTTTTATTTTCTTTCCACATATAACGTTACATGGCAGAGGTCTGGAAGCTTTTAAAAACATGGCTTAAAGGTAAACGATAGCCTTCTGATATCAATGCAAACGATGAAGATCGTGTTGCTCACAAACTTCCTGACTCACAGATATCTGACTGTTGGCCTCTCAAATGAAATAAAATTGGAGCATCTGTTCTCAACACCTAACTTTGTGGCAATGACCACCTCCATTTCCTGCTTTCTGTTGTGTCACATTTTAATTTAGATCTCTTTTAAGTGTTTTTGTGGTGCATTCAGAGCTGCTGTTGCTATTGATATTGACACAAAAACCTTGGGGCCACAATTATTTGAGATAGTCATGGTCAATGCAGAGCAGCTGTCTTCGAAATCTTCATTCCAGACTTACAGGTGACGACTGTGCGGGCGTTTTTTGTTTATTTTCCTTCACATCTTAAAGGGTTACTTGCACAGTCAGGCACATCCAACATGCCTACATTCAATTCCTTCATAACCTGCACATGAACATTGTGTAATATAGCTCGTATTAAGTAGAACTAAACTGTCAAACCAGTTAAATTGCTTTCTTCCAGTCGGCTTCACCCGAGGTAAAAAATAACGTGTGTAATTAGCGAATGAACACTGCATAAAAGGCTATTATTCATTCAAAGGCATCAACTAGTAGCCAAATGATAAAGAAAAATACTAACTTTGTTTTAAAATGGCTTTTTAATGATGGGATATGCTACAACGCTGCAGTCGTGTGGTTTAACGTGGGTACTGCATGTGAGCGCACGGTATCATGACGACAATAGAAAACACACACATAATACAATGTAGAACAATGATAGAATAGCAACACCATGTTTAAACCGTGTAAATAAAAAGGCATTCATCAGGGTGTGACATTTTGCGCGTCGAGTTTCCTTTTCTTTCAGGTGGCAGTTCACCAAAGGTTATTTTGTTAAATATATATTTGTTAAACTGCAGAATAACAAGCTGGTGCTGTAGTTAGCTGATATTTAAGGCCAACAGCACACATTCTCAGAGAATCCTTTGTTTCTATAAGTCACTTTGATATTATATATGATATTATATATATTATATATTTATACATTCAATTCTGGGAGCACCTCATGCTGTACTACAGACTCTTCTCTCTGATCTAATAATATTTCAGAATCATCGTGTGGCACAATACGACCGACGCACTGCTGATAAATGGTTAGCTGTTGTTTTTCCCTGTTTTTTTATACTTTTGGTGAACTGACACTGGGGGACCGCTTTTCACTTGGTGGTGATGGCGACTCCCTTTTTGAACCAGGCGTTGGTGTTGAGCAGGGAGAGCATGAAGCGGGCCACGTCTCCCCGCCCCACGCCGCTGTTTGGGGCCTGGCTGCTGTCGCTGGGCACAAAGTAGCCCTCGTGGGTCTGAAACTCTTGAGCTGTAGAGGACACAGACAGGAAAACGTCTAAGACCGGACCGCTTAAACCCGGAGAAGCTGTCATGGCGGCCCCCGGGTCCGTCAGAGATACAGGGGCCCTCACCTGTAGCTGCGAGGTTCTTGAGACCGGGCGGGCGAACGACGGTCCAGTTGATGTCCTCCGTCTTCTTCAGGAAGCTCTCCATCTCATACATGTTGCTCAGGACGCTTCGGATCATCGGCAGCAGCAGAAAGCGGATCAGGTAAGGAGCCTGAGTCCCCGAGTTTGCTGCCAAACAAAGAAGAAAACACAATTACAAACTCTGGGACTTTGCAATAGTCTTCAGCCATCCCTCAATTCTTTACGTTTACTCATGGAAAATATAGCTTCATAGAAAACCGTGCAGACATTGGAGTATATATGAATCTGAACCTCTAATATTAACTTCTCATCACTTAGAAAAAGGCAGTCTTAAGGAATTCTTCCTTCAAGGACATCCAAAATCTTTTCCTTTACTCGGTTCACTGTCAATAAGGTTCATCACTGTTCCAATAAATTTGAGTTTGGGGCTTTGGAGGAGTATTCATCCCTCCTTGACACCAGTTTATACCATTCCTCTCTGGCACTGAGCCAGAAAAGTGCACAACCACTAAGATCCAGCACTGGAAAGGCTGAAACTATTCCCCTGCTTGGATTTCAGACAGATTCCTCATAAACAGTTGTTCCAAACCCTGATTCCTTAGAGGGACGTTTTCTCAGTGTCCTCTTAATGTCATGATAAGATCCTGCAAAAAAATAACTGTCAGTGAATCTGAGGTGAAAAGCTGCTCAGTGGGGAGTGAGGAGTTGAGTTTTCTAAGCAGACAGGGAAATTTCATGTAGGAAAAGTTCTCTACAATAATGTGTTCGGTGGTGACCTTTTTCCACACAATCATTCACAATCATTAACCAGACTGAGCCGGAGGTACTTGGCTAGCTTATATGCAGGTTTATGGCTGATAAATATGTCAGCCGCACCTCCACACTGAGGTTAAAGTTTGCATCCCTCACTGATTCAGGACTTAACAATCAGAGCTGCTCTCTAAAACATGCATGAGACCGTCTGGTGTCTGAAAATACCTCAGAACTTCTGTTTAAGCAGCCTTTCCTCACATTCGAGCATCAAAACCGCCAAACTTTATGAAGCAAAGTGACGACTGCACTCAAATGGCTTGAAACTATGAATTTAAGATGTCTCCTGGTGGCTGCAATGAAACAAAAGAAATGCACTGTACTTACGGTCTGTGTACCAGGAGGTCATGGTGATGACTCTGTTGACGCGGGCCTCTCGCATGGCGCTGACCACCGCCGCCATGGACATGGTGTAGCCCGTCACCCCCGAGAAGAAGGAGGCCGGGAAGCCCAGGCAGGACATGACCGCGTCCTGTTCTTTGAAATGAGTCTTCAGACTGTCGGCTGAGAAGATGTCAGCCTGCACCACCTGGAATCAGAGGGCCGAGAGACTTTACACACCGTCTACAAATGCCTTTGTTAAAAAACACTTTGTTTTTTTATTGCCTCGGACCTGACAAAACACAAAAATATATGGAAGGGAAACAACAGAACGGCCCATTCATTCTAGGTTGTTCACGCCTTTAATGGAGTCATCTGCAGGGCTCAGGGGCGAAATCGTGGGTTTGGGCACAAAATTTCTTTCATGCGATATTTTGGATCCGCTGAGTTCAATTTTCCAGTCAGTGGACATGTGCAGAATCCCTCTTAAAGGGGGATGTTCAAGGCATCATTTTCGGCGTGCAGGACGCAAATTATCACAGAGGATGGGGCAAACGCCCCCCCCCATCGGAGGCCCCCCCCCATCGCCAGCAGACCCAGGAACCAGCGCTCCTTGTTTAAGGTTTGTGGTTTCCTTTAAGGGTTTTTCATAACTGCTAAAAGGTGCTTACTTTACCCAAGTCCTCCATGTTTTACTTTTTAATGATAACGGTTCTCATTGTAGATAACACAGGCCACTATAAGCACCACAAATCATACCTCATCCCACAGGGGTGCATATATAGAAACACCGCCTGTTTTTGGGACTATTTTCATCAGCGGATGGATACAAACTGCGGGTTACAGTTGGTATTTAGACTCGTTGAACAACGTTCGACACGTCTGAGTATTCAGTATACTCAGATGTTGCACCCAAAAGGAAATATTGGTCAGCAACATGTGGACCACGCGGGGTTATTTGCGTCTTATCAGCCTCTGAAGTGACTTACCTTGAGGTTGTCATGATTCAGCGTGAGCTTGGCCGGGTTCCTGACGATGGCGGTGACCGTGTGACCCTGCTCCAGCGCCTGTTTGACCACATACTGCCCGGTCTGCCCGGTGGCTCCCAGCAGGGCGATCTTCATCCTGGGGCAGGGAGAGCTCAGTCAGAGCAGAAACCGATCGGCGGACTCTGATACAGGGAAGTGAGTCGGACCCCTCCCCCGTTTAACAGGCACAAGTTTGAAAAAGGATTATTGCAGTGCAATAAAAAAAACAAGAAAAAAAACACACTCCCTGAAAAAAATGCTTTCTCATTATTCTCTCCCCAAAAAAAAACACCAAAAAAAAGGCTTGGTGTTCAACCACCACAGATTTCTGCATTTGGAGATAATCTGGAAAAAATGTAGTTGTGTGAAATTAATCTGACTCCTACTTTTCTTTTATTGATTTAATGTTTTAGTCTTTAAAATGGGATCTACAACATAAAAAAAGAAGAGAAAAAAACTGTGTTAGAACATAACCAGATTTATGGTATGGTATGTATTTATGGCGTGATAAAAACAAGGAAGCCCAAAGATTACTTTTGGCAGGTTGTTTAATCACTCATGCTGTGAATGGTTAAAAAAAAAAGAAAAAATTAAAAAGAAAAAAACTTCCATTGAATGTTGAGGCTGATTTCATTGACACAGTAACAAACATTGTATCATGCTTGATTAATTCAACTATAAAACATGCATTTACACTTACAACCGATTATTTCAGCGTTCAGAGTGTTACATACTACGTTATAAAACTAAAGATGATCTATTTGATTTACATAAAAACTGAACAGAATCTTTGACTGATCTGAATGAATGAAAACTTCTTGTTTTTTTGCTAGGTAACCGTGCAGAATAACCAGAAACGCAACTCCAGCTGTACAGCAGATCCACTGATGGATAAAAGAAAAAGCTGTTTTGACAGTGTGTTTGTTTTTGGAGTTGGGCTTACCTTCCGGGCTCGCCGCGAGAGCAAAAGTTGTAAGCGGGGTGTGTAACTAACTGGACGGTTTTGACCCCTACGGCTCTAACGTTATCTAACCAAAGTGAAGCTCTAGCACACACTTAAATCCCATTCCGTCTTTTTTTGTTTATTATTTTACCTTGACAGGTGTGTTGAAGTGAGACGCATTGAGTCACAAATGCGCTAAACACCACTGCGTAAAATTAGGTCAAGTGCATTTAAATTAGGATACGTTAACTTAGAAATGAAACTAAATTAGCTAGGCTAGCTACCACTCACCTCCGCCATGTTTGTTTACACGTTCGGGGGCACGTTCAAGAGCGTCACTGTTGTGGAGCGTTGGCGAAACGAACGATTGAACGAAAAGTTAATCTAATTTATATTCCTGAAAGCCCATTTTACTGTATTATTATGTGGGATAACAGATTAAGAAAAACAACTATGCCGAGAAACAACTATGTCCGGGAGTGTTGAATGGTTACAGCTATTTCTTATGGCAAATTTGTCCAATGGAAAAAAAAACAATTACGTGATAAAATGACGTAACTGTGATTCTTCTTCTTTTCTTTTTTCTTTTTTCTTAGTTTTTTTCTTCTCTGTAATTAGTTCCGGAATATATTTATGTAGTTTGTTTTAATTGACTTCATCAGTAAAAAAAAAAAGAATTTATCTTATTTTAATCTAAACAAAATTTTGGGATTACTCATTTATATTGCTAAAGAAAAGCCAAAATCATCTCGTTTTTCTTATTCCCGGTCCCCACCACAATTCATTTGAGATAAAACTCAGAAGCCATCTTTTTAAATCAAGTCCTAACACAGTCCTAATAATCAAATGAGTTTTGTACTGAATTTTTGTCTAATAAAATAAATCCTGGGATAAGTGGAAACATAATATTGCAAATAGCTTGCTATAAAATGTATATTTACAGTACACCATTAAATTTGATCTCTCCAGAGGGTTTTGTGATTTTCTTTTAGCCTGAATCCTGCTCTCTTGAGAAGTGCCATCATTATATTAGACCTCAATAGAGCACTTCTAAAAGAAATGTTGTGCTAAATGTTATGTGTTGCTTCGAAAGAGTCTCCATGCTCACATTTGGCCTCCTGTAGGCAAAAACATATGTGAAAACAAATGCTGGCCTCCTTCTGGCCACCATAAAGACCCGTCTAGTCGCATCAAGTCATTAGCTCAAGTAATCCACTTGTGGCTTGGTGCCTTAATTATGTGATCATACAGTAGGAACTAAAGACTAAAGCAGCTTCAGCTCAGTGAAGAGGAGCTGAGGAGTGGGGATAACTTCATACATGAGCCCTCTGTGATGAAGAGCTGCTGTCAGGTGACCACCTACGATGTTTGGACCAGTCAAGACCCTGCAGCTTTGACCTGATCCTGGTGGAATATGCAACACGACAAATGGCTGTTTAAAGACGAACTGACACCACACGCAGACTGAGAAGAAACTTTGGAAGTGGTTACTGGATCGAGACGGTGGCCACGTAAGTAAAACCACTGTTTGTACTTGTATGGTGTTTAATTCAGGAGAAAAAAAAACTGGTGAACCTTGAAAAATGGATGTTTTCCACCTGAATTTTCGGAATCTTATTATTTGGGGACATGTTCAAATCTGTTGAAGCCCTAAAACATTAAACCGTCTAATCAGTTTTATAGCAGCATCACAGTATGAGATTTTTATTGAAACAACACAACTTGCAAACATTTTTACGTACTAAAAAATCTATTAATTTCTTTGGGATCAAAATTAGTTCTTCATACAGTATTTATAGACTGATTTCTTTGGCACTTTTTAACCATAAACATATATTTTCTTCCTGCTTTGATACATAGAGTGCTTTATATAAGCCTTCATGGAAAACAGTCCCATTCAGCAGGATTGAGGACACTCTTAGGGGTTAGCAATGAACCAGCACATAACAAGATTACACTGTGCCAAACTCTGCCGCTGATGAGTAAACTAGACCTGTGTCAGTGAAGATTTGGGAGCTCAGGGCAGTAGCAGTGCCAAAATCGTACATAATGTGAGATACGTGGCTTCAGAAGTTCTGCGGATTTCAGTTAAAGCTTTTATATAATGCACAGTTGATTTTCCCACCATGTTCTTTTTCAATGTATTTAAGACTTTTTCTTTTTGCTGGTTTTCACTTTATGGTTTGAACAGGGACAGCCATGGGATGTGGGGTCTCAAAGTCCAACCATTTCCACAAAGATTCCAAGAAAGGTATAGACAGCTTTCTGCGTTAGACCCCATAACTCAGATTAAATATGCACAACACACTGTTCATCTTTATCATAATATGTATTCAAACTGTATCAACATCATCTCATGTGTTTGTGTCTTTTTTTCTGTCCATTTTGCTACAAAAAGCTGTCACAAGTAAGCCACGCTTTTTTAATCCTTTTTGTTGTTTTGGTGTGTTTGCTACTGGACAGAGGTTGGATGGAAATTGGAATATTTGGGTCAGAGGCAGTGATGGAAAATCAAGTTGTTTTCCAGATAATAAAGAGTCAGAGTGGACGGTACACACTAAAAGTTTTGGCACACTTTTTAATGTATTCTGATCAAGTGAACCCGTCCACATTTCTGAGCGGCATCCTTTCCCCCAGTGACTGAACTGAAAAACAAAATGTCACGGAAAAAAAACAGATTTCAGAAAACAATTAATCGAAAAAAAAACAGGGAACTACAACACTTGTTGGTCACTTCTCATTTTCTGATGATGATAATGGTAAACTCAGTTTGAAAGCTTTAAAAGCTTTTAAAAAGGAGTTCGTACTCCTATCTACTTATAAAGAGTTGGTAAACCCAACCTGTAGTTTCAAGATGGCTATTTTTGGCCCCTCTGTTTCAACTGAATTTTCCAGTCAGAAATGGAAACATACACAAGTCAAAATCACCACCTTACCCTAACCTGCTGTCCAGTGAAAATACTAGTCTGTAGTTCCATTTAAAAAGCTTCAAACGGACTTGTTCAGCAGTGTTCTGTCACCATCTTCTCGTTCCAGCGCTGAGGGCTGCTGTGCTGATCCAGCGCTGGTACCGGCAGTATGTGGCCCGCACAGAGATGAGGCGCAGATACACCTGGCACATCTTCCAGTCGGTTGAGTATTCTGGAGAACAGGCCCAGATCAAGGTGAGGGACACACCACGCTCCGTCTCATTCTGATAGAGGTTTTTTTTTGGGAGTGAAAGCTTTAGCCCTGATGTCTCCTCTCACAGCTTTATAACTTCCTTGGCTACCTCATGGACAATTTTACGCCATCCAGCAGCGAACGTAAGAGTCCCTCCCGTGGTCAGATTGGCTTTCCGATTGTGGAGCAAAATCTTTGACCCTAACCTGTGTCGACCTTCCAGGAAATTTAATCTCGCACATCTTCAGAGAGAACGACATAAGTCTGGATGCAGAGTGGGAGAAGTACTTCTGCTACAAGAACATCGAGGTGCCGGAGATCTACTCAGGGCCACATCTAACCTTCCCGCTGACGGTGGAGCAGGCGGTCAATCTCTTGGAGGCCTTCAGGAACAAGAGAGTAAGTGCACAGATTCTGTGATTTGCACTATATTTGATTGTGGTTTCTGCGTGGGAATAATACCAACTAAATTAACGCAAAGCTCCCAAAGTCTGAATCAAAACGACCATGACCCAACGCACTGTGACCACAGAAAAGCGCAGAGTTGCCATAAATACTTGCAAAATTACTCAAAAGAAGCACAAAAAAGTCATATCAAACAGAAAACAAGTGAAGTTGTTAAGTTTAACACCTAAAATGCTACTTAGATAGAAAATATGGATGCAGCATTGCCAGTCAAATTGTAGATCTGAGAACATGCTTTTTATTCAGGTCATTAAACATCCCAGAAACAGGCTGCTTCCACCACAAAGGATTCTCCTCTCCTGTGTTTGTCTCCGTCTATAAAACCTCTTGCTAACCAGTCTCTGTCTCAGCAGCAGCTGCACTCGCGCTACGTCCTCCAGCTGCTTTTGGAGACGTGGAAGCTGCTCCGCATGTTGCCAAATATCAACCGCATCTCCACCTGCCACAGCAAAGAAATCACTGTCTGCGGTGAGTTCCATAGAGCTGTGATCTAAAAAAAAAAGAACATTTTCTGCTGAGGGCCTATTTTGGTCTCTGCTGTTCTCTGAAGAGAAGACAAGACAAGATAAGACAACTGAGCCACTAGTCCGCCCCTCCAGAGACATCTTCCTGTCATCTCACAGAGACGGATGTATAAACTTAAGTCTTAAACTGTGTGAGCGTACTCTCATATTTTGTGTATTTATAGGTGATTTGCACGGACAGCTGGAGGACTTGCTGCTGATTTTCTACAAGGTCAGAGCTTTTTAAGTGGACATGTGTTTTGAAAGGAATATTTCCATTTTAACTTGAACGGTCATTAAATTATGCAATCTTAATGACTGTATGGATGACTGAATGAGTAACTCATTTTCTGAACAGAATTTGAATCTTAATGTCTTCATAGTAATACCAGTATTGGTGTTGTGGTCCAAAAGCTGACAAATAAAGTAATTTAGAGTTATACTGATAAGGGTAGATCAGACCAACTCTTACAGATGAATCAGTTAGCAACACCTATCACTTACTTACATTTATTGCACCTTCCCTTTAACTGTTTTTTAATCTTACCGGCCTCTCAGAACGGAATGCCATCTCTTGAGAAACCCTACGTTTTTAACGGGGACTTTGTGGACCGGGGCAAGGACTCCATCGAAATCCTCCTCATCCTGTTTTCGTTCCTGCTGGTTTATCCGTGTGACGTCTACCTGAACAGAGGCAACCACGAGGACCACATAATCAACCTGAGGTCAAATTTACACGAGGCCACGAGTCTCAGCAGATTCTGTGGGTTTATGTCCTCATTTCCTGACATGTTTGCTCTCTGGCTGATGCAGATACGGCTTCACCAAGGAAGTGCTGACAAAGTACAAGGTAGGTTTCTGCTAACCTGCAGCTCTGATTTTGGAATATACAGACATACCATGTATCTGCTCATCAATTGAGCCCAAAAGAAAAGTCACCCCCCCCAAATTCCCCGGAAACCTCGTCACAGCCCACCCTCCTGTCCACACAGTGCTGGTCACGGGCCGCTAAGAGGATTTGAGGTCATTAAACCAAATTACTCCAGGGCATCTGGTCTCTCAAGAGTCATTGAGGTCGAACAGGTCCCGAGAATGATAGGGGAAATCCTTTTATAGATTGTTTCACGTGTTGAGCTTTTGCTCTGGTTTTATTCAAATTCTTGCTATTGAGCTAAGTTTACTGTACTTTGACTGGGGCTCAGTCAAAATCAAATATACAGTATAGAAAGATAGTATGAAATGTGATGAATAGGAAGAAAAATTGTTTTATATTTGAAATGGATACATCTCAACATTTAAAACACAGACATATAGTGTAATATACATTGACATGTAGTTTTATTGGCATGGTGTGTGAAACCCACGAGCCTCCTGATTATTTAATGACTTTGCATTTAGCTTCCAAGCAGTCAGACGTCCGTATAATTTTCCCCACTAGCTGTCAGATGGTCTTTAAAAGCCACTTAACACTGAATAATTAATCACACAAACATTAAGAAACAACTAAACGGAAGAACGGAAGAGTGTGACCGCCATGAGAGACGACTTAGTAATGAACCGTCCATTGTTGGATGACTGTGTGTTCTGGAAAAAGACTTGTAGTACTTGTAGTGGTCAACTAAAAAAAGGAGGACTACGGACTGATACAGGTTTTTATGTATCTGCTCCCCCCTCTCTGTTTTCCATCTCAGATCCACGGCAAAAGGATCCTGAAGCTGCTGCAGAAGATTTTTAGCTGGTTGCCACTGGCAACGGTGATTGACCAGAAGGTGCTGATCCTCCACGGGGGCATCTCCGACACCACAGACCTCGGTGTCCTGGCCAAACTGGACAGACATAGCGTGAGTGGAGACGACAGGGTAGTAGTTGGCAATCACAAAGCGTAAATCTGTCCTCCGGTCGGTTTTCCCGCAGTACGTCTCGGCGCTGAGGCCTCCGAAGAGGAGGAACCAGATCTGCTCGACGAGTTCCGTGGACACCGACGTGGACGAGGAGGCCTGGAACAGCAGCAGGATCTCCAACCGTCGGGCCTCCCTCACCTTTCCCAAACCCATCATCGCCCGGGAGAGCTTCCAGAACCGCTCCCTGCAGGACTTCTCCAACCACCTGAAGGTGAACACGGAGGAGAAGCAGGAGGGCCAGGGCACCAAACCGGCCACGTCCCAGAGAGAGGCCGTGTCCACGTCCAGTGAGTCTGTCAGCAGTGATGCCAAAGACGAGTGGAAGCAGGTGGGGGCTTTGTGTTTTTCTCTGTACCCGCAATGCAGTTCTGGCGAGACAGTTTATTACCCCATTTTAAAATCTCTCCATTGGCTTCCAGTGGTTTTTCGCTTTAATTTCAAAATCCTGGTTCTGACTTTTAAAGCTCTCCATGGTCAGGCTCTGCGATACATTAGAGCCCTGCTGTGTCCGTATATCCCTTCTCGAAGGCTAAGGTCATTGGATCAGAATCTTCTTAAGGTCCCCTACACCCGTTTTAAGACTAGAGGAGATGGTTCCTTCCAGGCCGTTGCGCCAAAGCTTTGGAACGATCTCCCGTTCCCATTACGTTCTTTTGATTCTGTGGAAGTTTTTAAGAGCAAACTTAAAACCTATCAGTTCCAGTGCATTCAATATTGTTTTATGTAGTTATGGTTTTTATTACATTTTGTTGTTTTATCTTGATGTATAAATGTGCACTTCTGTGAAGCACCTTGTGACCTTTGATGTCTGTGAAAGGTGCTATATAAATAAACTTTACTTACTTACTTACTTACTTTATCAAAAACACCAAGCCCATTATTACAGATCAGCATCTAGAAGACACAAACAGGAGAAGATTAATGAAAAAAACAGCAAAGATAAACGATAAACAAGTATTTGAAACCCAGAAATCGGTCAATAAATGGCTTGTGGTGGATTTGTCTGTTTCAAACTCCAAATGAGAAGCATTTGAGGAATAAAAAATGAGTTTGCAAATAACATATGAGCATGGTTTCTGGTTAGGATAACTTCTTGGCCAGACTGTCAGGTTTCCTAGGCCATAAAAATCTTTCTGTTTAAGAAAAAAGTGAAATTGGAACTAAATATTAGGCTTGCTGTAGGATTCCTGAGGTCATGCAGATCTATCTTTAGAGTTCTTCAAAATCAGCACACGCTTTCTGAGAAATTCTAAGATGTTTTGGCTTCTGTAATTTAGCATTTCGTCACAAATGTTATTATTTTGAAATCAATGACAACATTGTTTCTGGCAATGAAGCCACAAGGCTCCATTGTGGCTTGATTAAATAGATGTGTGCTTTATACTTTCCATCCTTGAATGACCCACGTGTCGTATTTTCAAATTACACCATTTAATATTAGGAAAATCTCAAATCGTCAAAGACATCTGTCTGAAAGTTGTACTGGATGTCATGCAGAGAGGATGGCAGTCTGTGAGTCGCTGTTTGCTTTTCCTCAAACGGGCCTGACCCTTTGCTAAGTCATTATTCTGTCACGGTGTGAATCGTGTTTGGTTCTGAAGCCACGACCTTTGTACCTGGTAAATTCTCTGGGAGACCAGAAGACAAGCCGTGTCTTCAGATGCCATAATCCACCGCGTCACTAATCTCCCTGCCACGAATTCCATCTGCTTTTCAGTTGGGCCTCCAGCACCCTAAGCACTGCACACTGTGTTTTAAAACCAGTCCTACTCATTCAGTTGTGAATCATTTGAAAGTGCCTGTAAGGTGAGGACCAGGGGGGGAAGTTTAAATTGTTGAAGTTTAAATAAAAAATGTTCATGGATATTTCTATGTAAACCGAATCTCCATATCAAAACTTTTAATAATTCAAGCCGGTCAGCCTCTGAAAAAAAATATTGAAAGTCCAATTTTGTGTGTTTAACTGATTCTGGGGGATCTTTCCCTACTTAGTCTGTGCTGTGCACATGGTGTGATGTAGAGCCCCACCGGTGGAATCAGCCTGTGTGTGGTGGACAATCTGCAGGTTACAGATGGTGTTGGTAGACCAAAAAGAGATCTATATCACCTGGGAGAATGATTTAATCAGTAACAAGTTTTTTTGTGCATGTGTCAAATGTAAAATCTCCTTCCTGTGACTCCGTTGACCCTCCAGATCCTGGACCTGCTGTGGAGTGACCCGATGCCTCAGAACGGCTGCATGCCCAACGAGGTGCGGGGCGGAGGCTGCTACTGGGGCCCCGACGTCACCGAGGACTTCCTGAGCCGACACAACCTGCAGCTCCTCATCCGCTCCCACGAGTGCAAACAGGACGGTTATGAGTTCTGCCACAACCGGAAGGTCAGCGGCCCGACCCATGACCAGCCTCCTTCATCAGGAACAGAAGTGTACCTTCATTAATGTCGTATGTCTTTATGCCACTCAGGTCCTCACTCTGTTCTCCGCCTCCAACTACTACGACGTGGGGAGCAACAGGGGGGCCTATGTGAAAGTGGGCCCAGACCTCGTGCCTTATTTGGTCCAGTACCAGGCCAGCAGCATGACCAGGGAGCTCACCGCGAGACAAAGGTACGAGAAAAGCCCCAGCAGACATAGTTGTGTCCAATAACATTGGACAATTAGGACATGTTCCTAATTGTATGAAGTTAAGCAACCTGAATTAGCTTGACTTCATATCATATCAATAACTGCGTAGTGGCTTTATAAAACTTCCAACTTCCTGGTCAAGACCAAGATCTCAGCTTCCCAACAGAAATGTCAAAGTTTTCTTTTAGACAACAAATGCCGTTAAAAACAGATTTGGGATCCATCTGTGATGACTAAACTCACTTGACTTAGATTTTTTTTGTTGCTCTCTAACCCAGTGATATCATATAACGATATACTGTAAAATTGTGAGGATAGAACGACAAAAAGTAAACTTGTGAGACTTTGTTTGATTGAAATAAGCTTTTTTTTTTCTTTGTCTGTACTTTCATGTCCACTGCAGTGTCGGACGCACCGAGCGCTCAGCCCTCAAAGTCCTGCGGGAGCAGCTGTTTGCGCACAAGTCTGACCTCATCTGTGCCTTCAAAAAGTTCGACACAGAGGGCTCAGGTGTGTGTGTGTGTGTGTGTGTGTGTGTGTGTGCGTGTGTGCTGGGACTCTCGTGGAACAATCCGGCCCTTAGCAGAGCACCACTTTGTGTCTCGTATCTGTTGAATACTGTTCTGTTCTCAAAGAATGGCGTCTTTCTGGGGAGAAATATGAGCTCCGGCTTTTGTCTCCAGGTTCAAGCTTTAGAAGATCTGTTCAGGATAATGTGGGCAGATCAAAAGTCCGGCACAAAGTTCAGTTTCACAGAAACTGCGGCTAGACTTAAGCCTGCTCATTTAACCCTGAGCAGCACCTGTTAGTCATAAAGAAATAAAACAATACATCCCAATGAATAAAAATCAGATTTTATTGGAAAGACTTGGTAACCGGGTAAAAAACTGTTTCCCCTCTGCCAGGCTTGGTGTCTCTGAGCGACTGGGCGGCGGCGGTGGAGAGTGTGATGCACCTGAATCTGCCCTGGAGGATGCTGCGCTCCCAGCTGGTCATCTGCAAGACCAGCAACGGCATGATCAACTACCACGACTGGTTCCACGAGCTGGCCATCAAGGAGCCCAACGCGGACGTAAGGAAGCAGCAGTTTAAGATGCTGCTGAGCGATGGCTTACAGTGTTCCCTTTTCTGTGCACCTCTGGGTTTTTGTGATTCATAAACGCTGTTTCAGTTGTGCATTTTGTCGAACATTAATCAAGTGAATTTAAAGCCAGATGAATAAACACAGGTGAGATTACTTTACAAAGACTGAGGGCAGATCACCGTGTTTTTCAGATAGCAGTAACAGCAGTATTGGTAGTCCTTCACTTTGGAAGTGTGCCCTCAGGTAGTCAAGCCTTTATGTCTCTAAGCGACATGCTGACTCACACTGTGATTGAAGGAGTACTTAAACCCACTGACAGGGGATAAATTGTCCTAACAAAGGTGCTCGAATTTGTAAGCAAGTGGGCTGGGAATGGCTGATATGAAAGTGAAGGGGCACAATGCCAGTGTGGTGTATAAATGGTCAAATAAGGAAACACACACACACAGATTACACCTCTGATTTCCATGAAAGCAGAACATCACCAAATGCTGTTGGTTTTTGTTTTTGTGCAGTTTTATTCTTAAGCAAAGCACCTCTTTAGGGTTAGGAATACAGCAAGGAAAATGGAAGATTCTTGATTCTGTGTCCTGTGATGTTTTTTTGTGGTTATGTGTGTGTATGTGCGTGTGTGTCTATGCTTTTTTTTGCAATACGAAATCACAGACAGTCCATAAAGGGTGACCTAGACTTGTCCGTGCATTATTGTAGTCAGTAGACTGGTTCCCTCAGCCCTGTTGACACTGCGTTTCTCCTTTTTGCAGCACATTGAACAGAGCCTGCTGGAAACACTGTACCGCCATCGCTCCACCCTGGAGACAATTTTCCGGATTGTAGACACGGATAACTCAGGTAAAAAAAATAAAGAAAAAGAAAAGATCCCTTTTTAACTTCTTCATGAGAAACATGCTGCAGAGATTGACTGTGCGATTTAAGCTCTAGAAAGAGTCAGATATACTTTAAACCTGCATCAGAAAACACAGAATCCAGGCAGACATGTTCCTAATTGTATTAAATGTGGAGTGTCAGGACTCTGTTTATGTGTTTGACTGACGTCCCTGGAGCTGAGCCTCTGGTAATCCACCTTGGGTGTGTGAATGAGGCCGCAGCACGTAACGGCCTCCTGGTGAGGATTGGCCCACTGATCTACTGGCCTTTCCCCCACCTCTGATCCAGCACGCCCACACAAAGACACACTTCTCCCATCATCCCTATCTTCTGCGTTTTTGTCAATCTACCCTCGGCATCCCCATCTCATCTTCTTTAACCTCCAACCCTCTCCTCCTCCCGAAGGCTTCATCACCATGGAGGACTTCCGGCAGACCTGGAAGCTGCTGAGCTCCTACTTAAAGATGGAGATCACGGACGACGCCATCTCCGACCTGGCCGTGACCATCGACAGCAACCAGGACGGCAGCATCGACATCGACGAGTTCATGGAGGCCTTCCGGCTCACCGACAAGAAGAGCCGGCTGGAGCGGGGGCGCAGCATGTTCATGGGCACGGCCACCGACCTCACCAAGCTGGAGGGGGACCCCAACGTGTGAGCGGAGGGAGCTGAGAACAGAGCCCTGGGCGGGGAGGGCTGAAGCTGCCGGGATGACGCACGCGAAGACGCAGGACGCTGCGCGGCGACAGCTGCGTGGATCAGAGGGGATTAGCGAGAGGTTAAAGACAAAAGTGTTGAAGAGCAAAGGTCGCTCCCGCGTCGGGATGCCAAGAAGGGAAAATGTCGCACGAAAGAAATGTGTCTCTCGCGTCGGGTAGAGTAGTTACAGATGTCAACGGAAACTAAAGAGCATCGTGCTCGAACCAATCCAGTAGTAGGAAAGCAATGTCAGACACTGGGATGATTTTCTACATGCAAAAGTGACCGCAAGCGGACTCCTGTTGGCTTACCGTCAAATCCCCGTCAGAACAAAGACTGATCATCACTGTGCAAGAACTCAAGGCCTGCGTCCTCTGCAGGACTGAGGACACATTAGAGACTTAAATACACTGACAGGAAAAGAAAATATGTCTAGAACACTTCAAATCAGATAGTTTAAAATCAAAATACGACTGTTAAAATAGAAAGTGAGATATTAGAAGCTATACACACAGCACATACAGCACACATAATCAGTCAGGAATACTTTATGTTCGGCCTCACTGTGACTATAAGTTTTTGGAAATGGTGAAATCTTTAAAGTAAAAAACAAAGAAAAAACAGCCTGCAAAAAAAAATATATATATGTATATGTATAGTGAGAGAGAGAGAGAGAGGTGTCTGCATGTAACAGAATAACAAACTAAGGCAACTAACTGTTGCTGGTGCCTTTGCTGTAAAACCATTTGAAGTGATGTCTTGACTGCAATGAGGATATTTTGTATCAAATCTGCTTGCCAATGATGCACCGAGGTCCATTTTGGTCTGGATCATTTTAAATGGCACATCAATGTTGTCTGTACTGAAGTTGTTGGTGGGGAGTTTGGGACATTTATTGCTTTGCGGGACTATAAAGGCGGAGGGGTTTGGTATCTTTGTATTATAGACTCAAAGCAGCTTATTTATTTGGGGTATAACTATGGACAGAGACAGCTTTGGCTTTGTGCTTTGTTAAATATGTTGTTGCACTGCTACAAGAAACAGAAGTCAGTGTGAATGTGAAGTTTAGTGTTTAGTGTTTTTTCTTGTACACCTGAAACCTACAATTTCAGTTTGGACCGGGAGATTACCTTTAAAAACTCTAATGTTTCTTATGAGATTCTTTTCAGTTGACTTTTATAGTTATATGATAAAAAAAAACCAGGCATTAACAAAGAATGCCCGAGGGAGTGATGAAAAAAAAAACATAGTTTAGGTTACTGTTTGAAAAATGTTGGAGGCAATGCCTTATTTGAATTTTTTCTGATTGTCAATTATGTAACTTTGTGGTTAGATAATCTATTACTACTACTTTAATTTATTTTTATTTTCAAGCGCACATGGTTTCATTAAAGGAATGTTTCTACACGTGTAATGTCGCTTTTATTGTTTTTCCTTTTTTTAAAGATTGTATGTATGTGTTCTTTTTTTTCCGTCTGGAGTCAAGTTATGATTCAGAATCACCAGCAGGAGGCACAGCTGACCACTAAGTTTCTTTCACACTCTGTTCTCTCAGAAATGATCAAAGAGCCTTTATATCTAACAGAAGAGACGACTAAGAGTAATTTAATTTTGAAAAATAAAAATAAAATAGAAAACGTTTGATGAGGTAATGAATGGTTAGATCCAAACTTACATCGTAGAGGTTGAGTGGAGTTTTTGCTGCTCTGCTTTCTCCATATTCTGATGTCCAGACGAGTGGTCATCGTGCAGAAGATCATCCTGTGGATGCGTGGACAGTAAAACTGGTCCAGAGCCGCCTGCCCTCTGAACAAAGTGGAATTTTGAATCGTTTCACAAACTACTGTTTGCATTCAGTCAACTCTTAGTCAACTTTAGAGATGTTTGCTCTGCCACTGAGCTCATCACGGCCAGGGAAATTAAGTCAATAAGCTACTGTCACCGCAGGAAAAGAGGTCATTAAATCCAGTTTGACCATTTTTTTTGTTTGGTTACTATTTGGAAATGGCAGAAAATGCAAGAGATTTGGAAATACCTGAAAAGGGCCTTTGATTTTCAACATGTCATCATGACAGTTGACCTCGGTTCGTCCATGACATGCCACATATACCTGTGGGAGCAATAAACGTCAGAATTCAGTGGTCTGTGACCCACATTGGCAGATGAAGAGCAGACAACGAATAGAAAAGAAAAAAAAATCAATATCTCAAATGAACTAGGTTAAGGGGCTATGGGTTGTAAAAGGTATAATTTAGATGCCAAACCATGTGTTTTTCATAAAAAAACATAATTATTTATTTTTAGATGTCTGACTCTGACAGTTTATTTAAGATTTCCAACTTTTGACGGCAAAAATTGATCTCGGGCAAAGTTTGATAGATGAGGGAAGAAATAGGTTCTCTTGCACCACTATTGACCAGCACCTCCGTTCTACTGAGACTATTGTATTTGAGAATGTTTTATCCAATGCAAAATTAGGCCAGAATAGAGTAGATCTGTGGTCATTTAAGAGTCCATGCACTGAGCTTACTTAAACTATTTTGAGATGGAGCCACATGTAAAAAGTTGAAGTCGATTTGATGTGAGCACTGATCATAAGATGAGACATATTTAATCTCATGATAAAAATTAAAGTGGTATGTGTGGTGACAGAAGACAGAAATAATCTATCATGAACTGCAGCTGTTAAGATAAAAGCCGAGTCCAGAAAATCTTCCTCTGGAGAAGGATTTCTTTCTGATCTCCGTCTTTAACATGTGCACATGTCCAACACACAGCCCTCACAGTCTGGAGCCGAGTGGGACAAAGGAGATGGCAGTTACAGCCAGTTTTGTGGTGTATTGTTTACTGTCTGCAGGTGGTCTCCACAGTCGACGGGCTGCTCTGTCTCTGTCTCTGTCTTAATGAATATAACCGAACCCCACATTCACTGGCAAATGGAGCGTGTGAAAAACAAGTAATGCACGACTGAAATGAGATGTGTGTCATCTCAAAGAGCAAATTAGTATTTTTTCACAAGATCATATCAGCTGGGCAAACATTTATGCTGACTAGTCAAACCTCACGAGAGGCTTCTGAGACGCAAAACACTTATTTGCTGCTAAGCTTGTTTTTCTGTTCCTCTTTCTGACGGAATTCATCATCATTCTTCACGCTGCTTTTGCGTCTGAGATCTCACCATCCAAACGGAGACAGAAATTGCCGGCGTCATCGTGACCCAGACATTTCCCAAAAGGGTCAACGTCACAATCTAAAAGTCATCGCAGTGTAAAATAATAGGACCTTGTTTCTGTAGTCCACCACAGATGAAGCGCTCTGATGTAGGAAACTTGTTTATTTCCTCTATAGAGTGAGGAAGAGATGCTTTTTGCCAGCGTAATATGTTGTTTTATTCCGATGAGGACTGTGATAAAGTCACGGCCATGTTTGGACCCCTTTGGACGCCCTGTCTTCATCAGGGAACACAGGCAGGGTCAGAGTGTATTAGCCTTTAAAAACTGGCCCTTTGCCCAAAACTGGTTCTTCTTTTTAAAATGATTATACGTGATTACTGTCAACACACCATGTTCCTCTTTCTAAACTTTAACAAACTTTTCCTTGAAACTGGAAAAAAACGGTTGGTTTGACATAAATGATGAACAACTCCAGTTCATGCTCTTTGCATCCACGATGACATAACAAGCCTTGATGTACCTTCACTGAAAATGAGCTAAAAGTACCTTGAACAAAAAACAGGCACATCGAAAGCGATTTGAAGAGAGAAGGAGAAAAGGTGTCCTTACTCATGCCTTTAGACCCTGGAACAATCACCTTGGGTGAAAACAAGCGCTGTGAGTTCTGGGAAGTGCTCGGAGAGAGCTGACAGGCCACAAGGCCGTGCACACGCCGGGTCCTCGCAGAGTAGGAGATCAGCCTCTGATACAGATATTTGAGATGAGAAATGGAAACCTGCCTGAACTTGTTGGCCTTAAGCTTTAGAGTCAAAACAGTGACTCAGATCCGGAAGTTTTTTTTGTTTGGTTATCGCTGTCAGCTGATGCTTGTGGCAAGGCCTCATTACTCAGTAGGGCTTCAATAACACTTTTTTCAAAGAACTTAGAGATGTTACGCAACAATTACCCTGCCAGTAAAGACTGATTGTAGGTATTTAGAGTTGTTCATTTCAGAAAAATGAAGACAAAACGCAAAGACACAGAGCAACAAACTCAGAACACTTTTTCTGCTTCATAAGGATATAAGTTGATTTTCAAGTATTATAGCATCTATAAAAGCACAAATTATCAGAAATGATCCTCTAGACACAGTTACTGCAGAGCATTGATCTGGAAAGTGTTAAAAGGGGAATAACTAAGCAGGTTCAACTTGTTTTAAATGGCTTAAATGCTCTAATTTTTTTAAAGAACAAAGTTAACAATTTTGTTAAGTTTGCAAAGCTGCAACCAAACAAACAAAACTTTAGAAAGGTGAAACAAAACTGGAGACGTCTGGTCGGAATACACGGCTGCGTGTTGGAAGAAAACCAAACCCAGTATTAAAGTGCACTTAGTGGTTTTTAAACATGGTGGTAAAAGAGGGATGTTGCAGGCTTGTTTTGCAGCCACGGGACGCTTTGAGTGAATGAATGAATGAATGAATGAATAAATGAATGAACGAATGAATGAATACATTTATTTATTTCAGATGATTCCACCAACGCAAAGTAACCAGTTAACAATAATTATCCCAAATAACACATACTTATTAATCAGTATGGGCTCATCACCACTTAACCTACCCTCACATAGATTTAACCATACATAGAAACTAATAACATAGATAAAACATCCAATTGTATACCCTCACATGACTTTCATTAGTTGAAAGTGTCTAAAAAGGGGTATTGAGAAGTAAAGCTTTATTTATTCATACTCTAACCCTTCTCCCTCTTTTTGCACATGGCGTAAATAGTTAACTTCCTGTTTCCTGTTTGATTTCTATGCTTTCGATCCAAAATTCACAAAAAATGAATACGTAAATATATACATTGAAGCACTACATTACATACATTACATAACATCTCCCCATGCCAGGCCCCCTTCACCAATCCCGACCCTGCATCCCTCAGTGCCAGGAAGAGAAAACCTTGGCTGTGTTTTAGAGGCGAAATGTGCTGCATCATCTGTCTGACAGCCAAAAACGGGGATTGAACAAGGTTCCCTGCCAGGAGAATGCAAAGCACAGCAGCTGATCTACAATTTGAGAAAGGAATCGAGGAGATGAAGTACAGACTAAAGAAAGTTAGAGGATTGTGATATTATATTTACAGCCCAACCCCAAACAGGGAGAGAAGGGAGTGTTTAAAACAGCTTTATTAACAGCTGGGATGAAGAATAACTTATTCACACCTCACGTCTGCATTTTGGTTTGGTGTCCATGAAGTAATGATAGGCTGAAATATATTCTGTTCTATCCTAATC